TCATTTTACGCCAGGTGGGAGGCGAGGGGAGGCAGGGGACTGACAGGAGAGGGGAGGGGGCAGCTGGGAAAACACGACTTCCCAGTCCAGAGAAAGAACGGCTGAGCTGGGAGGGCCCTTAGAATCTAGGACGTGGAATGTCGGGGCTGGGAAGGTCCCAGGACATAGACGGGCAGAACGAGTTTGGACCTTGGACAGCAGCTAGTCACTGCGGATGGGGAGGCCCAAAGGCAGCGGCCTTGCCCAGCGTCACCCCTGTTGGGCAGGCTCCAGGTCTGGCCTGCTGGAGGGAGATGGGAGCTGAGCTCCCACGCCCACCTCCACCCCCCAGGTCATTGAGAAGGAGAGGCCCCAGCTGGCTGAATACGAGGAGCCGTCCATCTACAGCCCAGCCTTCCCTCGGGAAAAGTGGCAGAGGAGGAGGACCCAGGTCAAGATTCGGGTATGGTGCCCCTCCCCCCTCCCCTCTGTCCCCTTCCTCCTGGTTCAGTCTTCACTGCAGGCCCACCCTCCTCTGCCCACAGAACGTGACCTCCAACCACCGGGCGAGTGACATCATCGTGTGCGAGGGCCGGCCACAGGTGCTGAGTGGGCGCTTCATGTACGGGCCCCTGGACGTGGTAACGCTGACTGGAGAGAAGGTCAGCACCCAACAGGGTGGGCCCCACGTGTCCAGGCCACAGGGCTCGGGTCACCCTCTGAGATTCCCCCGGGGATCTGACAGCAGCAGACCCCCTCCCCTCCCCGTCAGTCCTCCCAGGCAGGGGAGGGGAGTGGGGGTAACACCTCCATTCCAGCCCCAACTCTGCCATTTATGGGCTAGGGGCCCTGGACAGGTCACTCCCCGCACCACCTCAGGCTCAGGGCTCCCCTGGGAGCATTCTGCAGGTACCCCTGTCCAGTGATACTGCCCGCTCCCCTCCATTCCAGGTGGACGTCTACATCATGACCCAGCCTCTCTCTGGCAAGTGGATTCACTTTGGCACCGAAGTGACCAACAGCTCTGGTCGGCTCACCTTCCCCGTGCCCCCAGAGCGCTCCCTGGGCATTGGCGTCTACCCTGTCCGGATGGTGGTCAGGTAAGTGGCCACAGAGGGCCTGGGGAAGGCCAGCCCCCAGAGAGGCCGGAGTGGCACAGTCCCCGCGGGCATCCCACCCAGGGCCATCTGTCCACGCTTGTGCAGGGGGGATCACACTCACGCCGAATGCTGCCTGACCGTGGTGGCCCGCGGCACCGAGGCCGTGGTGTTCAGCATCGACGGATCCTTCACTGCCAGCGTGTCCATCATGGGCAGCGACCCCAAAGTGAGGGCTGGGGCCGTCGATGTCGTCAGGTTCGAGTGTCCTCCTTCCCCGACTCCCTCTCCTACCCACCCCACCCTGAACCCCTGCTCCTTGGCATGGTCAACTTGGGAGTCACAGAGAGTTGCGTTCAAATCCTGCCTCAGACATTTACTCTTAGGGTGACTCCAGGCAAGTCACCCCCTTTCTGGGCCTCTGCTTTGCCATTTGTAAAAGGGGGAGATCGTGGCCCCACCTCAGGGTCATCGTGAAGGTCACACGGCCTGTTATGATTTCTCCTCCCACAGACACTGGCAAGACTCGGGCTACCTGATCGTGTATGTGACAGGCCGGCCGGACATGCAGAAGCACCGCGTGGTGGCCTGGCTCTCCCAGCACAACTTTCCCCATGGGGTCGTCTCCTTCTGCGACGGCCTCACCCACGACCCCCTGCGGCAGAAGGCCGTGTTCCTGCAGAGCCTGGTGCAGGAGGTGAGAACCTGGGTTCTAATCCTGCCCAGAATACTCACCTGCCGGGGGGTGGCCACCCAGGTCAAGGGGAAGCTGGGAACAAGGGGTGGACAGAGCGTCGGTCAGTTACGCAGGCCTACATTGGACTACAGGTGGAGCTGAACATCGTGGCCGGCTACGGCTCCCCCAAGGATGTGGCCGTGTATGGGGCCCTTGGGCTCCCTCCCGGCCAGACCTACATCGTGGGCCGCGCCGTCCGCAAGCTTCAGGCCCAGTGCCAGGTGAGCTGCTGGTGATGGGGGGATGGCAGTGGACCTGAGCCCTCCCCCAGAGGCAGTTATGTGGCCCAGGGGCCAGGACACAGGGCCTGGAGGCAGAAAGACCCGAGTTCAAATGCAGCCTCAGATACCGTGTGACCCTAAGCAAGTCACCTGCCTCAGTTTCCTCAACTATAAAATGGGGCTAATAGCACCTACTTCCCAGGTTTGTGAGGATCAAGTGAGAATATCTGTAAGGCACTGAGCACAGTGCCAGGAGCCTAGAAGGCATTTAATATGCCAGCATCCTCACTGGGGCTGGCTTGCTGCATGTCTCAGGCCTAACAGAGCAGTCCTCCCAGCTCGCCCCCTCACAAAGTACCTTGTCTCCCCGCAGTTCTTATCTGAAGGCTACGTGGCCCACCTGGCCCAGCTGGAAGCAGGTGCCCACCCTCACGCCCCCCAGGCCCCGCCAAGGACAGGGCTGGCCAAGAGCAGTTACGTGGCAGCTCCCGTGGACTTTCTCCGCAAACAGAGCCAACTGCTCCGCTCCCGGGGGCCCAGTCAGGCTGATCGAGAGGGTCCGGGGACTCCACCCACTGCCCTGGCCCGGGCCAAGGCCCGCAGTGTTAGCCTGAAGCTGGACAGTGAGGAGTGACTGGCCCAAGGCCCCTGGAGTGGCTGCCAAGAGAACGGCTTATTTATTGACAATCCCCCCAGCCCTCCCCCGGAGGGGCTGCCCCCCCGGCTTGTGCCCTTTCTGTGCCCCACCATTCCCTGTCAATGTGTTACAAATCCCTTTAATGTGAGGGGTCGGGCCCTGGGGAGAGGGCAGAGGGGGCAGGGGTGGAGGCCTCTGAGGCTTCCATGACGTGTGATACTGTGAACATTAAACCGAACCCCCAGCGTGGCGTCTGTGCTCTGTGATGCCTGCACTTGGGGCTACCCCGACCCCAGGGCCTCATCGCTTCCTGGCCCTCTGGCCCTCGGTCCCTGGGCAGGGAGCCCAGAGGTCTCCTTCAGAAAAGGAAAGTGCAGAGCAGCTAGATGGCGCAGTGGATAGAGCACCAGCCCTGGAGTCAGGAGGACCTGAGTTCAAATCTGACCTCAGACATGTAACACTTACTAGCTGTGTGACCCTGGGCAAATCACTTAACCCCAACTGCCCTCACCAAAAAAGAAAAATACATACACACATACACACACACACACACACACAGAGAAGAGGAAAGTGCATCCCTGTGATGGGAAAGGGCTTGACCAAGGCCACACAGCTAGTGAGCAGCTGAGCAGGCATTCAAAACCAAGTCCTTTGACCCCACCCCACTTCTCCACTGGTCCTCTTAGCCTCCTCTCGGGAAGCGTTCCAGAAGGTGGAACCCAGGCAGTGACAGAGGCAGGGCTGGGATGTCAGGCTGTGCCACGGTCTCCCCACGTCCCCGAGAGAGAGCCAGGACCCTTTGGGACACATCTCCCAGGCCCTCAGGAATCCACAGGGCAGGGGCTGGGAGGGGCCAGAGAAGGCCAATGACCAGCCCAAGGTCACGTGTCAGCCAGCAGCAGGGCTGTGGGACCCCACAGAGGAGAAGGACACAGGCGGGCAGATAAATATGACATTTATACAGGGGGAGGCACAGCGGGGCGGGGCCAGTCACGGAGAGAAGATGCCCTGAAAACGGGCCTTGTCCTCGAGGTCCTTCTGGCGCAGGCGGTGCTGCAGCTGACGCAGCTCACGGCTCACCACGGGGCCCAGCGTCGGCTGCAGCTGGAGCACTTTGGCAAAGTCAGCCTGGGCCTCCTGGGTGTTCCACACTGCCGCGTGGGCCTTGCCCCGCTTGAAATAGGCCTTCACATTGTCTGTGGGAGATGCCGGGCAGAGGGGGTGAGGCCCTGGAGCCTCCCTAGGAACCCCTCCCTCTCTGCCCTCCCCCACCTGAGTGAACCACTGACAAAGGAGGTAATTGAGGCCCCCAGGGGAAAGGGCCTTCTTAAGCCACACACGTCCTAGGGGGCAGAGCTGGGCCCAAACCAACTGTTTCTTTTCCATTGCCTGCCAGGAGAGAGAGGAGGCAGAAACAGTGTGCCATGCAGGCGGGAGGGGGAGGGCCACGAGGGCCAGAGGAGGGGAAGGAGGGGGCCACGGGGCCAGAGGAGCAGGAGAAGGCCATGCTGGCAGGAGGGGGAGGGCCATGAGGGCCAGAGAAGGGGAAGGAGGGGGCCACGAGGGCCAGCAGCAACAGGAGAAGGCCACACAGGCAGGAGGGGAGGGAGAAGGGGAAGGGGAAGGAGGGGGCCACGGGGGCCAGAGGAGGAGAGGGGCCACGAGGGCCAGAGGAGGGGAAGAGGGGCCACGGGGGCCAGAGGAGGGGAAGGAGGGGGCCACGGGGGCCAGAGGAGGGGAAGGAGGGGGCCACAAGGGCCAGCAGCAGCAGGAGAAGGCCACGCAGGCAGGAGGGGAGGGAGAAGGGGAAGGGGAAGGAGGGGGCCACGGGGGCCAGAGGAGGGAAAGGAGGGGGCCACGGGGGCCAGAGGAGGGAAAGGAGGGGGCCACGAGGGCCAGAGGAGGAAGGAGGGGGCCACGGGGGCCAGCAGCAGCAGAGGAGGGCCACAAGGGCGGGAGCAGGGGCAGGTACAGCGGTGGCAGCCGGGCACTCACCCTCGTATTTGTTGAGGATGGCAGAGCAGTGGTCCAGCACCTCGTAATACTCCTGGGCCACCAGCTTGCACTGACAATAGTTCAGCAGCAGTGGCGTGATCTGCAGATCCAGCTGGATCCAGTCCGGGGAGCCGGGCTGCTCCTGGGCGCGGGGGAGAGAAGGGTGCAGGTGAGGGAAGGGCACAGGTGAGGAAGGCGCCCGGGGGGCCCCAGAGGCCCAGCCCCAGCTCCCGCTCCCGCCCCCACCTTCATCTGCAGGTTCTTGAGGCAGGCGATGGCGTCATAGTACTTGACGGAGGCCTCCTTGACGCGGCCCTCCCGGTACAGGCGGTTGCCTTCCTCGTGGATGAGCGGCACGGCCTTCATCTTCTCCTCGTCGCTCATGGCCCACGGGTCCTGCTGGTAGGTACCTGGAGCCTCGACCTGCGGGCACAGGGAGCGGGATCACACCTTGGGAGGGCATCCAAGCCAACCCATGAGGGGGTAAGAGCATCCCCAGAGAAGGCCCTTCTATCTCCATCCTCTCCTGAACTCCTAGAACTACTGAAGGTCAGAGCTGGAAGGGCCTCAGAACAGGGAACATTAGAGCTGGGAGGAGGCCTTAGAACATAGAACATGGAATATCAGAGCTGGAAGGGGGCCTTAGAACATAGAACATTAGAGCTGGGAGGAGGCCTTAGAACATAGAACATGGAATATCAGAGCTGGAAGGGGGCCTTAGAACATAGAACATTAGAGCTGGGAGAAGGCCTTAGAACATAGAACATGGAATGTTAGAGCTAAGAGGGGGCCTTCAGATAGAACATGGAATATTAGAGCTGGGGGGTCTTAGAACACAGAACATGGAGGAGTATCAGAGCTGGAAGGGGGCCTTAGAACATAGAACATTAGAGCTGGGAGAAGGCCTTAGAACTGAACACGGAATGTTAAGAGCTGAGAGGGGGGCCTTCAGATAGAACATGGAATATTAGAGCTGGGGGGGTCTTAGAACATAGAACATTAGAGCTGGGAGAAGGCCTTAGAACATAGAACATGGAATATCAGAGCTGAGGGGTGCTTAGAACATAAGGGTGGGGGCTTGGCAATCATCTTGTTCTCACACACACACACACCATTTTATGGAGGACAAGGCCCGGGTCCAAGGGGGAGGCAGAATTTAAACCTAGAGCTCTCCCCACTTCATCCTCTGGTCCTCCTTGCACAGGTCTGACTAGGTCACTCCACTGCTCAATAACCCCCAAGGGATCCCTAGTACCCCCAGGATCAAGCAGCAGCTCCCCTGTCTGGTGCTAGCCACCCTTCACTGCCTGCCTCCAAGCTGCCTTTCCAGCCCAGTAGACACCGCTCTCCTTCACGTACCTCACGGTCTGGCCAAATGGGGCTTCGTGCCACTCCCCACACAGGACATGGAGTCTTCTACCTCCATGCCTTTGCACGGGCCTTGGGGGTTTCCCTGTTCCCCTCCCCTTCCCTGCCAAGCTCAGCCCAAAGGCCACCTCCTACATGAAGCCTTCCCTGCTCGCTCCCTCCTCCCCAGCTGCCTGTGTTCATTCTATATAGACTTGTCTCACCAGATGGAATGTAACCCCACCCCAGAGTGTGCCCAGACCCTAGCACGGCGCTGGACACAGAGGAAGCTCATCGGTTGTTCAGTTAAACAGGGAAGGAGGCTCAGTTTCACAGTCTATAAAATGGGACTGAGGTTACAAGCCCCTCCTGTCCCTGCTTTTTGAGGACCCAAAGAGATACAGCACAAGCAATGTCACTGTCAGCTGCCCTTCTCCCACCGACCCCACAAGAGTCTGGAACTTCATCAGTAGGACACTCCTTCCCCCGGTGCAGATTGCTACTCGCAGATGGCCTTCGGGAACTGCTGCGGCTGAGGGGCCCTTGGCTCTAAGCAAGGCCGGGCCCATCAGGCAGGCCAGCCCACTGAGGCTGGCACAGAAGCAAGGCGCCAGAGGACGACCCTGGCCAGGGGCACTACGTGTGTGAATCGTGAATGGAGCCCTCGGAGCATTCAGAGGCCTCCCCTCTGGGAGATGACCATGACTGGACCAAGGTCACCCCGGCCAACATAGGGCAGGGCTGAGTCTCCCCAGTGTCCCTGGCAGGCCTCTCCTTGACCTTCACCTTGATCATTTCTATGTGGAAGATGAGGGGCTGGGGGTGCCGCTGCAGCTCATCCAGGTCGGCGTGGCCCAGGGAGCTGTGCTCTTGCATCTGGGCGATGCCACAGCAGTGCCGCTGGCCCTCCAGGGGGTCCTTGCCTGCGGCGATGTTCCGGAGACTTTTCGACACCAGTGGGTACAGGACCACGTGCTGCAGGATGTCAGAGAGAACAGTTTTAGAGCTGAGAGGGGAGTTGAGAACAGGGCACATCAGGGCCAGGAGAGGCCTCAGAACGGGGGACATCAGGGCTGGGAAGGACCTTAGAAAGCCTCCTTTTACAGAGCCAGAGTGGGGGGGGGGTCACGTGCTGGGGTCACAGAGCATTGGCACTGAGCTGGCCTGCTGCATCCTAGGCCAGGGCTCTCTATCAGCTGGGCCTGGGGCCCTTCCCTGTCTTGTCACATCCCGTTGCTTTCAGCCAGGCCCAGCACGGGGCGCCTCAGCATGGACACCACTCTCACCTCCACCCAGGCTGGATGAGCAGAGATATAACTCTCTCCCGAAGCTGCCAAATCCCACAGGCTCCCGAGACGGCTCCTGGCTAACTCCCAGCCGCAGGGATCTCTTTGCCCTCCCCAGACTGACCGCTCCCAGAAAGCAGGCCAGAGCTGGGCACAGCCGGCAGGTGCTCAGCGCATCTCGGCCTCCCCCAGCTTCTGACATACACGGTTTTACCCTGAATGATATTACATTTCCAAGGATCCCGGGCTGAAGTGCTGGGAAGGGCCTCTGACTGAAAGCTGGACAGAGAACATGAGAACCCAGGCTGTCAGAGCAGAGGGCTCTAGAGCCACTCCCCAGATCCCCAACAGACAGTCAGGTAGGCAGCATGGTGTGAAGCCCCTCCCCTGGATGAGGTCAGCTGGGTAACAGTGGAGGCAGGGCCCCAGCCCCCAAGATGGAGGCTGCCCCATCCCTTCTGCTGCTGGAGGATGCCTGGCTGGGGAGGGAGTGTGCCTAACACGCCAAGAAAGCGCCTGCCCCTAAGAATGTGTTTTCACCTGAAAAGGGGGAAGGAAGGAAGGCAGGAGGGGTCGCTAAAAGAGCTAGTGGATCAGCACATCCAGAGGCCTGATGGGGCCTTGGCACCGTCCTCAGCCTGACCACACCAGGTTTGGGATGGGGGCTCATCTCTGGACACTGTTAAAAGGAAGAGTCCGGAGAAAAGCCAGTAAAGGGAACCCAGAAGAGGCTCATTGTCCTTGGGACAGGATCCCCCCTGGATCTGCTTGGCCTAAGGGCACACCTGGGGGGTGGGGTTGGGGGGGTCACAAAAGGACAAATTTAGGCTCCATATTAGGAAGAAACTTCCCGATGATGACCCATGTTGCCACGTGGCAGTCCCTTTACCTCTGGTCAGGGGAGGCTTCAGGAAAATGCTGGAGGCCCACTGGTGAGGGGCTGTCCAGAGGGGATTTCTGTTCAGACCCCAGCTGGGCACTGATGCTGACCTCTCTGAGATTCTGTGATAAGCTTCCAGCGCTGGGAAGGGGGTGGGGGGGGCGGCGGGCCATGCTTTCAGCTCCCGCCTCCTCCTCGGCCCCAAGGCCTCAGCTGGCTAAGAGGGCAGGGGTCCCACGGACCCCGCCCCGAAAAGCTTACGGTGAGGTTCGGGTCCATTCCCCTGCATGCCTGGCCGGCCCAGAGCTCGCTCTGACCAGGTCTAGTGGCCCCCGCACCCAGCCCCAAGGGGGGAGGGGTTCTTGCCGGGGCAGGGCCTCACCTTGACGTCACAGAGGAACTCGGCCACCTCGGCCGGCCGCATCGTGCGCACGATCGTCTCCCACACCGGCAGCTTGAACTGCTTGCCCAGGATGAGCTCCATGGGCTTCCCCCGCTGGCGGCTGTCATCGATGACCGCTCCCTCCTCGTCGCTGCGCAGGGTCCGGAAATGGAAGGTGGCCTGGGGGGCCAGCCCGTCAGGACCGCCTGCAGACCCCCGCCCTGAGAGCCAGGGGGTCCCCACGGGGAGGGGGCGCAAAGCTCTGTCCGAAGACCGTCCGGCGAGCGCGGACAGCGCCCCCGGCCCCGCCCGGGACCGCAAGAACCCGCTTCCCACGGCAAGCCTTGGCCCCGGGGCCAGGGTTCAGCAATACTGATGCCAAGACGGCAATGTTCCCACAGCCCTTTAGGGTTTGCAAAGCAAACCTTGTTGGAGCGTCACCCCCCCCACCACCCCCCGCCCCGTGTAGAAGGTGCCCCTATTATTCCCATTTTATGGACTAGGAAACGGAGGCTCAGCTGGCCCAGGCGTCCCTCCCTCCCCTCCAGCCCCGTTCCCCGCCACCCTGGGGACCGCGACTAGAGTACCGTTATCCTTCCCAGATCTAGAACCGGAGGGGAAGGGACTTGCCCAGGGACGCACAGCAAGTCCGAAAGTCAGAGCACAGCCTCGAACCCCCGTCCCCTCCAGCGCCTCACACAGGGTGGGCCTCCTGCCTGGCCGCAAGGCGGCGCTGCGGGGCAAAGGCCTGGCAACGCCCAGGACCACTGGGGCAGGGCTGGAGGAACGGGGGCGGAGCCGACGCGCCCGGACCCGCCCTCGAAGCAAATGCTGACCAATCAGAACAAGAAAGCACATGAGTGCTGGGGTCGCGGGCGAACTGGGGGCCCCGAGGCTGCGCAGCCGCCCGCGCCGGGGTCTCCCCTCGTCCCGCTCGCGTAGCGCGCCCGCGGGGCGGCGGCGAGCGGAGCCGTACCTTGGTCCCGTCCCGGAAGTCGGGCAGCTCCCCGGTGCCCTCCTGTACAACCCGCTTCTCGATGCCCTCCGCCCGCAGCTTCTTAACCAAGTCCGCCATCCTGCTCCCCCGATGCCCTCCTCTCGGAAGCTTCAGGACAATCTCGGCAACTTACGGAAACGCTTCGTTTTGACAGCTTCCGGAACCACAGTTTCGGCAACTTCCGCCGCCGCCGGCGGCGGCGCCATCTTTACTGAGGGCAGAAGCCAGCGAAGTTGGCACATGCGCAGATGGAGCCCTCCTGCGCCCTGCTAGTTCTCTAGTTCTGTGGGGCGAGGGGCAGTAACTCTGGAGTTCGAAATGAGAGACGGAGTCACTGAACCTCCAAGCAAGCGGCGTTTCAATCTAAGCCCGACTTGTGCTGGAACCATAAGCTCCCACCCCTCCTGCAACGTATCAGACAAGTGGGCATCTAGCCCTTTGCTCGAAGACGGCTGGTGATGGGGAACTCACTCCCTGTCTTACGGATGGTTCAGGTTGCCGGGAAGTGATTCTTTGCATCAAGCTGAAGTCTTCCTCTCTGCAGCTCGCCCCACAGTTTTTCTGGTTCTGATCCTGGTATCAAGCAGAATAATAAGGCAGTGTGCTGTAATGAGAAGAGCACTGTGTCTGGAGTCAGAGGAACCAAGTTCGTATTCCCCCCTCTGCCCCTGCTGACCTAGGTGAACTTGAGCAAGTCACTTAACCTGTAGTGCCTCAGTTTCCTCACCTGAAAATGGCGGGGGGAGGGTGCCTTGCTGGACCCTTTCAGCCCGACATTTAGAATTCTCCAAGCCCAAAGGCCACTCTCCTTCCACATAAATGACAGCCCCTCAGTCACTGGCAGACAGTAGCTGCCTGATCTTCAGGCTTGGCTTGGGCAGCAGGAGAGACTTTCAAACCCTGCCTTCCCTGCTTACTAACTAGGGGATCCGGGCACAGGCTTTGGTGCTTTTGTGTGTAGACGTCTAAGATCGTGGGCCTAGAGATGGCTTTTTTGGATTTTGTCTCCTGTGATTTGAGGGGCATCTCTACGTCGATCTTCCCTCTATTTCAGAGCCGTTTTTTACAGGTATTTGGAGGGGTTTGGGGCAGAGCTCAAGCAGGTCACTGCTCTTACTCGCTCTTCCCTCTATTTTAACCTTTGACCTCACCACCATCATTTGTGACTCATTCCTACTGATTTTCCGTTCACTAATTTCACGAATTACATTTACGAAAAGAAATAACTTCAAATTGACAAGACTAAAGCCAAAAAACGTTGAGAAATAAACTTTCATGTGCCGTCTCCAGTGTGCTTCTAACATATAAACTCTAAGTTATTGGGGGAAGGGAATATATGTAGCACCTACTAAGGGCCCCCCCACCTATCCACACACACCCCTACTGTGTGCTTACACTGTGCTAAGCACTTTATAAATGTTATCTCATTTAATTCAGATAATCCTGGGAGATAGGCGCTGTTATTACCCATTTTACAGTGCAGGAAACTGAGGCGACCAGGTTAAGTGACTTGCCCAGGATAAGTGTCTAAGATCAATTTCTGACCCCGGGCCCAGTGCTCCATCCACTGTGCCACGTATTGAAGTTAAAAGATGCACAAGGACTTTATAACTACTCTGTTTAAGAGGTTTGTTCTTTGCCTCCCCCACTACTTTTCAGTTTAAGAATTTTTACTCAAATGAAGATTAGTTTAGCACAGTGGTTAGGGTACTGGATTTGGGCCAGGAAGACTTGAGTGCAAATTCTGCCTCATCAATGGCTACGTGGCTCTGGACAAATGATTTCTTTATGTGCCTCAGCCTCCTCGTCTGTAAAAGGAGGCTCTGTGTGATGGTTTCTAAGACTGCTGGGTGGCTTGGTGGATAGAAGGAAGACCCCCGGAGTTCAAATCCGGCCTCAGATACTTATTAGCTGTGTCACCCTGGGCAAGTCACTTAACCCTAATTGCCAAAAAAAATTAAAAAAAATTAAAAAAAAAAAAGACGGGCCTTTGCTTTACAGCCAGGTTGGAATGAGTGAAGGTTCTTTGCAGTTTCTCAAAGGCTATGCCAGCCTATCCTCATTCTCTTCTTCAGCTCTGGGCCCAGCTCAACATCCATCCATACTGTCTGTCCCAGATACAAATACTGCTGGACAAACTCTAGTATGACCCTTCGATGCATGTTGAAATCTATGCAATAGGCATTTTCATCCACTTGGCCTTTCCTGTGTTGATGGCTGGGCCAAATGCCTTTGAGTGATGGCAGATCTCTCCCAGGAGGCTCTGCTAGGTCTCTGTAGCATGAGATGCTGTTTGATAGCACTTTGCCCACAGTAGAACTTTTTTCAAAATTGGAGCCATTCTTCTCAGACCCCGCTACTGCCGCTTTACCCATTAAGTTTGTGTCATATTCTTCAATATCTTTGTGGCTCAGGGAATAAGGTTGCTGGAGGAGAGGAAGAGAGGTGGGGAGCAGCTGGGCAGTGGAGCAGTCAGGACATACAGAATTAATCGATTAAGTTCGCCACAGCGCCTGAAAACAATTACAGCAGTAACATCAGTGACCACTGATCACAGACCACCCTAAGAGACATGATAATAATGCAAAAGGCTTGGAATGTTGTGAGAATGAGCAAAATGTGATGCAGGGACACGATATGAGTGCCGGCTGCTGGCAACGGTGCTGATGATGCTTCAGGCAGGGTTACCACAAACCTCTAATCAAGGTTTGGCCCCAATATGCGATTCTAATCTAATCTGAACAACAAAACATTGTTTGTTTGGTTTTTTAGACACAATGCTATTGCACACTTAATAGCCTGCACTATGGTGTAAACATGACATTTACATGCACTGGAAAACCAAAAACTTCGTGTGACTTGCTTTATTGCAATATTTGCTTTATTGCAGTGGTCTGGAACAGAACCTGCATTTGATCTTCCCAATGACACTTAGAGGTAGGTGCTGTTATTATTCCCATTTTGCAGTTGAAGAAACTGAGGCAGAGAGAGCTTCAGTGACCTGCCCAGGGTCACACAGCTAGTGAGCTTCTGATGTATTGAAACTCAGGTCTTGCTGACTCCAGGCCCAGCGCTCTGTGCACTGTGGCGCCCTCTAGTGGCCTCAGGGAACACTGGCCAGGACTCTAGAGCTAGCATCAGGAAGACAGCTGCCCACAGGATTACCCTTAGAATACCATCTGGGAACTTGGTCTTGCCAGTGCCAGTGCAAGCTGTGGGGGTGTGGCATGACACAAGCCAATCAGGGATCCGGAAAGGTTTTCAGCAGGAAGCAGAACTTGAGTGGAGCCTTGGAGGACAAAGATTCTAACAGGCAGAGGTCAGGAGGGAGCATCCCAGCCCAAAGAGACAGAGAGGAGCATGAAAAGAGCAGGAAAGTGTGGCTGGAAGTAGGGTGTGTGAAGGAAGAGAATGGGGACAAACCTGGAGAGGGGAGCTGAAGGAGGCTACATGGCCAGGGAGGGGTGGGCTGTTTGTTTTCCTCTAAAGCAATAGAGAGTTCCTGAGCATTCTAGAACAGAGGAGTTCCATCATCAATTTATGCTTTAAGAAGGTCATTTTGGCAGCTCTTCAGGAGAGACTGGAGAGGGTAAAGACCTGGGGCAGGGAAGCCAATTGGGAGGCTGCCCTAATACTGCAAGGAGAAGGGCTGAGGGAGAGAGAGGAGAGAGGGCATAGAGGCAAGACATGGGATGGGGGTGGGGAGGCATAATCTATAAGATTTGGCCACTGATTGGATTTGTGGAGTGAGGGAAACTGAGGAGCTGATGACGACTCTGAAGTTGCCACGGTTGGGTGAAAGATGAGAGAGAGAGAGGAGGGGAGCGAGAGGAGACAGAGAAAAGAGGGGGGGGGAAGACAGGGAGGGAGAGAGAGACAGAGAGAAAAAAGAGAGGAGAGAGAAAGGGAGGAAGAGAAAGAGAGAGACAGAGAGAGAAAAGAGGAGAAAGAGAGAGAAAGGAATAGAGACAGGAGAGACAGACACAGAGAGAGAGAAAAGAGGGGGGAGAGAAACAGAGAGAGGAGAGAGAGAGAAAGGGAAGAAGAGAGAAAAGAGAGGGGGGAGAGAGAGAGAAAAGAGAGGGGGGAGAGAGAGAAAGAGAGAGAGAGAGAATGAGTCAGTCCAGAATGGAGATTAGGGATGTGGGGAAGTAGATTTGGACGTCCTTGGTGTAGAGATGTTTTTAACCAATGAGAGCTGATGAGGTTGCCAAGGGAGAAAATGTAGACAGAAGGGAAGACATCCAGGCAGCACCTTGGAGAACACCCACAGTTGGAGGGTGGGACTGGAAGGAGGAGCCAGCAAAGGAGACAAACAGTCAGACAAGGTGGGGGGACGGGGGAAGCTTGGGGGGGGCCTGTTATGGGCCAATCAGGGAGAGCTGGAGTGATGTGGGTTTAAAGGCATAGTCAAGTTGCTCCATTTGAATCCCAATGGGCTTTATCAAAGCCTGGTTTTCCAGAACTATTTCAAGAAATCATAAATGAAAATTATATGAGACAAAAAGAGTTAATTGTCCCAGTTTGGGTTTTTTGGGGGTTTTTTTGCTAGGTAATGGGGTTAGGTGACTTTGCCCAGGGTCACACAGCTAGTAAATATCAAATGTCTGAGGCCAGATTTGAACTCGGGTCCTCCTGACTTTATGGCCAGTGCTCTATCCACTGCACCACCTAGCTACCCCAATTGCCCCACTTTTTTTTTTTCAAAAATGATAGAATAAATAAGTAGGGGGGAAAAATCTAGCTCCCAAACCCCAAAATACTTCATGAAGTATAAGTGATCAAAATTTATATTCCTTTGGACAGAGGGCTCACATGTAAGGGTGTGACTCCCCACATGACAGAGGAAGGACAGGGAGGAGGAGGAAGAAGAGGAAAGAATAGCAGCATTGACCAACTAGAACTGGCCTGTTGGGTCCTCCAGGGGGCAGCTACTACTGCTCACACATTGTTGTTCATCCTTCATTCGTGAAGAGGACCAGTGACGTCCGGAGGGTGACGTCCTGACTTACAAGTCAATTGGATTGAAGTGAGGGAGGGCTGCACAGAGTCACCAGCCTCACTCTCTCCTCCTGAGTCATCCAAGTCCAGTGGCAAGATATAGACCAGGACACCTTTCGATGGCCCAGGATGCAGTTGGGAGGCCTTGACCTTTTTAAGCTAAGGTCTTTGCCAGATCTCAGTTTGTCTGAGGCAACACTCACTCAGTGGTTAAAAACTCTCTGAGACTATAGACTACAAAGAAGGTGCTGACTTTCATTGGTACAGGGGTGTCCTCACCTGGGAGTTCTCAATGAAATCTCAGGTTCACTGACTTCAGAAAAAGCTGGGAAGACCTATATGGTCTGATGCTGAGTGAAGTGAGCAGAACCCAGAGGACTTTGTACACAATAGCAGCCACGTTATGCAATGACTAAGAATGTTAAACTGAACCCTTCTCAGCATTACGAGGATCTAAGACCTCTCCAGAGGCCTCAGGATGGAAAATGCTGTCCACATCCAAAGAAAGAACTATGGAAGTCGAATCGCTCTCACTTAATTTTACCTTCAGTTGAATTTTGTTTCATCTTTCTGATGGTTCCTCCTATTGGCTTTAATTTTTACTTACAACATCACTAATGTGAAAATATGTTTAATGGGTATGTAAATGTAAAGCCTATGTCAGATTGTGCGCCGTCTTGGGGAGGGGGGGGGAGAAAAAGGGAGAAAAATTTTCAACTCTAAATTCTGCTCCTCCAGACTTTTTGTTAATTACATAATAAATAATGAAGAGGGGGGGAAAAAAACTAAAAACAAAAAAAAAATCTCAGGTTCAGTCCCTTTGGACTGATTTGTCTTTGTAAATGTCATTTCCCCCCATTAGAATATATAAGGGGGGGGTCATCAGAAGAGCCTCTTATCTCTCTGATGAGATAACAAGGCAGAACAGGGGCGGAGCCAAGATGGCAGAGTGAAAGCAGTGACTTGCTTGAGCTGTCCCCTAGACCCCTCCAAATACTCATAAAAATTGGCTCTAAACAAATTCTGAAGCAGCAGAGCCCACAAAAAGACAGAGTGAAACAAATTTCCAGCCCAAGACAACCTGGATGATTGATCAGAAAGGTGTATCGCGCCTGGCTGGGAGCACAGCACAGCGCTTTGTGGGCGTGCAGGCCACCACGAACCTGGAGCAGGTCTCAGAGGACTGAATCTCGGGCAGCTGTGGAGGTTTCCAGACTCCTCAATCCACCAATGCCAAAGACAACTTAGAAGGTCAGTGGGAAAAGTCTGTTTCTGTTGGTGCTGAGAAAGGAAGGTGGGGTCTCAGCCCCATTCCCCAAAAGCGTGGCCCTGGGGGAGGGGGGCAGCTGCTTCCCGAGCTTCCGGCCCACAGACTGAGGGGAAATCCAGTGGCTGATCAGAGGGGGATTGCAGGGATCTCTTTGCCAGTGCTGAGGCAGGAATCTCTTGCTTTGCCCGTGTTTGGATCTGGGTCACAGTTCTGGGCGTGCTGGGTGAGGAGGAGCACTGGCTTGGTGGAGCTTGTAGTGGCTGTGGAGAGGACCCTCCTCACAGTTACAGGACAGAAAGGAGTACTTCTAGTCACAGGCCAGGAAAGGAGTAAACACCTCGCCCCTTATCATACCACCTTGGAAGAACTGAAAATTTACAGGTCCCTACAATTATCTCTGAAAACAGCTGTAAAACCCCCCCCAAAGCTTGGGACAGTACATTCTCCACATTGGAAGCAGACTCTACCTTAACAAAGAGTTTAAAACTCAAGTAATTGGCCAGGATCATGAGCAAGTAGTGCAAAAAGAGTCAGACTATATTATCTTACTTTGGTGAAAAGAAGATCAAAATATACAACCAGAAGAAGACAACAAAGTCAAAGCTCCTACATCCAAAGCCTCCAAGAAAAATATGAATCAGTCCCAGGCCTTGGAAGAGCTCAAAAGGGATTTTGAGAAGCAAGTAAGGGAAAGAGGAAAAACTGAGAGTGATGCAAGAAAATCAAAAAACAAGTCAACAGCTTGCTAAAGGAGACCCAAAAAAATACTGAAGAAAATAACACCTTAAAAAATAGCCTAACCCAAATGGCAAAAGAGGTCCAAAAAGCCAATGAGGAGAAGAATGCCCTAAAAAGCAAAATTGGCCAAATGGAAAAGGAAGTCCAAAAATTACTGAAGAAAATACTTCCTTAAAAATTAGAATAGAGCAATTGGAAAGCTAGTGACTTTATGAGAAATCAGACACAGTAGAACAAATCCAAAAGAATGAAAAATTAGAAAACAATGTGAAATATCTCATTGGAAAAACAACTGACCTGGAAAATAGATCCAGGAGAGAGAATTTAAAAATTATTGGACTATCTGAAAGCCATGATCAAAAAAAGAGCCTAGACATCATCTTTCAAGAAATTATCAAGGAAAACTGCCCTGATATATTAGAACCAGAGGGCAAAATAGAAATTGAAAGAATCCACAGATCTCCTCCTGAAAGAGATCCCCAAAGGAAAACTCCTAGGAATATTGTAGCCAAATTCCAGAGTTCCCAGGTCAAGGAGAAAATATTACAAGCTGCCAGAAGGAAACAGTTCAAGTACTGTGGAAACACAATCAGGATAACACAAGATTTAGCAGCTTCTACATTAAAGGACCGCAGGGCATGGAATATAATATTCTGGAGGGCAAAGGAGATAGGATTACAACCAAGAATCACCTACCCAGCAAAACTGAGTATAATCCTTCAGGGGAAAAAATGGTCATTCAGTGAAATAGAGGACTTTCAAGCATTCTTGATGAAAAGACCAGAGCTGAATAGAAAATTTGACTTTCAAATACAGGACTCAAGTGGAACATGAGGTAAACAGGAAAGAGAAATCATAAGAGACTTATTAAGATTGAACTGTTTACATTCCTGCATGGAAAGATGATATTTATAACTCATGAGACCTTTGTCAGTATTAGGGTAGTTGGAGGAAAAAAATTATATGTATGTATATGTAGATAGATAGATAGAGGGCACAGGGTGAGTTGAAGATTAAGGGGTCATATCTGGAGAATAAAATTAAGGGATGAGAGAGGATTATACTCGGAGAAGAAGAAAGGGAGATGTAGAATGGGATAAATTATCTCACAAAAAAAACAGAAAAGTCTCTTACAGTGGAGGGGAAACGGGGGAAGGTGAGAGGGAATGAGGATTTGGCTTAAGGAGGGAATAACATACACGTTCAATTGGGTATGGAAATCTGTCTTACCCTACAGGAAAATAGGGGGAGAAGGGGACAGGAGAACAGGGGGATGATAGAGAGGAGGGCAGATTGGTACTTCTGAGGAGGGACAGGGTCAAAAGAAAGAATAGAATAAATGGGAGGGCAGGATATGATTAAGGGAAATAGAGTGAGTTTTTCACAACATGTCTACTATGGACGTGTTTTGCATAACTGCACATGTACAACCTATATTGAGTTGCTTGCCTTTTCAATGAGGGTGGGTGGGGAGGGAGGAAGAGAGAAAATTTGAAACCTAAAGTTTTAAAAACATATGTTTAAAAAAATGTTTTCACATGCCACTGGGAAATAAGAAATATAGGAAATGGGGTACAGAAGTCTATCCTGCCCTACAGGAAAATAGAAGGGGAAGGTGTGATAAGAGAAGGGGAGAGAGATAGAAGAGAGGACAGACTAGGGGAAGGGATATTCAGAATGCATTCCATCTTGGGATGGGGGGAGGGGGGAGATGGGGTGAAAATTTGGAACTCAAAAACTTGTGGAAGTGAATGTTGAAAACTAAAAATAAATAAATTTATATTAAAAAAAAAACAAGGCAGAACAAAGGTTTGGAAGCATCCCAGGGACACCTCCCTATGGATCACAGATTGTATCATGGGTCAGACACATCCTGTATCTAGAGCTGGAGGGACCCTGGAGTTACGGAGTCTCCTCATTTCCCAGATGTGGAAACTGAGGCCCACACAGGGGAAGTGACCTGCATAAGGTCACCCAGAAAGTGACAGAGGCAAGGTCTGCACTCACATCCTCAGACTCCAAAACCAGCTAGTTTTCACTTTGCTGTAGAGCATTGGCCCAAGGAATTCCCAGATGGTTAGCTGGCTGACACTCAGAGGATGGGCTCTTCTTGATAGAGAAGTTGGCCCTCTTAGTGAGTTGATACCCAGCTCATTATCTCTTATTATCTCCAGGATTCCCCCCTCACCTTTTCCCTTGGGCCCTCTTCATGAGGTTAGCAATTAGGGGTTCGGGATTTCACTCTTCCTGCAGTCTCCTCTGCTCCCCACCCCCACAGTGTAGTTAACAGCAGTTGGCTGAGTGAATAGAGAAGCAGGCCTGGAGTCAGGAAGACCTGAGTTCAAATGTGACCACAGACACCTAGTAACTTTGTGACCCTGGACAACTCATTTAATCCCTGTTTGCCTCAGTTTCTGTGTCTGTAAAATAAGGATAATCATAGCACTTCCTTCCCAGGGTTGTTTCCAGGATCAGCTTAGATAATAATTCTAAGTCATTAAGCATGGCCTGAGAAGAGGAGTGTTTCTTCCTTCTGGGATTGACCTTCAGAAGACAGGATTTCCTGCTGAGGTGGGGGAGGGGGGGACTACTTGGAGAAAGAAAAAGATAATCCTTTGGGCAGTGTCCTACTTGAAGGACGAAGCCAGTGGTTTACATGGACATCAAAGTGTAGGGCACTACTTGAGCTATAGTCCCCAAACCGTAGTTAACTTTTGGGGAGAAGGGGAGTCAAAACTCCAAGTGAGGCAGGAGCCAGATTAGAATGTCGTTGGGAAATGTTTAAGAAATTAAATACAATTACAATACTACTCAGGTCAGGATTGTTTATGGCTTTCTAAGTCAATCAATATGCAGCCCACAGTATTCCTTTTTGAGTTTCACTTGACTGTTATAAACCACTTGGGGAGGGGGGGGAAGATTGTGCAAAATTCTGTGGGAAAGAGCCACAGACCAGAATGTCAAGTGTCCCAATGAGTCCCAAAGCAATCCAACATTCAGTTTCCTTTCGGAGGAGCTCGGGAATTATTTGAGTGCTTTGAGAATATGCTTACAGTCTCCTGTGGATTCTTTGTAGCATCTGCCTTTTCTGTGGCCAGAAGTAAAGGCTGTCCTGTACTCCTCGTGTATTTGTTACCTTGAGTGCCTGTAACAGGGCACTTACATTTGGAGAAACTTAGATATGAACTATACCATGAGTGTATTGGCTTTTCTTGGAGTAACTGCAGATGGGGACAAGGAAACAAAAGAAAAATTGAAAGTTATCCCCTTGGGGTCCCAAGACCCACCCATTCAGAGAGTCAGTCGAGTTCTCCGTTAACCCTGGGCCATGTGTTCCAACCACTTCACTTTTGTCTTTGTAGCTCCAGAAATTAGCATGGTGCCTGGCACTTAGTAATAGTAATAATAATAACGATAGCTAACATTTATATAGCATTGTACTAAGCACTTTATAATTATCTTATTTGATCCTCACAACAACCTTGGGAGGTTGCTATTGTTATTTCCATTTTATAAATAAGGAAACTTGGGCAAACAGAGGTTAAATGACTTGCCCAAGGTCACACAGCTAGGTGACCAATCTGATTGAGGGTGAGGCCTTGAGTCAGGAAGACTCTTCTTCTTGAGTCCAGACCCACACTCAGGCACTTACTGTGTGACCCTGGGCAGGTCACTTAACCCTGTTTGCCTCAGTTTCCTCATCTGTCAAATAAACTGGAGAAGAAAATGGCAAGCCACTCTAGTATCCACCCCCAAAAGGGGTCACAAAGAGTCCATTCGACTGAACAACAATAAGGTTAGTTTGTTAGTAAGAGTCTGAGCATAAACTCACATCTTCTGACTTCTGGCCCAGCACGCTAGCCACTGCATTACTCAGCTGTCCCTACTTAGTAGATAATTAAATGCTTGTTGATCCGATGTGCCGTACTGACCTTCTTTTGTATGTTGTGCTTAAATCTGAGGGCCCGAGCTTCCTAGGCTGCCAATTCACACTCTTAAATCAGATTGAGTTTGCAGGCCACTGGAACCGTCAGATCTTTTTCAGAGGAATTGCTTAAACTCATCCCACCTCCCACATCTAGCACTCACTGGCGAAGTGGAGTTTCCTCCTTCCTCCTCTCTACTCCTCCCTCCTCCCAACTCACCCCCACCCCCAACTGGGTGCCCCTCCCTCCTCCTCCCCACCCAGGCTAGGTGAAACTATCCGGCCATAGGCGGTTGACTGCTCCTGCCTCGCCTTCCGTGGTGGTGGGGGGGCGCCCTAGCTCCTCCTTCACCCCTCCCCCAGCAGCCCCCTTCTCCCTCCCCCACCCCACTCTGGGGTTGGAGTGAGTGCCAGCGTCCCGGGAGGCGGAGGCGAGATTCGAGGTAGATCCTGTTGCCAGCTGGCCAGCCCAGCGCCCTGACCAGCGCAGCACGGACCATGGGCCTCTGAGAGCCGGCCCCGGGCGGGCCAGCTGCGGGCAGCTGGGCACAGCTGCAGGGCAGCTCCATGCGGGGGTCCGAGCCATGAGCAGCGGCCGCTCCGAGTTCAGCATCGATGATGCCTTTGAATTATCTCTGGAGGAGGGGGGCCCGGGGCCCGGGGGGACCCCCCCGCGCTTTGGAGCGCTGCACTTTGAACGCAAAGGCCGGGGAGACGCGGAAGAAGAGGGCGAGAAACAGTCTCGTCTCAAGTATCAGGTGAGAAAACAGCGTCCCCCCTTCCCCGCCCTCCACGCGCTAGCCCCTGATGAGCACCTTGGATTCCCAGCGCCTCAGTTTCCTCCTCTGTAAAATGGGGAAATCGCACTCGCTCCTTGCCAAGGCCGCTTCCAGCTTTGGCTCCCAGGATCTTACTGGGCTCCTCCCTGGCCCGAAGCCCAAAGTCATAAGACTTCAGACTGGAAGAAACCCTAGAAATCAAGGCGCCACCTCCCCCCGCCTTTTATAGATAGGGAAGAGAAGAGGGCTGCCCAAGGCCCTTGCGTCCTGGTGAGCGGGAGCTTCTCAGCCAGGGCCCTTCCCTTACACAAGCACACGCGCGCGCACACTCACACTCACACACACACACACACACACCCCACACACACACCGATCCAAGTCCTCTTCCTAGGACAGTCTCCCAGCTCACACCCCTGCAAATACCCTCCCCAGAGCTGCTGCCAGTCCTGCCTCGCTAGGCAGGCACCTCCCAAACTCGGCTCTTACTCAGTCTTCTAAGCCACCCACCTCGGAACTGGTTTCGGTTTCTGTGAATCATCAAACTTGTTAGGCTGGTGAGCAGCTGTTAGAGGACAATCAGAGCTGCTGGCAGGCTGATGAGGAAAGAGGGGGGCTGGAAGACGAGGTGGACGTCTTAGGGAATCCCCCCCATGCCCCAACAATCAGAGCTGTTTTGTTTTGGAGCAGAACTTGGAGAATGACGAGGATGGTGCCCAGATCCCCTCCGATCCTGATGGAGCTATGAAGCTCAGGTTAGGCCGACCCCCTGGCCCCTCCCCCCCCCCCCGCTCCTGGGTGGGGGACCCCCTGCTCAGTGTGGCCTCTTCCAGCAGGGATCCTGGGCGCTCCTCCACCCGAAGTTCTCAGTGGTCCTTCAGTACCATCAGCAGCAGCACCCAGCGCTCCTATCGTGCCTGCTGCAGGTGAGGGGCAGGGCCCCCTCCCTCCTCAGAGGTTTCAGGCCTTGGGCCTGTCTCCATCCCTGTCCGGCTCACCAGAGACAAGCCCCCAACCTGCTTCATCCTCCCCTCCTTCCCAGATGCCCTCTCCAGCCCAGCTCCATCCTTATCTAACACTCCTTCCCATCAGGGCACTGGGCTTGGAATCCAGAAACCAATCTTAACTCCACCCCTGACGTGCTCTGTGACTTGTAGCCTCTCTGGGTCTCAGTTTCCTCCTCCATAAAATAGGGATAAGTGAGATGATTGAAAGCTCTTTAAAATGTTATACAAATGTGATCTGTTATTTTTACCGCCGTCAGTATCATTATTTAAGGTTTCTTGTCTGGCCTCAGCTGGACACAGCACCCTCTGATCCAGAAGAATCGCCGGGTGGTTCTGGCCTCCTTCCTGCTGTTGTTGCTGGGCCTCAGTGAGTGTCTGGCTCCCCGGCCTGCCCCCTCCCCACCACCCACCCAGGGTTTCTGTCCCTAGGGGCTGCATGGGGCCACATGCCCTGGATTCACACTGTAACTAGCTAGCTACTGGCCTTCCCATCCTGAGCTGGTGGGAGTTGGGGGTGGAGCTGGGAGCTGGGAGGAAAGGAAGGAGAGGAAGGAAGGAAGGAAGTCATGCTTCAGGTAAGGCTTTGGACAAGGCTGCCTCTGGGCTTCCTTCCAAATCCAAGATCTAATTCTAATCTTTAAAGTCCATCAGTTGACTTCATGTCCAAGAGAGAATGGAGCCAATTTAGGGATCTGAGAAGTGCCTGGCCTATGGAGAAAACAGGGGAGGGGCTGAAGGAAGCCCCGAGTTTAGAGAAGATACCTGTGCCCTCCCAGAACTCCTACACCCACCCAAATCTCTAATTGCCGACATTAATGGCAAAGCTGTGTGAGCTGGGGCAATCACTTTCCTTCTCTGGGCTTGTTTCCTCATCTTCTAAAATGGTACCACATACCAAGCACTAAGCTAGATGTTAGGCCCCCAAAGACATCGATGAAGCCCCCTGTGGTCCCAAGAAGCTGACATCCTCCTGGGGAAAGAACCACACAGATGAGTAAATACAAAAGCAACATGGAGGCATTTGGTACATTTAGGGGAGGTGGGAGCCAGAGAGTAGTGGATTTGGAGGCAGAAAAGACTACTTAATATCTGGGTGACCTCTGGGCCTCAGTTTTCTTACCTCTAAAATGAGGGGATTCAACTAGCTGGCCCCCAAGGTTGCTCTAAATCTATGGCTCTCCGACAGGGGGGCTGGGGAAGAATCAGGAGGGGACTCATGTAGGGGGTGGCACCTTCAAAGAGCCTTGAAGGAAGGGGGTGGGGTGTTCCAGGAGGGATCAAGAAGTTAAATCCAGTGATCAGTAAGAGATTCTCTGACCTAGCACCCCCATTCCCCCACCTGCCTTCTGACCTCTCTCCTGACCTTCTGACTGAAGCACTCATCCTCATTGGGGTAGGACTCCAGGTGAACCCTTCTCCAGGTGAGAGCGCTCTCTTACCCCTAGACTCCTTCCCTGGAATTTGGGAGGTGCATGGGGGATGGGGAGGAGAGAAGGGGGGGTCATTGCTGGCCAGCCCAGCACCTGCATGTCCAGCTCCCCTGTCTTTGCTTTTCTCTAGCCTTGGTCCCCAGGGCCTGGGATTGAGTTCAGCCTGTCCACCTTTCTCCCCACAGGTGTCTCTAGTGCCATCTTCTTTGTTCCTGGCTTCCTGCTGCTCATCCCTGGAGGTGCACCCCAGGCCTGGAGGGGGGAAGGGGAGGGGAGGCCCCCCCACTTCCTGGGATATGGGGTGGGGCCCCGGATAACAAAGGTCAAGGTGATGACAGGCCCCTCCCTTTCAGTATACCACGTCATCTTCATTTACTGCGCTGTCAAGGGCCACCGAGGTTTCCAGTTTTTCTACTTGCCTTACTTTGAGAAATGAGCCGTGAGCCTGCATCTGGGATGGAGCTCCCCCCATCCCGCTGCTGCCTCAGCAGCCCGGAAATGGACACAGCTGGCCAGATCCTTGGAGGCCAGACAGCTCCAGGCTGGGCAGGAGGAAGAGGATGGGGAAGGGGGCCTGGCTAGGGGGAGATAACGACCAGAGAGCATCCCCTTCCCCCTCCTAGGGTTTAGAGCTGAAAGAGACCTCCAAGGCCAGCCAGGCCAAATGCCCTTCTCTCCCCAAGGGAGGGGTGAAATAGTGCCTTGCCCAAAGACAGCCAGCTAGTCAGCAGCAGAGTTGGGATTAGAACCCAGGCCCTCCACCTCCTGACCACTACAAGGCACCTCTGACCCTGACAGACAGGCTAGCTGGAGCCAATAGATAGGGGGAACATTGCTCTTTGCCTGGTCCTCAGTGGCCCAACCCACCCCAGGACTCCTGGAGGTTTTCTCAGGAAGTTTACTACCCCCGTTTCTGTCCCATCCCTGGTCCTTTGTCCGTGGACTTCCCTGGCTCTGGGGCCAGGCCTTCCTGAGCCCCACCTCTGCCCAATCCTGCCTCTGATTCTGGTGCCTTTAACTTATTAGGAGGCCCCAAGGCCATCCTCACATTTAGGATCTTCTGTCCCAATAAAATGGCGTTTGATTCTAGCTGGGAGACTTGTCTCTTTTCTCTTTTCCCTTCAGTCCTCACCTCTCTCACTTCCTCTGCTTCTGTCCCCACCCCTGAATAGGACAAGTTTAAAGATGCCGGCTCTTTTAACCCTTTGTGGTAGGTCACATAAATAGTATCTTCCCCATTGTACAGATGAGGAAACTGACCCAGAAAGGTTTGGTCACTTGCCCAAGATGACAAAGCTTCTACTGCAGACCTGGCTCTTACCACCCACAGGACCTTCCTTTTTAGACTTTCCATTGGCATCCAGTTATCAACTTCATTTCCAAATAAATCCCGCCTCCCTTCCCTGGGGAACCATCTCTTGGAAGAAAGAATGAAAAAGAAAGGGAGGGGCTGAGGAAGCAACTTGACAAAACTCGCCCAATTATCAGCCGAGTCTGATAGCATATGCAACACCTGTAGCTCCCCACCCTGGCAAAGAGCCCTCCTCTTTAAAAAAAAAAAAAACAGCAAAAAAAAAAGGGAAGAAAGAAAGAAAAGAAAGGGGGGAAAAGGGTTTTTTGGGTTGTTGTTTTTTTACATTCTATCACTGACACTTCATCACAGCCTCCCTCCCCAAATAGATCTCTCCCTTGTAACAAAGTATAACCAAGCAAAACAACACAGTAGCCAATGCATGCCTCATTCCTCACCATGGGGTCCACCGCCTCTGCCAGAAGGTGTGGAGACCTGCTTCACCATTAGACTGGCCACTGCCATGACTGCTGTTCTTGAACCCTGCCTCCCATCCTGTACATTGTCCTTGGTTCTATTTTCTTGGCTTTTTGCCGTCTGATAGAAATCTTGGGATTCCTTCTGTTCGATGTTTGCAGAATATCCCATTCCATTCATGCCCTGGTTCGGCCCCTGGGCCCCCTTCTTCATGGCCTGGGCTGCTCTTCCCTCCCCCTCCCCCTCTTCCTTCGCTGGGTGCTGGATTAGCCCCTTGGCAAGTGAAGGAGGAATGTTCAAGACAGTCTCCGGAAAGGCCATTTGCCTCTTTCCCTCCTGTTAATATCCCAAGTCACGGAATCACAGAGTTGGAAGGGACTCCAGCAGCAGCTGGTGTGACTCATACCCCAAAGGAAGGCTGGAAGTGGTCCCCAACCTCTGCCTGAAGACCTCCAAGGAGAGGGGCCCCACCCCTTCCTCAGCAGGGCGAAGAGTCCTCTTTGGGACTCCTCGAGTCATTAGGAAGTTCTTCTGACATCCTGACCTAATTGGCTTTGACACCTTGTCCGCATTCACTGCTCCCCTTCCTGCCCTGTGGGCACCCAGCAGCACAAGCCTGATCCCTTCAAACACTTGAAGCCAGCTCTTAGCCCCCCTGAATCTTTTCTGCTGCAGGCTAAGCACCCCCAGTTTTGTCCAGTGGGATGAGCGTCCACACTCTCCTCTGAGCCCTTCCTTCTTAACCTGCGGTGCCCAGAACTGGACACAATATGCTGGAGCTTCCCCTTATAGGGTAAGGGGACTCTCTAGGTCTCCTCCGCCCCCTTCTCTGTAAAGGTCAGAGCCTCGGCAGGTGCTGCATGCTCCCCAAGCTTCTCCTCGACTCTGGTCTCCAGTGCCTGGATTCCTCAGGCTGCAGGACTGAGATCGGGCAGAGAGCTTGGCACCCAGCCCTCTGGGTGACCCCTTTAAGAATAACCTACTAAGAATAGCACCCTTTAACATTTGCAAAGGACTTTGCATATGTAGTTATTTCATTTGCTTCTCATAGCAATCCAGTTATTATATCCCCATTTCACAGATGAGGAAACTGAGCCTCAGATAATTTAAGTGACTTCCCCAAGGTCACAGCTCATCAGTTGTCAAAGGCGGATAGGGTGTTCCTGACTTGCAGTCAGGAAGATGAAGTCAAATCCTGCCTCCAACACTGACTAGGTATGCAGATAATAGGTAAGCAATTGAATTAACCACTTTTATCCTCAGTTTCCTCATCTGTCTAATGGGAGAATGAGAGCTCCTGCCTCCAGCAGTAATCTGGCTAAAAGCATTGCATAGGCAGGAGTTCCTAGGAAGCCAGGTCTTCCCCACTGCAAGGCCAGGGAGGGGAGGTGACCACCATGGGGGCTGGCAGAGCCCTGTCTTGTGTTTTAGTGGGGAGACCTCTTGTACATGAATCAGATGAGATGCCACTGAGGTCCCCTCCTCCTCTCAAGTTCTAGGGTCCTGTGCCTTGTAGGCAGTACTAGTAGGAGATAGATTTGGAACTCAGGGAGAAAGGAAAGGCTTGTTAAGTGAAAAAGAAAAAGCAGTTGGAGCCCTATCCTTGCTCCAGCCCAGACACTCTTTCCCTGCCCTGGACCTCAGGGGCTGTTCTGTACCTCAAGACCCCACTTTCTGCTTCTTCCAAAGGTGGTTTACATCTGTTACCAAAAGCTACCTCTGGGACCACTGGCCTTAGGACCTGGCCTCACAGCATCCTCCTCACCTGGGGTGCTTTATCAGCCCGGGCTCTTTTCCCAGGAAGTCTGGGGCCCCAGATCTTTCTTGTCTAGAGAACCTTCTCAGGCTAGCTGCCCCTACTTCTTCTTGGCCCCAGGGCGGCAGCTGGGCTATTGCTTCGGATGCCCCGGGGCCAAGGGCACCCAGAGAGAATGACGTGGAGATGGGAATTGGAGGCCAGTGTCCTGGTTCATAGCCTGATGCTGGCTCCCCCGGGGGCCACCAGAACCATCCCAGAATGTGGGCCACTCTAAGAAAACTGGCACCTGCTGATCCAGAGACCTCTTTCCCTGCCTCTTCTTGGGACAGATGGAGGACAAAAGGCAAGACAAGCAGATGGATGGAGTGCTCTGAGCCCGACTGTGGGCCCAGGACAAGTAGAGGGAGTGAGGTCAGAGCAGTCAGGGCAGGCAGGCACCTGGGAAGATAGGCCAAGCTAGCCAATGAGGAGGAAGTCCCAGGGCCCGGGGCAGCCAATGAAGGTATCTGGTCAATTCCCAGTGGCTCTAATAGCATCTCTCCTGTCTCTGCCCTTCCTATTGCTGTGACCCTAGCTGGCTCCACATTCACTCAGACAATTCAACAAGTACCAGCTGGTGCCAGTGCTAGTGCCCAGCCCTTGGTGGGCTGAGGTCAGGGAGGCAGGAGAAAGAAAAGGAGTCGAAACCCGCCCTCCATCCTTGCAGAGACCAGACGCACAGGCAGGGCGCAGCTATTACAGGCTCTGGGACAGTGCGTGGCCTACTGTGAGATGGGATCCTCCAGAGTGAGTCAAGGAGGGCTTCCTGGAGGGGGTGAGGCTTCCATTGGGCAGGACAGATGGGTGGCAAATAACCTTGGCCTTCAAGTCAGGGGACTGGATTCAAATCCCAGCTCTGCCATTAACTCTGTGTGACTGTGAGCACCTCAGAGGCTGTCCCCTCCAATCCCCTCGTTTTGTAGGTGAGGAAACTGAGGTCACACAGGTGGTCAGTGTCAGAAGCAGGATTTGAACTCAGGTTCTCTGGTTCTAGATGTCAGGAGGGGCTGCAGAGATGAGGCAGGTGTCAGGCATTCTCGGAGCTGAGCTGTTCCCCTTCCTTTCTTGGGGCCTCAGTTTCTCATCTGTAGAACTGAGGAGAGGGCTGAAGTAGGTGGCCCCTCTAAGGCCTATGAAGCTCTCTATCTCTGGAGGCGAGTGGATAGGGAAGGCCCGCAGCAAATGAAGGGGGAAACATCGGGGCACCGGGGACATCAGACACAGGCCATCCAGTCAGACGACCTCGTCAGCAGAAAGAACACAGGGCCTTGTCTGTCCTCTGGGTCCCTGGGGGATCCCTGGGGTCCAGGGACCTTCAGCTTAGCGGGCCGACAGCATCATCACGAACTCTGGGGGAGAGGGAAGGCATGAGAGCAGGTCAAGCATCAGAGCTGCTGGAAAGGGGAGGGTGGGATGGAGCAGAGCACTATGGGAGTGTGTCGGGTGGGAGTGGGGCCTCTGTTCTCACCATCAAAGTCCACGTGTCCATCTCCATTGAGGTCGACCTCCCTCAGGATCTCTTCCAGCTCAGGCCCCACCAGGGGCTCCCCGAGCAGTGCCGGGGCCGCAGCCCGCAGCTCAGCCACAGTGATCCGGCCATCCCTGTCGGCATCGAACTGCAGGAAAGCCCGGCAGAGGGGCTCAGTCCCCTGACCCCCGCCCCCAGCCAGCACCTCCTCAGACCCTGGCCTTTGGCTGCAGCAGGGCTCTGCCTGTGGCCCCGGGTAGCACGGAATCCTGCCTTCCCGTTCTTCCCAGGCAGGACAGAGCCTCTCTCCTTCCCCTCCCTAGCCCCGTAGTCTCCTGCCACCACCCTTGTCCACACACACACACACACACCACACACACACACACATGCCACATACGCATACACACATACACACACCACCCTCCTCCATACACACACCACACACACCCCACACATATACATACACCACCCTCCTCTATACCCACACACACACACACCACCCTCCTCCATACACACACACACACACACACACACACACACACACACACTCCCCCTACCTCTCGGAAAGCGATCCGAAGTTCCCGGATGCCCAACATGTGCGCTGTCTCTGCTCGGAGCTTTGGCCCTATCAGCTCCACAAATTCTTCAAAGTCCACACAGCCACCCACTGCAGGACCCAGGGAGGAGCTTTAGGACAGCAGCCTGGGATGCCCTGTGCCCAGGCACGTCTCTAACAGGGGCCCTTGGGGGCACTCACCCCAGCTGTGGGTGTTAGGACCTTTGCTCACTCCCTTGGAGCAGGGTGTAAGGAAGGCATCTGTAAACCTTGGATGGCTTTGGCCCCTCAGTGGGCCCATGCCCATGACCGGCTCTTCTACCAAATGAATTACCCCCCACCTACCCCGCCTTAGTGGAAGGCCCTGGATCATACATCCAGGAAATCTGTGTCTCCCGTTGGCCCCGGGGGGGGGGGGGAGAGGCTCAGAAGGTTCATTCCATCACTCCACAGCATGAACGCTCCATCAGGAAAACCTCTACTAACTGGAAGGCCCAGATGGGCTGCTCCAGGAAGGCCAAATCATCTGATTAACCAAAACTTTCTACCGCCTCTTCTGGTCCAAGTAATGCTCCCACCTGTGGGTGTCTCCCAAAGCTCCGCCCTGGGCTCTCAGCCCTTCCCCTTCCATATTATTTCACTGGGTGATCTCCTCAGTCCCATCCCTGGGCAGAAGACCGGGGCTGACCGTGTCACTCTCCCAATCAACAAGTCCCACCAGATCAAATCTAAAATCTTTTTTTGGCTTTTAAAGCCCTTCACCACCTGGCCCCTTCCCCCCTTTTCAGTCTCCTGACACTCTAGTTCCCCCCGAATGTCAATGATCTGACTGCACAGGCTTCCTTTTTGTTCTCTACATGTGACATTCCATCTCCCACCTCTGTGACTTTGCCTGGGCTGTGCCCTGTATATGTAATGCTGCACTCCCTCCCCTCTCCTGCTTAGTTTTCCCAGCTTCCTTTGAGATTCTGGTCCTCCCAGCTACTACTGCCTTATCCCAGATGACCTTCAATCCACTCTGTATCTATCATGTGTAAGGAAGCAGAGAACACTGGAGGCAAGAGATCAGAACTGTTATCCTGGCCCTGCTGTCTTCGGTCTCTGTGACCTTGGGCAAACCTCTTTCCCTCTCTGGGCCTCCGTTGCCTCATAAGTAAAATGAGGGAGCTGGGGCAGATGGTCTCTGACTTCCCTTTCGAGCCCAGTTTTATGATCACATTTAAAATAAAAACCAAAGCCTTTCCCGGGAGGGCCTAGGTCGTCTGCCTCCAGCCCCACCGGCCCCTGCACCTCCTGCATCTCCTGCATCTCCCCCTCCAGCCCGGACTGCTGATCACTGGTGCCCCAGCCTGGCCAGATCCCCTCGCATAACGGCCGTCTCCCCGAAGAAGGGGGGGAGTCAGACCTGGAAGCCCTCTAGAAGCTGCTTGTCCATCCTCCCTCCATGGGAGTCTGCAATCTGACCAGCTGCCACAGCTGAGCCCTCAGGGGGCTTGGCCTTGGCTTGCAGGCCAGGAAGCGGCCTTGTCTGGTTGGGTTTTCTTATAAACATGAACTAAAAGGAGGAAAATCCAGTCGATGTCATAAGACCAATCTTATCTGAAGCAGAGGAGTGGCCTTGAGCATCCTAGAGAGATTAGCATTCAAACACAGAGCAGGCCTTTGGGGGGGGGGGGGGGCAAAGGTTCTACTACAGATCTCTGTTTATGTGGAAAGGATTTCCTTCAGACCCCAATTTAGCGCCTCATTTCAAGCCTGGGCTGCCCATCTCCTACCATGGGAACATCTTAGAATGTCAGGGATGAGAGAGCTCTTAGAACACAAAAGGTCAGAGCTGAGAGGGCCCTGAGAACATAGAACACAGAATGTCAGAGCCGGGAAGGCCTTTAGATCACAGGGCACAATGTCAAAGTTGGGAGGGACTTTAAGTCTTGGAATATCAGAGTTGAAGGGAATCTTAGAATATAAAACACAGAATTTCACCTTTGGGAGGAATCTTGGACATAGAACATGAAATGTCAGACCTTAGAGATCATCAGCTGGATCGATGGACTTTCAGGTCTTCCTTTCCTGACTGAAAGGTTCCCCAACCCACACCCTCATTTTCAGCCTGACCTTGATGGGAACTTGAAACCCTCCCCGTGGAGGCTCTGGTCGACTCCATCCCACTCATTGGTGTCCAACTCCCCTCCAGGGGCCTGCTGCTGGCCTCACCCCACCTTCTGTGCCCACTGTGCCCAGCCTGTGCTATCCCTACTTCCCAGGCTTTGTCCCTGTAACCACACATGCACACACACACGCGCACACATGCACGTGCGCACGCACACTTGGCACACCGCCCTCCCCCTATCCCCGGGGATTCTGGACACTGACTTCTCATCTTGACGTGCTGGGAGATTTCGATGAGCTCCATCTCGGTGGGCATGTACCCCAGCGTCCTCATGCAGGCCCCCAGCTCCCGGTAACCAAGATAGCCGTCTTGGTCAGTGTCAAATTCATTGAAGGCCTCAAGCAGCTCTGTCCAGGTCCAACGATGTGGTGGAAGAAGAAGGGAAGGCCAGGGCTCAGCATCGTACCTCGCAGGTTGCCAATCCCTCATGGTCCTACTTGCCCCCTTCACCCATCTCCACCAGCTCGCAGGGCTCCCCAGCCTCTCCCCCCCCCTCCATCTCTCTTCTCTCTCTTGGCTCCAATGGGCCCCTCTCTCTGCCTCGGCCCTCAGTTTCCACAATGGCTCACCATCAAGCTCCTCAGGGCCCAGCTCCCGATCCTGCAAGAAGAAAGATCAGAGAAAACCTGGGCTACCCAAAGCCTCTGGCCACTGCACTCATGCCCTCTCCCTGGCTCCCGCCCAGGAATCCCCTTCATGCCGGTCTCTCTAGTCTGGGAAGGTACCACCTGCCTCTGTGAGATGGAAAGAGCCCTGGGCTGGGAGTCAGACCTGGGCTCCTAGGCTGCCACTCTGGACCTTCCCCCACTCTGAGCCTCCGTTTCCTCATCTGTGAATTGAGGAGGCTGAATTGGGCCTAACTAAGGTCCCTCCCAGTTCTGATAATCCATTTTAAACACACCCATACATTTGTTGGTAGATGTTTTACAAAGAAATTTCTCATCCATTAGATCCTGGGAGACTTTTGGCAGTCCCAGGAGGCAGCTGGCAGGGAAAGAACTGTACTCATTTTTCAAACGCAGCCATTGAGGCTCAGAGATGTAGTGAGTGGTCCAAGGTCACGCAGCAGAGATAGCCATGCCTAGGACAAGTGTCCACTCTACCTCCAGCCCCTGGACTGTGTGCGAGCTACATACGTCAGTACGGAAACTGTCTTATCTAAACACCTGCTTTCCCCTGGTGCCCAGCACCAAGCCCTGATCAGAACAAGTGCTCAATAACTACGTGTGAGATCAATCGCCCCGCCTTTCCTCCCACCTCCTCAGCCCTGGGCCCCCATCCACTTTCAGGGACCTGCTATGGAGACGTTATTCCAATGTGTGTGTGGAGGGGAAGCATTGGGGTCACATCCCCTCCTGTACCAAGCTGGGGCTCCCCAGCAGGGGACTCCGTGGTGTCCATCAGTGGCTATGCCCTGGGAGGCTTGTCTCCCGTCCCCATAATCCCAGTGCCCAGGCCCTCACCTTGCCAAAGACACTGTTCAGCAGGGGCCAGTAAGCCTTGTGGGCAGGGTCGTGGTAAGAGTCACCCCGGTGCCGATGGGACAGCCTTCGGTGGCCAGGAGCCAGGGCAGCCTGGGAGCCTTCCCCAGGCCGAGCCTCTCCCTCAGCTTCACAGCCCCTGGCAGAGGGCTTCTCCTCCTCAGCCTTCTCCGCAGAACCACTGCCCGCGCCTTTCTGGGATTCCCCGCGCCCCTTCTCTCTCTTGCTTCTCCTCGTACTCTGGTCTTTCAGGAGCCCTCCTTCAGACTTGGCCCTGACAGTCTCCCCCGAGGGAGGCTTCTCAGGGCCCGGACCTCGGCTATCGCCTCCCTTCTTGTGTCTGCTCCCATTCTTAGCAGCCATGCAGGGCAGAGTCGGGAGGGAATAGTGTAACCGCGTTCACATTCAGCCCTCAAGGATCCAGAAAATCAGCTTAGTTCCAACCCCCCCCCCCTTCCCCCAGGGAACAGCAGGGCTGGGGTCAGGTCACCGACTGGGGATTAAGGTAAGTAAGAAGGAATCTGTCCAGGCTGATTATCCAGTGGGGCCTCAGCCCCACTCAGGGGCCACTGAGGTCCCCAGCCCGGGGCTCCTGGACCTCCCTGTGCCCAAAGGAGAGCAGCGACAGCAGGAAGAGTGCCCACGAGGACAGTACACCCAGGTGGGCAGCACCGGCTCACTCCTGATGGCCGCCCCGTGAGACATCAGGCCTCACCGTTTGCTAGAGATCTCAAACTTCTCATGGCCCAACTACCAAGTCCGAGGACTTCGATAAAGCTGGAGCCAACTTCGGAGGCCATCGAGCATTTTACAGAGGAAGAAAGGAGGCCCCGAGTGGGGACGCAGGGTCACACAAGCAGCGGAGACTTGAATCCGGGTCCTCTGATGCCAGATCTGGCTGCTTCCTCTTTCTGAGGCTCAGTCCTCGCTGTAGAAGGGGGCGAATGAGCCAATCACGTAGAGGTAGGAAGTATTATTGTAATGTTGGAGTATCATTTGGCTGCTAGGTGAATCTGATACCCCCGCCCCCCCCCAACACACAACTATTCCTACTTCCACTGGGGCCTTCTGGAGACGTCAGGCAGACCGGGAAGAGCGTGTGGCCATTCAGTCAATGAACCCATAGCCATCGATGTGTCAATCAACAAGCATTTCTCAAGTGACTGCTGTCAGAAGGACACTGTAGTAGGTGCTATGGATACAAAGACAAAAAAACCAACACTCTTCCCCTTCAGAGGGTTTACATTTTATCGAAGGAATATTTTTTATCAGACTAGAGGCCAGGCCTGGAGTCAGGAGGACCTGAGTTCAAATCCAGCCTCAAACACTTACCGGTATCCCTGAACACGTAACTTAACTGCTGTCTGCCTCAGTTTCCCCAACTATCAAATGGAGATACCAAAAATATCTTTCTTGCATTTGTAGTAAGCGACAAATGAGATATCTGTTGAGTGCTTTGCAAACCTCACAGCTCTTTCTAAATGCCAGCTGCTATTTTTATTATTATTCACAAAGAAGGAGCCAGCTCAGCTGAGGTGAGAAGGGAAATAAGGATTTTTACCAGGGAGCAGTGAGAAGCGGGTGCACTCCAGACATGGGGGACCAAATCTGCAAATGTGCAGAGGTCCAGGGACCCCTCAGAATCATCCGGTGGCAGGATCATCCAGTACATCAAGGAAATCTACAAGAAATAGGCCTGGCCGGGTCTGTGACTCAGGTGAGGGACGCACATGTGCTTGGACCTGATTCTAGGGCAGTGTTTCTTAAACTGGGGGTGGCGACCCCCTATGTGGAGGTCGAATGCACTACAACCAAACATTAATTGAAAATCAAGGGGCAGCTAGGTGGCGCAGTGGATAGAGCACCGGCCCTGGATTCAGGAGGACCTGAGTTCAAATCCAGCCTCAGACACATAACACTTACTAGCTGTGTGACGCTGGGCAAGCCACTTAACCCCATTGCCTAGCCAAAAAAAAAAAAAATCAAGTGTGTAATGAATCGGAGGAGTTTCTGGCAGGCTTGCCCGTGTTATATCACGGACTTCACTGCAGCCCTGGTTCTGAACACAAAGCACATGCCATCACACCACGCAAGGCCTACAAGCGCCAGAAGCACCCTGGCTCTGATTCAAGACTATCGCATGCTGTGGATTGCAGTGTTTTTACTGTACACACACAGTTCTCTGCTCTTACAGAAACATAATAGTCCAATTATGGGGAAAAAAGACTTTTAATATTTTCCTACCATCATTCCTGAGCATGTAAGTATCCAATTAGTATTTCTTTGGATTGCATTGAGTTAGAACGTTCGATTTGAAAAATTGCTGTTGTCTCCTTCTTATACAGAAACATGTTAATTGCAGCAAATAGAGATAAAAGCCATTTAATAATATTTCTTTTTTTTTTTTTTTTTGGCTAGGCATAGGGTCAAGTGCCTTGCCCAGGGTCACACAGCTAGTAAGTGTTATGTGTCTGAGGCTAGATTTGAACTCAGGTTCTCCTGAATCCAGGGCCGGTGCTCTATCCACTGCACCACCTAGCTGCCCAATAGTATTTTTCTACCATCTCTACTGTATGTGTATGGAAGTGTGAACGTCAATTTTTAAAATTAAGCACAAATGTAATTTCATACACTAAAGCTGGTATTTATTTGAGAAATTATTAGCAATATTTTTTATATCTTAGGACAAAATATTTTTTCAGCTGTGGATAAGTGGCTAAATTTAGATAGAAAAGGTAAAAAATATTGGTAAAAATGTGATAGAGTCTTTTCTACCAGGCTGTGGTATGCCTAAATTGATGAGAAAAAGAAAATATTCAAATCATGTGACTCTCAAAAGGGTGAAGATTAAACAGATTATTGAAATCGAAAGATGAAGTTGTTTATACTTTTGACCAAACAGAAATATGATTATGTTAATGTTTTTCATAATAACTTATGGCTTTCAAAACTGTGTTATTTGTCAGATATTTTTGAAAAACTCAATGATTTAAACATGTCACTTCAAGGAAAAAATGTGACATATGTTAAAAGATAAAATTGAAAGTTTTATTAAAGAAGTTAACACATAGAAGAATAGGGTAGAAAATGGTTCTTTAGATGATTTTATTATTGAAAATAACCTTCCCAGATATTTAATTGTAAGAGTTGTAATTGATCACCCAAAGTGCCTAGAGACACACTTTCAGAAATACTTCCCTTCAAAGTTTGATTCTAAAACACTAAGTTGGATTCGTAAGCTATACTCAATTGAAATAAAAAATGTCAGTCATTTGCCATTAAAAGTTCAGTAAGAATTGACTGAGTTATCAAGTGACACAGGTTTAAAACTTGAGTTTTCTAGAAAATCATTAAATGAATTTTGGCTTGGGATTAGGACAGAATTTCCAACAACTTTTGAAATGGCCCTAAATATACTTCTGCCATTTTGTACTATACATTTATGCAAAGTGGCATTCTCTGCACTGACAATTCTAAAATCAAACTATTGATCAACTCTGAAAAATGCTGAAGATACTCTGCATCCTGCAGTATCGAGTATTTCACCGAGATTTAATTCCTTATGTAAAAATAAACAAGCACAACCATTTTGTAAGTATGGAAGTTTGATTCATCTTTAATAAATGGTAAAATTATATGTATGCCAAAGGACTGTTTTAAAATAAATTTTTTTATGATTTATTATCAGTAAATGTTTGACTTGTATACCTATTTTATATACCTATATACCTGGGGTTTTTTCCTCAGGTGAAATTTCTCAGGTGAAAAGGGGTTGTGAGTGGAAAAAGCTTGAGAAGCACAGTCTAGGTCATTCACAGGCCCCAAATCCGTCAGTGAGTTGGGGGGAGGTGTCTACCTCAAGCATGGAGGAATGGGTAGGAGCTTAGAGCTCGGTCAGACATGGAAGACGCCAAGGTCATCTGCTGCATACTAGGTCATTGCCATGGTCCTGACTTTTGTCCTGCCACTGGACTTCAATGACTCAGAAAGAAAGTGAGGTTGACAACTTTGTGCAGCTCTGCCTCTCTTAAATCCAATCCACCTGCACATCAAGACATCACCGGGTCACATCACTGGTCCTCTTTGAAAATGAAGGACAAACAACGACAATGAAGTCAATAAGGAGCCACTGAGGACTGTGAGCAAGCAGTATGACAAGGGGAATGTACCTTTGTCAGCTGGTCACCTAGCAATTATTAAGTGCCTACTGTACGCCAGGCACTCTGCTAAGAGCTGAGAATCCAAAGGAAAGCCAAAAAAAGAAAGAGAGAGAGAGAGGAAAGAAAGAAAGAAAGAAAGAGAGAGAGAGAGAGGGGGGGGGGAAGGAAGGAAGGAAGGAAGGAAGGAAGGAAGGAAGGAAAGAAAGAAAGAAAGAAAGAAAGAAAGAAAGAAAGAAAGAAAGAAAGAAAGAAAGAAAGAAAGAAAGAAAGAAAGATGAGCCCCCACCCTGGAGGAGCTGCTGGTAGAATGGGACAGACAACATGCCAGCCCCTATGCACAAACAGGCTTACAGATGGGGTACATTGGAGAGCGTTAACAGAAGGACAGTACTGGGGCTGGGAGGACTGAGAAAGGAGTCTTGTAGAGGGAGGGACCTTCCCTCGAGGCAGCCAGTGGAATCTCTCACAGTTGGGAGGTTGGGCATTCCAGACCAGGTCGATTTTGGAGGGAGCTGTGGGGTAAAGGAACGTGTGGTTTGGGGGTTGGTTTTTTTTTTAGGTTTTCTGACACTGTTCTTTACAGGCTCTCCTACCTCTCTGGTGGCTCCTTCTCATCCTCCTTTACTGGATCTTCATTCACATCGTGCCCACTAATAGCGAGGGATGGTCTCCCAAAGCTCCATCCTGGGTCCTCCTCCTTTATCCCTCTGTATCATTTCCCTTGGGAATCTTGTCGGCTCTGCTGGCTTTTCTCAGATCTACTTGTCCAGCCTAACCTCTAAGCCTCATATCTCCAACTGTCTTCCCAACATCTTGAACTGGGTGTTCCATAGACATCTTAAACTCAACATGTCCAAAACTGAACTCATATCCCCACCCCGAACTCATCCCTCCTCCTAACTTCCCTGGACCTACTGAGGTCGGGCACCACCACCACCCTCCCAGTCACCCAGGCTCCTGACTCGGGCAGCAAGCTCTACTCTTCGCTCTCACCAATCATTTCTTGATTTATATAGACCCCTCCTCTCGGATGCTGCTACCCTCAGGTGTAGTCAATCAGCCAATAAACTTTCACTAAGTGCCTGCTATGCACCCGCATCGTGCTAAGTGCTGGGGATAAAACAAAAGGGGGGGGGGAGCAAAGGACAGTCCCTGCCCACAGAGCTCACCCGCTAGAGATAGCAAGCAAACCAATATGTACACGTACAAAGGGCTTTATGTAGGACAAACAGGAGATAAGGGGGAGGACACTAGAATTAAGAGGGATTGGGAAAGTCTTCCAGTGGAAGATAAGATTTTGGTTGGGACTTGAAGGCAAGTCAGGAGACAGAGGTGAACAGGGAGAGGCTTCCAGGCACGGGGGACAGCTTGAGAAAACGCCCAGACCCTTAGAGATGAAGGGGCTGTCTTAGTTGTGGAACGGCATCACTGGCGTCAAAGACTATGCATGACGGGGACTCCAGCACCTCCCGCCTCAAGTCCTGCACTGGCTGCTGAGGGGTCTCCCTACTCGCTCCGGGCCATTGTCCACGCAGCTGCCTAAGAGGTCTCCCTAAAACTCAGCTCTGACCACATCACTCCACTAGTCATTGACCTCCAGTGACTCCAGATCACCTCTAGGGTCAAATATTAAATCCTGTGTTTGGCATTCAAAGCCTTTCAGAACCTGGCCTCTTCCTCCCTTTTCACTCCCTTCCACATGCTCTGCCAGTCTGTACCCTGGGCCTCCTGGATCTTCCTCACAAACGACATTCCATCTCCTGAACGCCCAGGGTTTCCCTGACTGTCCTGGATGCCTGGCGCTTGCTTCCTCCTCATCTTCTCCCCCAGCTTCCCTGACTCCCTTCAGGTCCCAGCAAAAGCCATCCCTTCTTCAAGAAGCTTTTCCCAGTCCTGAGACCACCCCCAATTCATCCCAGGGATGTCTTCTTTGTACATAGTTGTCGGTATATTGTCTTCACAGTTAGACTGTGAGCTCCTTGAGGGCAGGGACTGTCTTTTGCCTTTTTTTTGTATGCCTGGCACCTAGCACAGTGCCTAACACATAGTAGGTACTTAATATATACTAGTTGATTGAGACTGCTTTTAATGGCCCCAGGCATGTTCCTGAAACAACAAATCTTTTAAACACCTTATTTTAACCTTTATCAAATCTTTGCCTTCTCAATGAGAGGGGAGGAGAGGGGAGGGAAGGGGAGGGGGGAGAGAATTTGGAACTCAAAATTGTAAAAAACAAAGGTTAAGGGGCAGCTAGGTGGTAAACACTGACATTTTTTTCTGGCAAAGCTATTTGACTGAGAACCAGGAAACACCACTCACTGTCTCTGGAGGCTGAGACATTGGAAACATTGCAATTTATCGAATTCGAATGGTGGGTCATTCAAGGAGTGTGTGGTGGGTCTCTGTAAGAAGTGGCATATCGTGGACCAAGAGTCATGGAGGTAAAGTTGCATAAAGCAGAGATGAAGGACCAGAGCTAGGGAGTGACCGATAGCTCTTTGTGTGCCACTGGCGTCCAATCAACGTCAGCACCTGTCCATGGTTCAATCAGGAGGATGTGGCCAACAGTCCTGTGGCATAGAAAGCTGTTTGGGGGAACTCCTAAGTCAGCGAGGTCACGGCTTCATCTGACATACTAAGGTTGATGTCAGGAAAAAACTTCCTGCCAATCAGAGCCATCCCGAAGTAGAATAGACTGCCTCTGGAGGTAGTGAGTTCCCTGTCACTGAGGCTGGACAAGAGTTTTATAGACTTCCTGCTCAGACATGAGTTAGCCTCAGGAGCCTCTGAGGCCCCTTCCAGCCCTGAGAATCAGTGACCCTTGAGCCTAATCAATGCTAATAGAGTAGCCCCTCTGGGATCCTCCCATTAGATTGTGAGCTTCTTGAGGGCAAGGACTGCCCTTTGCCTCTTTTTGTATACTCAGTGCTTAGCACAGTGCCTGTCACTTAGCAGGTGCTTAATAAATGCTCACTACTGACACCTTGCCCTGCTGGCTCCTGCTATTCCCAGGCTCCAGGGCCCTGCTGGGAGGGCAAGATTGGGGGTTTACAAGAAGAACAGAAGGCTCCAGACCACTTCTGATAAAGCTGTGCATTCAACAACCAAAGAGGCTGTCGAGAGCCTTGAATGCCAATCTCAGGGATGTTTGGGGCAGAGGTGCCAAAGGGATCTGAGGGGCCTTCAGGCCTATGTCTGCACATTATAAGCTGCATGACGAATGCGGGAGGTCACTTGGTTCTTCCTGGCTCCCCCTTCCACCTCCAAATCCGTCCCAATGATGTTGACTTCCTGGCCTCTCTCTATGAGAGAGCTGGGGTGCTAATGCTCTCCCCGAGAGGATGGAGGAGAGGCAGAGTGACCACAGGTCTAGGGGCTTGGGTGGGGGGAAGGGGGATAGCAGCCTGACTCCAGAACACTGCCCAGCAGGGACTGGGGTTAGGGTTTCTCCAGGAGAGGAGCTCTATGAATGTTTAATGGGCCTGCCTGGCTTGGGTTACCTCTCCCACTGCAGAAGTGCATGGGGCTACCGTCCACTACACCCAGAGCCCAACCCCAGACAGACAGACTGGCAGACAGGTGGTCACACCCCATAGGCCTTCACTGCCTGGCCAGGGGAACTGAAAGCAGACGCGGAGAAGCCAGACCGTGTGGCAGCTCTCTGCCCCATCCTCATCTCTGCCCCTGGGGCCGCTCCCCACGTACTGGTAAGCCTGTCTACTCCCTGAATCCCCAGCCATGGCCTCCTCTAGGGCCTGGGACACCTGAGGGAGAGAAGGGGACCTCTGGCCAGGAGGTTTGGGGAGGAGCTTCCTGGGCAGGGGTCTGGTGTGGTGGGACAACTTTTTAACAGAGAGCTCCCAGTAGGTGAGTGTCCCCACCCAGAGGAGTTCCCCTACCTGCCCCCACAGGCAAGGGCCCAGAGACCACCAAGAGGCTGGAGGCAGAGACAAAGGATGATGGGATTAGTGCTAGCAGGGACCATAGAGGCCATCAGGCTCATGTTCTCGTTTTACAGAGGAGGAAACTGGGGCCCAGAGAGGGAGAGGGATTTGCCCCAGGTCTCCCAGCTGAGTCAAGAGGAGAGCCTCAGTCCCAAACTAGGACTCTAAACTAGGGACTTATTTACCATGTTGCTTTTTGGTCCCAGAGGAAACCCATTGTCCCAAGAAGGACCAATCTGGGAGCTCCTCCAGGAAGGGCTTCTGGGAAAAAGAATTCTAGTGTCTGCAAGGGTCCTTAGAGGTCATGTAGCCCATTTTACAGAGGGGGTAAATTGATGCTCAGGAATGAAGGAAGGAGGGAGAGAGGAAGGAAAGAAAGAAGGGAGGGAGGGAGGGAGGAAATGGGGAAGGGAAGGAAGGGAGGAATGAGGGAAGGGAGAGAGGATGAAAGGAAAAGAGGGAGGAAAGAAGAGGAAGGAGGGAGGGAGGAGATAAGAAGGAGAGAGGAGGGAGGAAAGAAGGAAGGCCTCCTGGAAGAGGCGGTTGGCTCTGCAGCTGCCTGTCCCATCTCCCCCAGAACCTCCTGGTCTGGCATACCTTCCTCGGTCCTTACCCATCCTGCTCTGGGCACTCTAAGCTGGGCAGGTGCTGATGTGCTCCCTAGCTCCACCCAGTCTCCTCCCTCCTCTGAAGGTGGGCCTCAGAGGGAGCTGAGGAGAAGGCCCACCAATGACTCCATAATGCTGTGACTGGAGTCATGAAGACCTGAGTTCAAATCTTGATTCAGAGACTTGCTAGCTGGGCCAGTCCCTTCACATGCTGGGCTTCAGTTTCTTCATCTATAAACGACAGCTGGATTGGCCATACCTTCAGATCCCTCTAACTCTGAATCTCCACGGTTACAAACCTGCATTTATTAGCCGCCACCCAAACCCGGGCACTGTGCTAGGCACCAGAAACACAAAGACAAAAATCAAACACTCCCTGTCTTCAGGGAGCTTGCATTCTATCTGGGAAACAACATAGCCATCTCAAAGGAAGTTCATGGCCTTTTGGGGCAGCTTAGAGCAGCTTAGGGTGGATGCACAAACATCCTCATTTTATACAGGGACACTGATCCCCAGAGACAGTGGCTCACCTAACGTTACACAGACTGAGGCAGGATTTGAATCCGGGTCTTTGGGCTCCAAGCCCAACACTCATGGCACAGCTTCTCCAAAGGCTGGGAAGGATCCCGAAGCCAGACAGGACAAGGTCTTCCTAGGACAGTAGAATCAAACACCTTTAACAGCTGGGTCAGGTGTCTGGAAAAAGATGGGCAGGATTCCCAGGGGTTCAAAGCACTCTCTGCCTGACCAGGCTCTGGGGCTGAAGGCGTACCCTGGGGCACTGGCACTGAGATCCTCCCTTCTTGCCCAGAGCTGGTGCTGAGATGGTCTCAAAGCCTGGGGTTCTCTCTTCTCTCCTCTCCCTCTGCCTGCAGGCCCAGCAGCCTGGCCCCCCAGCAATGGAAGCAGGCAGTGCCAGGCTGGCGCCACCCTGGAGGACGAGATCTGAGTTGGACGATGACTATTATCCCCAAGGCGGTTGGGACACGGCCTTCCTGGTCACACTGCTGCTGGTGGGGCTGCCAGCCAACGGGCTCATGGCATGGCTGGCAGGCTCCCAGGCCAGGCACAGGGTTGGCAAGCGTCTGGCCCTCTTCCTGCTCAGCCTGGCCATCTCGGACTTCCTCTTCCTAGTGGCCACTGCCTTCCAGATCATGGAGATTCGATTGCAGGGACACTGGCCCCTTGGAACAGCTGCCTGCCGTTGCTATTACTTCCTCTGGGGGATCTCCTACTCCTCAGGCCTCTTCCTGCTGGCGGTCCTCAGCCTCGACCGCTGCCTGATGGCCTTGTTCCCTCGGTGGTATCCCCGCCATCGCCCATCCCGCTTGCCGCTCTGGCTGTGTTCTGGGGCCTGGGTGCTGGCCACCCTGTTCAGTGTGCCCTGGCTCATCTTTCCCGAGGCCAACGTGTGGTGGTATGACCTCGTCATCTGCCTGGACTTCTGGGACACCGAGGAGCTGCCCCTGCGGTTCCTGGAGATCCTTGGCGGGCTGCTGCCCTTCCTCCTCCTTCTGGGCTCTCATGTGCTCACCCAGATCCAAGCTTGCCGACTCCGCCGGCAGCAGCCACAGGCTGGTGGAGCTGGGTCCTGCCCAGCCGGCTTCTCCCGCGTGGCCGCCACCATCCTGTCAGCCTACATAGTCCTCCGGCTGCCCTACCAGCTGGCCCAGCTGCTCTACCTGGCTTACCTGTGGGACTTCTACCCTGGCTACTTCCTCTGGGAGGCACTGATCTACTCCGACTACCTGCTCGCGCTCAGTAGCTGCCTGAGCCCCTTCCTCTGTGTCTTGGCCAGTGCTAACCTCCGCGCCCTTCTTCATTCCATGCTCTCCTCCTTTGCTGCTGCTCTGGCTGAGGAGAGGTTCAGGGGCACCATGCCTGCAGCCTCGCTGCCAGCTCAGCCCGAGCCTGCAGTTCCACTCCAGCCCCAGGTGAACCCCACAGCCCAGGTCCAGGTGAACCCTAGCGCCCAACCCCAGCCAAACCTGACCAATCAACCTCAGGCCCAGCCCACAGCTCAGTCCTCTGACTCAGGCCTCAGTCCCCCTCCTTCAACCCCTCACCCCTGTGAAGGGCCCCCATGTGCTCTACCCACAGAGCAGCCCACACCAGCTCCCCCTGAGGAGCCCGCCATGCCCCCTGCCCCTGAGGGGGACAGCTCTGGGGATGCTCCTCCAGAGACATCCCCTACCCACGGCCCTGCTTGAGAGAAGGAACACGGGCTGAGATGATGTAACAGACAAGGGTGCCCCACCACAGATAGCCTAGAGAACCACCCACTCGTGGCCAATGGGCTGAGAGCCAGAAGAGAGAAAGGAGTCAGGACCCTAGGCTGGCACCCTGGCCCTGGTTCTCCCCTGGCCCCCACCTGAGGAAGCAGTTGCTTCCTCAAATAGTGCATTCTCATCCACCTCAAAATGCCAAGAAGAGAGCGGAAATCCCAGAACTGTGGAGGGCCCCTAGCCTCCTCTCCAGCCTCCCCCAAAGTGGCCCCCACTGGAAGACTTTCATGAGGCCCTCTGAAGGAAAGGAGAAGCCCAGCCCACGGTCCTTTACAGGTGGAAGCACATCTGCTCTGAATCCCGCCAAAGGAAGTGGCAGGAGGGCTCTTGGCTTCCCTGGGGATTCTCCAGAGGGTTCCTTTCCATTTTGCTAAATCTTCCGTGCTGGTCAAGTGTGGTTCGACTTACCCGATTTGTACTGATTTGTGCCCCACTTCTCAGGAAGCCCCCTGTTGGGCAAAGCAGCCCTGTGGGTGCCTCAGGCTACGAGGTCCCTGTCTCTGCTGGGCTGCCCACCTTTGCCTCCAGCCTTTCCACCTTTGGTTGTAGAATCTCAGCAATGGAAGGACCCTTTCCAGGGCATCTAGTCCAAGTACGGCTTAACCAGGAGTGTCTCTGACGTTCCTACCAACCTCTGCTCACAGATCTCCAAGGAGTGGGACCTTCCATGTCCCAGGATAGCTCTGCCCACTCTCTGTTAGGAATGACCTTCTCCTCTCTTCCATCTTCTGCCCCAAACCACTCCGGGTCCTGCTCTCAAGAACCAAGGTAACCAGAAGAGGCCTCCTCCTTCTTCCACATGACAATGAGCATGCTCCAAGTCTTATGCTCCACACTGCCATGAAGCAAGTCTCATAGGGAATGATCTCAAGGTCTGTCAATGCAATCGGACAAACATTTATTAAGTGCTTACTGTATATAAGCCTTTTAACCAACTTGGATGCTCACTTGGCCAGCAATGGCTTTGCTAAAATGGCGCCCAACGTGGAATGCGGCTCTGTGAATGTGGGTGGCATCTGCTTTCTTGGCTGCTCTGCCATGCTGTGGCCTCAACGTGATCTTGTGGTCCACTCAAGCCTCCAGATCTTTTTTTTTCCAGACAAGCTGCTTTCTAAACACACTTCTCCCATCTTGCTCTTGTGAAGCTTGTATCTGGAACCCAGATATAAAGTGCAAGACTTTACATTTACCCTTGTCAAATTACATCTTATTTAGTTCAGCCAAACATTCTAACCCGTTGAAATCGTTTGGGAAGCTTGCTGGGTCACTTTGGATCCAGTATTCTTGCTGTCTGTCCTTGCAGATTGGACAAGAGTGCCATCTCTGCCAGGCAGCATAGGGTAGTGGATAGAGCAATGGCTTTAGAGTCAGAATGAGCCTGGGTTCGAGTCTCGCCTCTGATACAAATTGGCTGGGTGACCCTGGGCAGCTCATTTAACCTCTCAGTGCTCTCAACCAGCTCTCTAGATTGGTTGTGGGAGGGCTCTCTGTCTCTCTTCTAAGTTGTTGGGCTGTTGCCAATCTGCTTTTGGGCATCAGTGGAGGGGATTTCCTCACTGGGAATTCCTACATCCATGAATCTGGACCAAAAGAAAACTGCCGTCTGTATTCTACTTCATCCAAGTAATTGATAAAAGGCATGAACAGTCCAGGGGTAGGGGCAGATCCTTGGGAACTCTGCTGGAGATCTCCTTTGGAGTTAATGGAGCCATGGACTATTCATCCAGTACTGAAACCACAGAAATGTACTGTTGTCTAACCCATATCTTTCCATGCTATACAGGCTGCCTGAGTCCTCTTCTTAACACACATCTCTGATCATGTTGCCCCCTCCCACCCCCACTCAAAGATCTTTGGTGACTCCCAGATAAAGTTCAATCTCCTTATTGTCGATCAAGGCCCCCCACCCTTATGCCCCATTGCCTCTCAACACACACCTATACTCCAGTCTAGCTAGATGACTCTTCTTTTCTACATTTTTTATTGCTATTCAAAAATATAATAATCTGCTTTGGGAGGTGATGAGTTCTATGTAACTAGAGGTCTTCAAATAGATCCCTTCCCCTACCAGGAGAAAGGGGAACAAGTTGATAGAAACACCCTGAGTGACTGAATTCATGACTGATGTCAAAGGAATTCTGCCAGGTCTTGTGGACAGCTTTATCTGGTTTCTCAAAACTGCTGTATTCGAGGGCCCCTGGGTTCCCCTTATTTTGAGTTTCTTTCTTGCCTTAGAATGGTGGATTTGTAAAATGTTCTACCTCCATGTGTCTACCTCAGCACAAAACCACATAGACCCTAATGTCTGAGAGCCACGATGAATCAGTTGGTAGTTATATATGTATCTGATATGTAGAATATATATGAGGATGTGTGTATTATATATGTGTGTATATGTGTGTGTGAACACTAGTAACAAACCCAGTAGTTGAATTAGAAATGAGCATGTTCTGACTACGGCACAGAAGCTGGATGGGGGTCACCTGTTGGGGAACTTGTTAAGGAAATGCTTGTGTAGGGATCAGTTGAGTTCTAGGTCTTCTGAGGATCATTCCAGGGCCGAAACTTGATAATTCTATGTTGTTCACCCTGTTCCCCCCACTACCTACATGGAATCTTACCCAGCATTTGAGGCTCTGCTCGAATGCCACCTCTTCCATGAAGCCTTACTAGATTCCCCGCCTCCTTCTCATGTCCCAGCCAGTCATTTGCCTTTGGAAATCCCAGAGGCCTGCATTCCTCTCCTATGCCAGGTGATGCTCACTTGGCATTATGCCTCCTCCTTGGCAATATTCCTCCTACTAAACTGTCAGCTCCCTAAGGGCAAGGGCTGAATTTTAGATATCCCTGTTTCCCAGTGTCTGTCCCTACACAGAGGAGACAAGGGATAAACACTCACTACCTGGCTGACAGATGTCACTGGCTACAGGCTGACTGAATTCTGCTACCAGTGAGGTGGGCACTGGGCTGGGTGCTGCTGGGAAAGATAGAATAGAAGAGCCCAGATAGAAACTGCAGCAGGGCTACCCCCAGCTCAAACCATGCAGTTGGTGGCTCCCAGCCCTCCTGGATCCTGCCCCCCCCGATACTCCAAGCCCGCTGCTGCCCCAACATGTCCCGGCTCCCTTGGCATTGCCCTGGCCTCCAAAATGACCTTCTATGCCCCCCAAAGCACACACCCCCAGTTCTTCAGGGTGTGGTTCTCTGGGACCTATAAAACTGATTTTTACTGAGTGGTGAGTGACTGATACCATCATAATGTAGTTGTCCCACTAAGGGTACTTGCATTTTAAAAGCAGATGTCCCAGGAGGTAACAAGGAATGACTCATTGATGGTGGAATTTCAGGCCCCTTATAAAGGACTTGGGTACTTCAGTTGGGGGCCCATCTTACTCTGGCCCCCAAGGCTTCCCTTTTCCCATTCCCAAGCCAAGTAGAGCCAGCCAGAATAATGCTCCAGTTCTTTGGGTTGGCATTCGAAGTCCTCCCACACATCTGACCAGGGGCCCCCTCCTTCCACCAGCTCTCTTCCCATTCCCATGACCGAATTTTTGCCATGCCTGGCTCTCCTTCTGCTTCCCCAACCCAACTCTCCCATCGTTGAGGGCCAGCTCCTCCCAGAAGCAGCATCATTATTGATAAGTAGCAGCCCAGCCAGGTGACTACTACAATAGTCTTTGTGGCCAATTTCCAGATGCACCCAAGGCCACACCAGCTGGTGATTGTCAGAGCTGCAGGCTGATTCTAACTGTCTAGATTCTAGGTCTAGGACTCTCCCTACAAGCCCCTCCCCCCCAGATAAGAGTAGGAAGGGCAACATTGTATCCAAAGATGCTGAGACTCAGACCTTGTGTGTGAAACAACTTATCCCTTCCCATATCAACTTATGGACTGGCCTGTGAGCTGCTCCTCCTCCTCCCCCTCCTCCTCCAGAGGTGGGGAGGGGCTGTACCTCTGATGCCTGCTGTGTTTCCCAATGTGCCTAGGACAGTCTGGACCCATTACTGGTGCTCAATAAATGCTTACACGTGCTGGACAGACTGAAGTTGCCTGGAAAGCTTTCTTTTGCTTGTTCTGGGATAAAAAGGAATGGTAATCCTGGGCATCCCTCAGAGAGGCCTTGGGGGCTGCGTGGGTGCTACTAGCCTGGGTCTCAGAGGAGTCCCCCCTGAAACACAGGGTTCTCAGGGAAGTGGATCCCCTCTAGTCCTTTCTCACCCTCCTGGGCCTTGAGGCTGACACAGGACTCACTCCTTTGACGCCTACCCACTACAAATTACCATGAGGCAGATGGCTCAGAACAAAATTGACTTTTACTTCAGATTGGAGTATCAGAGAACATGGACTGTCTGAGCTGGGAAGGCCTTTAGAATGTACAACATGGAATGTTCCAGCTCTGTGAGAACATAGAACACAGGAGACCTGCAGGCTCCTACCGCACAATCATCAGCTGAAGGAATTAATTAGCCTGAAGAAGAGAAGATTCAGGGTGAGCATGGATCATCCCAGCCAGCTGCCTCAAGTGTCTGTGGGGCTGACCTGACTCAGAGGGCTTTGCTTTGTTCTGCTCGGCCCCAGAGGCCACAACTAGGAACAATGCAGGAAGAAGTCACAAAAATGGGCAGAGCTGAGCTTGATGTGAGAAGAAATGTCTGAACTGGGCAGGCCTCCCTGAGTAGGAGGGGCTGCTGAGTGAGGCTGGGGCTTCCCACTGTGAGAGCTCTTTAGGGCAGGCCAGGCGGCTCATTCTAGGGGATTTCTGGACAAACAGGGATTGTACTCAATACCCCCAAAGATGCTGTCCAGCTCTGAATTTCAGGGATTCTCTCATTCTGAGTCTGTCCAGCTCTTGGATTCATTGGAAATGAGAGGAGATTCCAGGGAGGTGGCTGACCTGCCTTGGGCCCTTCCTTCTCTCAGCCATTCTAAGCTCTAGAGCAGGCTGATATGCCCATGGCGGGCGTTCTCTTTCTCTAACCTCTCCCTCTGCCCCCCACTTCCAACACAAACACCAATTAATCTTCCTTAAGCCACACTTTCATCATGACTTTGGCCAAATCACTCTCCACGCCTGTGTCTTCATTTGTGCAATGAGAGGCCTGGACTCCATGGCCTTCTAGCTCTACATCTACGATCCCAACATCATGCTAGGCCCTGCTCAAGGATTTTCAATGGCTCCTTGCTGCTCATACAGTTCTAACTCCTCAACATGGGTCTCTCTTGCATTAGATTTCATCTTCCACCATTCCCCAACTTTCCGACTCTGCTACAGCCAGCCTGGGCCCCTCAGGCTCCTTCTGCCTCCCAAATCCCTGCATCATCCCAAATCAACCTTTCATTCATGTTGTTGTTTCCCCATCTGGAATACCATACTGTCTCCTATTAGTGAAAAAAATCTTCCCCTGCCACTGCTGTCCTTCAGAGCCCACCTAGAATGCCATGCCTTGTGGCATTCTTCATTTTGTTTTGTTTTGTTATTTTAATTTTTTAATTTTAATTTTCAATTCCAAATTCTCTCCTTCCCTCTACTTTTCCCCCCACCTATTGAGAAGGCAAGAAATAGAATGCCCATTATACATATAAAGTCAATGCAAAACATATTTCCACATTAGCTACATTGAAAGAGGAAAAAAAGCAAGAAAAATTAAGGAAAGTGAGAAAACATCTGCTCTCAGGATTCATCCATTCTCGGGGAGTGGGTGGGGGTTGGTGTGAGAGGAGGATAACATTTTTCCTCAAGAGTCCTTTGAAATTGATGTAGATCATTATCTGGATCAGGATATCTGTCTTTCACAGGTGATCATTGTTACACTGTTGCTGTTACTGTGTACTCTTAGTTCTGCTCACTTCTCTTTGCATCAGTTCATGTAAGTCTTCCCGGGTTTTTTGAACCCATCCCCTCATCATTTCTTGTAGCACAATAGTATTCCATCACAATCATATACCACAACTTGTTCAGCTGTTCCCCAATTGACTGGCATTCCTTCAACTTCCAATTCATTACCACCACAAAAAGAGCTGCTTTAAATATTTCTGTACATGTGGATCTTTTTCCTTTTTCTTTGATCTCTTTGGGATACAGACCTAGTAGTGGTGTTGCTGGGTCAAAGGATATGCACAGTTTTATAGCCCTTCGGGCATAGTTCCAAATTGCTCTCCAGAACGGTTGGATCAGTTCACAACTCCACCAACAGGCATTAGTGCCCCAATTTTCCTGCATCCCCTCCAACATTTGTCATTTTCCATTTCTGTCATATTAGTCAATCTCAGAGTTGTTTTAATTTACATTTCTTTAATGGCAAGTGAGTTAGAGCATTTTTTAAAAATATGACTATAGATAGCTTTGATTTCTTCTGAAAACTGCCTGTTCATATCCTTTGACCATTTATCAATTAGGGAATGACTTGTATTCTTATGAATTTGACTCAGCTCTCTATATATTTGAGAGATGAAAGCCTCATCATTCTTAATAATTATAATGTAGATGACAGCTTTCTATCATATCAATACAATTAGCAATATTACTCATCATGATACTTTAATCAATATCTCAAGGCTCCATGATGCTATCACTGATGCAGATTGCAATCCCTAGGTCACCTGGAAGCTGGGTCTTTGAATGTTGGTGGCAATAAACCTGTGGGACTTCAGCCAGCACACTAAACATCACTGTACCCTCCTGGGGAGCCTTCCCAGTTTTCCAGAGCCTGATAAAGTTGGGCCTGCACTGGCAACTCCTTCCATAATCCAGGGCCACCTTCCTACCTAGGCCAGGCTTTGGGGGAGGGGCAGCTCTCTTGATTGCCAAATCTAATGGCCTTTTCTCAGTTCTCGTGCTCCTTCCCCTTTCTGCAGCCTTGGCTCTCCCTGTCTTGATACTGTCTTCTCTCTAGGCTTTCAGGACACCTCTCTCTCTCCTGGTTCTCCTGCCTGTATGATCAATCCTCTATCTCCTTTGCTGGATCCTCCTCTAGGTCATGCCTTCTAACCACGAGAGTCCCACGAAGCTCTACCCTGGGCCCTTTTCTCTTCTCTCTCCATACTGCTTCACTTGGGGAATCTCATCAGCTCCCACGGATTTAATGACCATTTCTATATTCATGATTCTCACCAATACTTACCCAACTTCACTCTGGGGACCTCCAGATTTGCCTGTCAGACATCTCAAACTAGATATCCTGGAGACATCTTTTAAATCAACATGTTCAGAATTGGACTCTTCCCTCTCAAACCATCCCCTCTTCTGGGACTTTCCCATTACTGTTCACGGTATGTTCATCCTCCCAATCACCAAGGCTCCAAGCCTAAGAGTCATCCTCAGCAACTCCTTCTCCCTCATCCCCCGTCTCCAATCTGTTGCCAAGATCTGCCAAGGACTTTTGTACCATCAGCCCTTTGTCCCTTCTGATGCTGCCTCCACATGCCTCCTCGTCTCTTTGAGTCTGAACCACTGCTCCAGCCGCTGCCAGATCTCCTGCCATAAGGCTCTCCCCACTCCAGTTCATCACCCCTCCGTGCAGCTGCCAAAATGATCTTCCTCAAGTGCAAATCTGATTCTAGCACTCCTCTATTCACTAAAACCCAGTGGCTCCCTAGCACCGCTGAGATTAAGTACAAAACCCTCTGGCATTCCAAGCCCGTGATAATCTAGCTCTCAGCTCCTTGCCTCTTTTTACTCCGTACACTTTGATTCAGTGACACTGGCCTCCTGGCTGTTCTGCAAGCCAGATGTTCCATCTCCCGACTGGACTAGGGGCATTTTCTTTTTCTTTTTCTTTTTTTTTTTTGCAAGGCAACCGGAGTTAAGTGACTTGCCCAGAGTCACACAGCTAGTAAGTGTTATGTGTCTGAGACCAGATTTGAACTCAGGTCCTCCTGACTCCAAGGCCAGCCACCTAGCTGCCCCTAGTAGGGGCATTTTCTCTGGCTGGGTCCCACGCCCAGGATCTTCTTCTTCCTCATCTTCCCCCTCTAGGCTTCCTCCAAGTCCCGGCTAAAGTCATGCCTTCCCCAATGCCTCCTAATCCTGGGGTTCCCTCTTAATAATTTCATATTTAGCTTTTATATAGTGTGTTCGTACATAGCTGTCGCCCTCATCAGACGGTGAGCTCCCTGAGGGCAGGTACCAACTTTGACTTTTCTTTGTATCACCAATGCTTTGCACAATGCCTGGAACATATTTGCTGCCTGTCTGACTGACTGATGAAGGCTGACAAGCAGGCCAAATAGAACTGACTGTGGGTCCATTTGTTGTTGAGGGCTGAGCTTTAAAAGGCCAAGGTCTCCTGCTGCACCCTGTCGTTCTGACCCATACTGGCCACTAGACCCACATGGCTCTGGAGGAGAGAGTGAGGCTGGTGACTTGGCACAGCCCTCCCTCACTTGGACCCAATTCACTCGCATGTCATGGCATTGCCTCCCTGATGTCCTGGTCCTCTTCGAGAACAAAGGAGAACAACCATCTCTGTGAGTAGAAAATAGGAGCTGGCCCACTGGGAACCCAACTGGGACTGGCAGGTTGGGCAACACAGTAGCCTTTTGACAGAGAAGAGAAGGAATGTGGAGTGCCTGGGCCAGACACGGCTGGGGTGGCTCTGTGCTCAAATTCCATCCCTCTTTCTCCCCTGGGGGGACCAGCTCTGAATTTCCTCGGGGAGGTGGAAATCGGAAGGGAAGTGCGGGGTGGGGATTCTTCCCAGATCTTCTCAGTGGGGCCATGCCCAGCTCCATCCACACTTCTCCTGGGTTTATATACTTCCATTCTATTCCCCATTTACCTTTCCCAGGGCAGAGTTAGCAAAAATGGGGGTGGGGGGGGACAACTATAAGACTTATAAATAACAACTTCCTTTCTTAGACACCCTCCTCAGACATACTTTGGAATGGGAAGACCTGGGTTCAAGTCTTAGTCCGGCCACTTGGTAGCTATGGCACTTGGCAGTGGGGGTGGGGTACTTTCCATCAGGGCCTCAGTTTCCATTTTTTGGATCTTTCCACCCAGCACACCCTTGCACTGGGAGTCAGAATCCTCGAGTAGTAGTCCTGCCTCATCCTACTTCATTGTGTGAGCTTAGCCAAGTCTTTTTCCTTTCTTGGGCCTTGGTTTCCTCAGCTTTCAATTGGAGGAGGGGGTGTGATTTGAAGGTAGAAAGGGTCTCCGCGGTTCGTCCCAGCTCTAAGAATCCGATCCACCCTAGACGACACTCAGGGTTTAGAGCTGGAAAGAACTTTAGGTGTCATCTAGTGAAAACCCTTGGTTTTACAAATGAGGAAACTGAGGCTCAGAGAAGGACGTAGACCTGCCCACGGCCCCAAAGTAGAACCAGATCTTCAGGCTCCAAATAAAGTGTCCCCGGCCTTGGGCCTGAGGGCAGCCGGGGGCAGCCTGATCCCAGTCGGAATGAGCGGAGATGGCCCCCAGCAAATTACCCCACGGGGGAGGGGCTCCGGCCCCACCCTCATCTCCCTTTGCCCTCTTTCTTTCCCTCCCCGCAGCGCTCTTCCTTTCCAGCTCCACCCCGCACCTCAGATCAGCGACGCTCGGACCCTTTAGGAGCCATTCCAGAGGACTGCGGTGGGGGGAAGGGAGTGCGGGTGGGGGAAGGGCCCCAGACCTCCGCAGCCCACTCTTTCTCACCGCTGCTCATCCCATCAGTTTCTCGCCCTCCAGATCCCTGCCCTGCTCCTTCTCTCTGAGGCTCCTCGCCCCCAGTCTGGCTATAGCCTCCAGCGCCCCTCCCCCGGATCCCAGGCCCTCTCCCCCAGCTGCCGCCCCCCAGATCCCTCCTCCTCCACCCAGGCCCTTCCCCCGCCCTGCCCCGGCCCCGCCCCTCCTTCCCTCCTCCCCTTTCCCTCTCCCCCTCCCCCCACGGGCATCCTCGGTCACTTCCTGATTCCCGCTTCCTGCTTCCCAGAGTTGGGGATCCAGAGCCGCCGCTGGACTCAGTCCCGCTACCCCTCGCGAGCGGCGCCCACCCGCCCACCGGTGAGCAGGGGCGGGGCAGGGGAGGGGGCGCGGCTGTCCGAGGCAGCCCCTCCTCCCCCCATGCCCTGGGACCCCGGGACCTTCCTGGAGCCTGCCTGGGGCGCGGGGTACAGGGGAGCCTGGGGCGGGAGGAGACCCCCCCCTCCTTGCACCCGTCTAGCCAGCAGCGCCCCCATCTCTGCTGATCTGCTTTCCGGCACCCCCCTTCCTACTGCGGTAGCTTCAGCCCTGGCCTAGTTCCTCTGGAGGAGGGAAAGGAGGGACCTCCAGCCCCACCAGGCCAGGCAGAGAAGGGGCCTCACTCATCTAGCTGGGCCCAGGCCTGGGAGAGGGTCACCCATCGGAGCAGATAGACTTGTGGGAGGGCATGATTGGGAGCCTGGGTCAGGGAGCCTCTGGGAGCTGGAAGGAGGTGGTTTAAGGACAGCCTAATTTTCCAAGGCCTTGGGAGGAGATATCTGGAACATCTCCCTCTCACCCCCACTCCCATCCCTGCAGACAGGAACAGCTAAAGGAAGGCTTCCCGAAGTCCCCCAGGAAGCCACAGAGCTTTCGGTTTCTCTAGCAGGACAGATTTTTCTATCACCTGGGAGAGAAGGAGGCAGAAGGGACATTGTCCCCATTTTACAGGTAGGAAAACTGAGGCCCAGAAAGAGAAAGAGACATGCCCAAAGTCAGAGCCAGTACTGGAAGCCCAGGCATTCTGTGGAATGCCTTCACAAGATGGGGAATGGGGGGGGGGTTGGGTTCAAGACCTGGCTCTGCTACTTACCATCTGGGTAAATTTGGGTAGGTCCCTTTCCCTTCCTGGCCTCAGTTTCCCCATCTGCAAAATGAAGGGGTTGGACTCGATGATCCATAAGGTCCCTTAAGGCTGAGAGTTTATCCAGTCTCTAAACTGCCCAGGGGAAGCCCTCTCATGGCCAGGCAGACAGAGAGGGGGGCACCTAGGTTAACTGTGGGGGTGGGGTGGGGGGCAGGGTTCATTTCTGCTTTTCTCTTGCCAGACATGTCATTCCGCAAAGTGGTCAGACAGAGCAAGTTCCGGCATGTCTTTGGGCAGCCAGTCAAGAATGACCAGTGCTATGAAGACATCCGGGTGTCCCGAGTCACCTGGGACAGCACCTTCTGCGCAGTGAACCCCAAGTTCCTGGCCATCATTGTGGAGGCCAGCGGTGGGGGGGGCCTTCATGGTGCTGCCCTTGAGCAAGGTGCCTGCATTTATTCAGTTCATACTCTGCACCAGGCATAGACACATATGAAGGACCTTGCCCTCAAGGAGATTGATTCTTTGGGGGGGAGCCGCTGCCTGGATGTAAAATATACGAAAGTAATTGGAGGGAGCAGAGAGCATTAACTGTTGGGGTATCAAGAAAGCCTTGTATGGGAGGTGTCTGCTAAGGATTCCGAAGGGCAGAAGTGAAGTGTGAGGGTATTCCAGGCCAAGGGAGATGGCCAAGGCGTCTGGAACTCAGGATAGACAGCGTCTAGCCATTAGGCCAGGTGGACTGACTGGAATGCAGAGTGTGGGAGGGGGAGTAATGGAAAATCAGTCTAGAAAAACAGGTTATTGTCCAACGGTGAAGTACCATTAATGCCACACCAGAGTTTCCATTTGCTTCTGGAAGTAATAGGGAGCCCCTGGAGATAATGGAGCGGGGGAGTGCCCAGACCTGAGCGTCAGGAGAGAGCTGAGGGGGAGGAATAACAAGAGGGAGCTCCCTCGGTTCTTTTGGTGGCATTTTGTAGTCCATGAGTGTTCACTCCAAGCCTGGATCATTGGCCTGGCCTGAGTTAAGCCTGGCCCAGAGTAGAGGCTAGTACAATAGTGCAGGGGAGGGGGCGCTGTGTGAGGGGCAGGAAGGGGAGTGGAACAGCAGATTGAATGCCTCAGGGAGGTCGTGAACCCCTGGGCCTAGAGATTTGGGGTAGCCCTGGCAGAGTTAAGGCAGTGGCTAGAGTGCTAGGCCTGGAGTCAGGAAGACCCACATTCAAATTTGGCTTCAGCCACTAGTGGAGTGACCGTGGGCAAGTCACTTCACCCTGTTTGCCTCAGTTTCCTCATGTGTAAAAATGAGCTGAGGAAGGAGATGGCAAACTACTCCAGCATCTTTGCCAAGAAAATCCCAAAAGGGGTATAAAAAGTGAGCTGTAACTGAGCAACAGCAGAATTAGAGATGTTCATCCTCTGTCTGGGCCTTCATTTTCCTTAACTCAGAGGGGAGGTTAATCATCCCTTGTGTTTGTTCACACCTCTCATCTTGACCTTGAAAAAGAAGTGGGAAGGCCAGGCATGTGTTGTGAGTCCCACTGGAGAGACAAGGAAGTGAAGGCCTAAGCTATAAATTAATTTGCCCAAGGTCACCCAGACTGTAAGACCCAGAGTCAGAAATTGCTGCCAGCTTTGGAATCAGAAGCCTTGGGGGGGGATGGAGCTCCGGTGCTCACTCCGAGTGGGGCCAAGGGCCTGCCCCTGCCTCATTCTGGGGCTTGTCATCACATGAGGTGGCTGAACTCTATAAGGCTCCTGACTCCAGAGCTTCTGCTCCTGCAACATTTGGGGGCCCTCCTGACTCTCTCCTCTCCATCCTGCTGCATGCCTATAGACGGGGCGCATTGACAAGTCCTACCCCACAGTATGTGGGCACACTGGACCCGTCCTCGACATCGACTGGTGTCCGCACAATGATGAGGTCATCGCCAGTGGCTCTGAGGACTGCACCGTCATGGTGAGGGGTCTAGGGACCTACCCTTGACTAGCTGTGGGGACAGAGGAGGGCCCCTCCTCTGGCAGCCTCCTGTTAACTCTTGGCCACGGTGGGGTCCCTGTGGTCTGGCCCACAGGTCTGGCAGATCCCGGAGAATGGCCTGGTGGCACCCCTGACAGAACCCGTGGTTGTCCTAGAAGGCCACTCCAAGAGAGTGGGTATTGTGACCTGGCATCCGACAGCCCGGAACGTTCTACTCAGTGCAGGTCTGACCCCCTCCCTCCAAGCTGTCCGTGAGCTGTTTGAGTGACCCTTGAAAATTTCCCCAAGTGGTTACAGATAAACCCTAGAACCCTTGTGAGGGAGGGGCAGCTAGGTGGCCCAGGAGTCAGTAAGATCTGAGTTCAAATCTTCCCTCGGGCGCTTATTTAACTGGGCAAATCATGCTTCTTCATCTGTAAAATGGGGGTAATAATAGCACCTGCCTTCAAGGTGAGGATCTAGTAAGATGCTGGTAAAGCCCACTGTCAGTGAGGCCTGGCCTCACCGCTTCCTGGCTGTGTGACCTTCTCTGCGCCTCAGACTCCCCCCACTTTGTGAAAGAAGCCTGGGCTCAGTGGCCCCCGGGTCCCTCCCAGGCCTTAGCGCTGCGGTTGTCATTAGCTGATGACAAGCAGTGTGCTCCCTTAATTAGAAGGGTTGTACTTAATTACTCCACTGCGTAATTGGGAGCAGTGGGAAGAATTCATTATTACCCCACTGGCCAGGTAGGATAAGTGAGGGCCCAGAGGAGAGCAATTTCCTCGAAGCTATATAGCAAGTTAGTGGCAGAGCCAGACGTTCAAACCCGTGCCTTTTCCGTGAGGTGGTAGGCAGGTGTCTGGGCATGGGGAGAACTGAGTGACTGGCCAGGTCTCTGCAGGCTGTGACAATGTGGTGCTCATCTGGAACGTGGGCACGGCAGAGGAGCTGTACCGTCTGGATGAGCTGCACCCCGACCTCATCTACAACATCTCCTGGAACCGCAACGGGAGCCTCTTTTGCTCCGCTTGCAAGGACAAGAGCGTGCGCATCATTGACCCTCGCCGAGGCACCCTGGTGGCGGTATGTGTGGACCCACCCACTGGCCCACTGTGAGAGGAGGTCTGGGCACCATCCTGGAGTCCAGCGAGGAGAGCACAGGGTCTCTCAGGGAGAGATTGGGAGCTGGGGTCCTAGCAGGGTGTGGAGAGGTAGTGTAAGAGGCAAATGCTGAGGCCTGGCGGAGGATGGCAGGGGGGAGTTGACGTGCCGGGAGATCAATCCGGGGGCCTGTGGGAGTAGGTGTATACCCAGGGGAGTCATTGATGGGAGTCATTGGGTGGGCTCTGATGGACGGGGCCCCAGGAAGACGCGATGTGGCTCCGAAGGTCCTTGCGGGTAAAGATGGCCAGGCTTTGTGTCCACAGGAACGAGAGAAGGCCCATGAGGGAGCCCGGCCCATGAGGGCCATTTTTCTGGCCAATGGCAAGGTGTTTACCACAGGCTTCAGCCGGATGAGTGAGCGGCAGCTGGCTCTTTGGGACCCGGTAAGCTGAGTCCAGCAGGAGCCAGCAGGGCTGGGACTTCTTAAGGGACAGCCACAGAGAGCTGATGGCAAAGGTGGGAAGCAGAGGCTAGATACTCAGCAAAGGGTGCTAAGTACATGGGCAGGAACCCTAACCTTAATTCCTGGAGAACTAGGAACTGAGACCCTTAACATCATGGAATGCCAGAGAGAACCGAGAGCATGAAATATGAATTGACAAGAGGCAGTACAACATAGGACATGAGCTTTCAGAGGACAGTCAGACCTTAGAACACAGAATGTCAGAGCTTTGAGGGACCTAGAATGTGGAATGTCGGGGGTGGGAAGGACCACAGAGCATAGAACAGAGACTGTCAGAGCTGGATTGTAGAGGATCTACCTCGTGTTCCAAGGGGCAAACTGAAGGATTGTCCCCAGAAGGACAGGGGTGACAGAGAACAGGGATCTAGATCCCCAACCCCCACTAATGCCCCCTATCCCATGGCAGGAGAACCTGGAGGAGCCCATGGCTCTGCAGGAGCTAGACTCAAGCAATGGGGCCCTGCTTCCCTTCTATGACCCCGATACCAACGTCATCTACGTCTGTGGCAAGGTGGGAATGGGCAGAGGCGGGCAAACGGGGTGTGGGGAGGGCATAGGACCTGCACAGGACCCTGACATCCCTTGGCCTTCACCTGTTCTCAGGGGGACTCAAGCATCCGCTACTTTGAGATCACAGCCGAGCCCCCCTACATCCACTTCCTGAACACCTTTACCAGCAAGGAGCCTCAGCGGGGCATGGGGCGCATGCCCAAGAGAGGCCTGGATGTGAGCAAGTGTGAGATCGCTAGGTGAGAGGGACCAGGAGCTGTGGTAACCCCAGCTGGCCTAGGCTGGGCTGGGCTGGGCTGCCTGGCTGGGTGGATGGTGAGCCTCAATGTGGGCTCACACCCCTTCTTCCCCACTCAGATTCTACAAGCTCCATGAACGGAAGTGTGAACCCATCATCATGACTGTGCCTAGAAAAGTGAGTGGGGCCTCAATCTCTGGCCCTGTGCCACCACCATCCCCTATCTGGTTTCCCAGGCTCTTGAGCACCCAAAATTCTGTCTCCTGCCCTCTTCTGCCCTCTGGGCTTGGTGGTATTGGGGCCAGGCAGGTAACCAGGATGAGGAGGCATCAGGGGAAGGAACTAGGGATGTTCAGTCTAGAGTAGAATCCTGGGAAGAGATATAGTAGCTGTGCCCAAGGACTCAGGGAGACAGGACCAGTGTGCCAGCCTTGGGGCACCAAGGAGGGGATCCCTGTGTCCTTGAAAGACAAATTTGTCCTTCTTGGCCTTGGAGGGACAAGAAGGGCTGGGGAGTTGGATTTCTGCTCCATTGAACTTGACAGATATAGAATTTGAGGGCAGCGCCCAAGCCAAAGGGCTCCTCCCTGCCTGTGACCCGACTCCCAGCAGCCTGTTCTCCGCCCCCTCCCCCCAGCAGTCTATCCCCCCCAGGGCAACCTCACTGGCAGCAAGTTTATCTTGACCTTGGGCCTAAATCTGCCCCTTTGCAACTTCCACCATTACTCTTGGGGCCAAGAAGAACAAAGCTAATCCTTCTTCCCTAGAACAGCCCTTCAGGCACTAGAATGCAGAGCTCCTGTTCCCCAGGCCTTCTCTCCTCCAGGCTAAACATCCGTGCTCAATCCCTTCCAGTCCAGCGATTCTCATGTGACATGGGCATCACCAACTTATCCTCTGGACACTCTCCAACCTACCACAATAGCCTTGCTGGGGCCCCCAAGGATGGTCTCACGGGGGCAGAATGTCAGAGCTGTCCCCGGGTGGAACGCCTGGGCTGCCCCTAGAGGGAGCAGATCCCCCTTACTGGGAAGGCTTCCCAAGAGGTCGAATGACTCACTTGGTGGTGATATAGCAAGGTTCCTTTCATTTACTGACTGGACTAGATGTCTCGGAGGTCCCTTCCAACTCTGAGAGTGCAATTCCCCAAGCTAGGCCTCAAGGGGCAGAGGGGGGAAATCATGTGCTAAGATGAGAAGCAGGTAGGCTAATGTGTGGAGGTTGGACAGCTCCTGATTCGCTGTGAGATTTCTCTGGGGTAGCAGTAAAGCAGCAGACATCCAGGGGGAGGGCCAGGCCAAGCCAAGCCATTTGGACTGTCCTGGCCTCCCTGGGGAGGCAGCTCAAGGTGGATGCCTGAAGTCCCAGACTGAGGGTGGAGACCAGAGGCAGGGAGCCCTATTAGGTTCCCTCAGGAGTCCAGGTGAGGGCTGACCAGGGCCTGAGCACCAAGGGAGAAGTCAGAGGGGAAGGCTGCCGTGGCCCAAGAAGTGACCAGGTTTGGCCAGTCCTTGGCAAGATTCTGGGGCCCCAATCCTCATCAGGAGTTGGGCACGTCAGAGTTTTTGCAGGGAGTCTGGGGACACGTGAAGGCCAAGGTGCCAGGCACTGGCCCCTGGGAGTTAACTTAGGGAGTGAGCGAGAGAAAGTCCCACATTCAAGCCTCAGTTCTACCACTTAGCAGCGGGTAGCCCTCAAACACTTTCCTTGTCTGGGCCTTGGGTTCTGTAACATGGGGCACAGGCCCAGCAGAGCTCGGAGGGCCTTTCCATTTCCAGCACTCTGACTCTCAGGGAGGAATCCTTCCTCATTCAGTCCATCTTGCCCCCTTCTTGGGGAGGGACAGGGTGGTCTTTCCTCCTCCACCCTTGCCTAGCAGAGGCTCTCTCCTGCCCCTGCAGTCAGACCTGTTTCAGGATGACCTGTACCCAGACACAGCAGGGCCCGAGGCTGCCCTAGAAGCTGAAGAGTGGGTGAGTGGGCGGGATGCCGAGCCCCTCCTTATCTCCCTTCGTGAAGCCTATGTGCCCAGCAAGCAGAGGGACCTCAAGGTCAGCCGAAAAAACGTCCTGCACGACAGCCGGGCAGCCTCGGCTCCCACGCCCACCCGGGCTGGGGCTTCCACACCTGCCTCCACCCTCACGCCAGTCAGCACTCCAACCAGCACCAGCAGCAGCAGCAGCTTGGCCGGAGCTGGGGTATGTACCTGTCTGCCAGCTTGGCCCAGGGCTGGTCAGCAGCATGGCCCAGCCCTAGAAGCCTAGGAGAAGGAAAGGACGTGGGATAGAAAACAACACCCACCCTGCATTTCTTCCAAGCCTGGGGAAAGGGCAGAGACATGGTCTAGAAGGCCCCAGACTTGGGTGCCAGGGTGGGCAGGCCTCAGGGAGCTCCCCCACAAGGTCTGATGGAGTGGATCATCCCCCACCCCAGCCCACAGCCCTGCCTGGGCCTCATTGGTCCCCTGGCTCCATTGCAGGACTCTGGGAAGTTGGAAGAGGTGACCCGTGAGTTACGGCTGCTCCGGACCCTGGTGAAGGAACAGGGTGAGCGTATTGCCCGTCTTGAAGAACAGCTGGGTCGCATGGAGAACGGGGACGTGTAGTGTCCAGCCCCTGCTTGGCAGGCCGGACCGAGCCCTCCCCTGCCCCAGATCCTGCCGCTAACTCAGCATCGAAGCCCCTTCCCCGGCCAGGGAGCGGGAAGCTCCGGCCTGGGCCACTTTTATACTTGTTATCAAGAATGATTTTTTTTTAATATACTAGGCAAGAGCTTCCCGTACCTCCAAGGGACCATCTATCCCTCTCCCACAGTCCCCCCTAGCCCACACTCCCAGGCTCCCCCAGACCCAGCTCCCCTGGTGGAAGTTGTGGGCCTGACTCTATATTTTCATTCCAAATAAAAACCTCTTTCTAAGAACTTGGCCTAGCCTCACCCTTTGCTCTTGGGGGCTGGGGAAGGGGAGGGGCAGGGAGAGACTACTAGGAAGGGAAAAGGCATCTCTGGGCCCCTCAGCCCTCCAATACTGCCTCCTTGCCAAAACCACCTCCTTTCCAAGCAGTAAAGGGGCCCTATCTGCTCTAAGTCTGGGATCCTTGGGGTTCATGGATCTGGGGTCATCATCCCCACTCTCTGAGCTTCAATCTCTCCCTATCCACTGGCCCATTCTCTGCCCACAAACATGCCCACGTTTCTTGCATCCTTTAAGACAAACCCTTCATTTATCCAACCATGTCTCCTTTGGAGAGAGGATTCTGCACTCACCAGCTCACTCCCTTTCCTCCCGACCACCCAAACTCTGCATCCTTGCCCTCCCTTGGGTGCCTCTTCTAGGTTTGGGGGGCACTGCCCTGTCCTGGACTTCACCCGGCCTTTCTAAGCTCTGCTTGGCCTTCAGGGGATCTTCATCCATGCCCTGGTGACCATGGGGGACCCTCTGCTCACCTCCCCCCAGGCCATCTGGCCTGGTGACCTCCTCAGCCCCCAAGGCTTCACTGATCATCTCTGCTGATGATTCCCAGAGCTGTCTCCCCCTTCGCCAGCTGCATCTTGGGCATCTCAGACTGGACATCCTGTTGACAGCATTTCCAACTGAACATGTCCACCACAGAGCTCATGACCTTTCCCCCAAGGCTCCCCCCGGCCCGACTTTTCTATGACTCCAAGGCACCACCACCACGTCCGGCACCCTTGCTCAAAACCTGCCTGTCATCCAGACTCCCTCCCTTTCTCCCTACGTGCCCAAGCTCGTTGGGTGGCTTCTGCCTAACATCAGCCTGTCATTCACACCACACCTGCACCTCAGACCTTCCTCACCACACACCTGTAACATCCTGCCCATCCTCCACTCAGTAGCCAGTGATTTTCCTGAATCCCAGATCTGAGTGGGTCAGCCCTTCTCAGTGAACTTCAGTGACTCTCTATCACCTCCAGATCAGACAGAAAACTTCTGGAAAGGCCTCCTAGCTTTCCTGGCACACCACGCTGGCCAGGGGTTACATAACCCAGTGCTACAGACCTCCACCTCCAATCTCCTGCCTTGGCACCTTCACCTCAGCTTCCTCGCTTCCTTCAAGCCCTTCCTGGCCCCCACTTCCTGCATTGCCCCTCCCCCCAAGTTGTTCCTCTGGATTAGAGATATCTTGAATGCACGCAGCTGCTGACTATTTCCCCCGTTAGAATGTGAGCTCCTTGAAGGCAGGGACTGTCAGGAATTGCTTAATAAAGGTCAGCCCCACTCCCGAGGCCTCAGGCCCCAGGCCTTTGGTTTGGGAAAGATTCCCCACCTAGAGCAAGTGTGTAGGGTTCAAGGCACAGCCAAGAAAAGGGGGACCAGCCTCTCCAGCCTGATGTGAGGCCTCCCCAAGCTCTTCCCCAGCCCTGGGCCCCTGCCTACTTCAGGGAGGGGGTGGGCAAGAGACAGGAAGCCGGAAGCCCTAATCTAACCCAGGTCACAGTCCCTACCTCCTTCACCCAGTCTGCCCACCCCAGGCTGTTTCATAGCCAGAGCTCCCGACGTCGGAGAGGCCAGAGCCCCACTCACAGACCAGAGGGCCAGATGGTGAGTTAGGGGAAACACTGGGGAAAGGGAAGTGGGCCTTGATACTCCAGGGACCCAGGCCGGAGTGGCGATGCCTACTCCAGGCCCTCCATTCCAGGGCCAGCCAACTCCAGAGATGGACCAGGCCAGGCATTGCTATATCCTCCGTAGGCTCTGCCTCCCTGATCCCTATCTCCCAGGACTTACTTTTGACCCAATCTTGGATTTCACAGGAGTTGGGAACTCCCAGCATCTGCCCTGCAGCTTATAGTGTTAGTGAGTTATCTGGGGCAGTCAGAGGTGAAGGGACTCACCCAAGGTCACATAGCCAGAAGGGGGCACAAGCAGGCTTGAACCCCAATCCTGGTTCTCAGGGTATCCATCCACACAGTCTGGGATCTTGTGATGCCAGAGCTGGGCCCAAATGGCTCAGAGGGGATGGAGGGAGGCCAGAGCAGAGGGGCAGAGGCCAGACGTCTCGGGACCCTGGCCCCCTCCCTCTGTTCTTCCAGGGTCCACCGAGGGTGGGGAAGTGAGGGGCCAGAAATGGAGGCTTTCAGCTCTGCTCACCCCTGCAAGCCTATGCAAACACAGCAGCCTCCACCTGCTTTGTTCCAACCGCAAGTTTCCTCTGACAGAAGGCCTAGGCAGCAGCGGCAGCAGCAGCTGCCGAGGTAGAGGCCTCGGTCACATGCGTAGGGGCATCCCCCCCCCCAGCTGGCTGTGGGGAGGGAGGGGAGGACATTCTAAGCACTGAGCTCAGAGAAAGGCCCCAAGACTCCATCTCTGTCTCTGGGGAGCCCTCCAAGGGGAGGGGCCAGGTTGTCTCCGTACCTTGACCTAGGGCTGGACTTCAGGCTTGGATAAGAGGGATTCCCTTCTGGAGCACATTCTAGTCCAGAAAAGCCCTCCCACACTCTCTCCGGCCACCAGCCCTTTTACAGATGAAAAAACTAAGGGTCAGAGTGGACTTGCCCTGTTACATAGCTGGCAAGGACCAAAGCTGGGGACCAGAATCCCAGCCTTCCTGTCTAGGGCTCTTCTCTTTTTTTTTTGCTGAGGCTATTGGACTTAAGTGACTTGCCCAGGGTCACACAGCTAGTAAGTACCAAGTGTCTGGTTTGAGTCCAGATTTGAACTCAGGTCCTCCAGACTCCAGGGCCAGTGCTCTATCCATTGTGCCACCCAGCTGCCCCCAGGGCTCTTCTCTTGGGCTGAGTTCCAGGAACAGGGTGGGAGGAGGGGACCAGGCTGGCCTGGAAACTTGAGGAGCCTCCACCCTGGGCAGAGGTGACCATCCAGACTGTGGAAACCTCTGTCTGAGGCACTTTTCTACTTCATCTCAGCCTGACAAAACCCCTGTGCAGTAATATCATTCCCATTCTAGAGATGAGAAAAGCAAGCCTAGGTTTAGGCACCTGATCAGCCACAAGGCAAGTTGGTGGCAGGGAAGGACTAGACCTCATGGATTTTCAGTTAGATGGGACCTTTGAGTTCACCTCGCCAGCCTCCTGGCCTGGCCTAAGCAGCCAGGCCTTCTAGGTGCCGAGGCTCCAACCTGGCGCCTTCCCCCTGCTGCTTTCCCCGGGACACGAAGCTTCCCCACGGGGCCCTTCCCCACCTCTTCCCCTCCTCCCTCTCTCCAGGCTCTGTCCAGGCTCATGGGCCTGGTGGCGCTGGGAGCTCTGCCAGGGGTGCTGGGCTCCGAGGAAAGTGGCTCCCACAACTCCGTCACCGTGTGCCTGCTGGTGTTGTTACTGCTGATCCTGATGGTGGGCCTGGCCCTGGCCTGGTATCACCTTAGCCGGGAATCCGGGGGCTACTACCACCCCACCCGCCTGGGCACCTCCCTGTGGAGCCGGGCCTGCCGGCTGCTGCGGGCCACGGGGTGGCCCGGTGGCTCAGAAGGTCAGCCGAAGAGCTTCAGGACAGTATGGAAAAGCAGGAGGAGGAGGACGAGGAGGACGAGGAGGACGACTCAGAGCCAGAAGGGGAGAAAGAGAAGCAGCTTGGCCAGGACAAGAACACGGTGCCCAGGAGCTCAGGGGGTCCAGAAGCAGCCCAGGGGGAAGACCGCCCCAAGCAGGGGCCTGAGCCTGAGCCCTCCCATTCCGGGGGCCGCGCCGAGGCCCTGCTGAGTGACCTGCATGCCTTTTCAGGGAGTGCAGCCTGGGAGGATGGGGCAGGGACAGAGGGGGGCCACAGCCTCAGTGTCACCGCGCTCTAGGCATGGGGGGCTCTGCCTTTGCCTCCCTGCTGCCCACTTCTGCCACCAAAGCCACCAGGGGGTAAACAGGGCCTCCCCAGCCTTCTAGCAGCCCCGCTCAGCTCAGCCTGCCCACATCCTGAGTACTCTACAGTCTACTCCCACGGTCCTGAAGGCGTGAGAGCGCTACATGTCTCACCACATCGATCTTTGGTGGCACTGGCCCCCAGGACTGTGTACCACACAGCAATGCCCATCTGTCTCTGCACTGCCCCCTCCCCTTGCCCCAAACCAAGACCACTAAGCTGGCCCCGTCCTTGTAGATGTGTGGGCAAAAGGTCCAGGACGGGGGAGACAGCCCCCTTTGAAATAAAGACTCCTACACTGGACTCCTCTGTGCTTTCCTGGCTACCCCACTCCCGAGCCCCTTCCCTCTCCTGTACCTTCCAAGGGCAGCTGCCAGAGCAGACCCCAGATGCCCGCTCCTTGTTTGGGGGCTCCCCATGAACCAAGGAGCCCACGTCTGTCCCTACGCTCCCATGCCCCTGCCGTGCCCCCTTCCCAAGAAAGGAAGAGGCCCCAGCTAGTGCCATAATTCAAATATTTAATCTCCTAAAAGACACAGCACAAGCAGCTAAGGGCCTGGGAGGTGGGCACTCGCTGCTCCCTGAGGCTGCAGCCTGGTACTCCCTGTAGCAGTCAGTTTCCACGATTCTGTGCAAAAGATGCCCTTGTCCCAGGCCCCAAGGGCACTTGGTTCAGCCTGGCCCAAGGGGCCTACAGCACTTCCAGGCCAATGCCAAGAAATCCTTCTTCCAAGAGGTAAAGGGGCGATTTGGGTTGAGAGTTCAAAGGAGGCAAAGAGACTGCATGGACAGCCAGCATCATCCCCTCCTAGCGTCCAGAACGACCCCGACCCTTCTTGGATTTCTTGCCAGTGGGCGTCCGGATGGGAAGAGGGGCCGAGCTGATGGGAGGTGGAGGTGGGGGTAGGGGTGGGGGCAGCTCCATGGCCTCTGCTGGGCCAGTACTGGGTCGGAACCCTTCAAAGGGTGAGAATTTCAGGGGGCTGAGGGAGAAACCAAGACACAGTCACAGTCAGAGTCTTTATAGCCCCATGCCCGCCTGAGCCCCGGGACAACCTTCCCCTCCCTCCCACTCCAGCTAGCCCGCACCTGGCCATTTGAGGCCTGGGCATACCTGATGGGGGTCCGGGGACTGCTGTTGAGGCGTCGAGGGGACCGCAGCTTGGGCTGGAATGAGAAACCTTCCTTGATGCCCTCCAGGACGGAGGGGGCCACATAGGTGAAGCCCTAGCAGACGGCAGCAGGAGATGAATTACTCCTTCCCTGTTCCCGGCACTACTAGACCTCCCTTGTCCCTCAATCCTCCCCAAACACCTATGAGGGGCTCCTCACCAAGAAAGCCTGGTTGGCACTTTCACTGAGGGCCGTGTCATCAGGACTGTCCACGGGTGTCTGCTTCGTGAAGCGTGTGTCAAACTGGCTTACGTCCTCTTCAGATTGCTGCAGTGGGTGGAGGAAAAGCTCGCTGGGGTCAGGCTTATGCAGAGGGGGGCTCAGGACCTCCCCCTCAACACACACACACACACACTCACCAAGCAAGGCCGGAAGGGGGGTTCTACTTGTCGGGCCAACAGGTCTTCCCAATTGATATGGCGGAAGAAAGGGTGTTTCTGAAGAAAGAGAAGCTGGCCATGAAGGTCGACTCCCCCAATCCTGGACACAAGAGCCCTGCCCCCTCACCCCCCCCCCATAGGGCTCACTCCCAACCCCTGGCAGAGTGCCAGTGTGCTAGCCCCCAATTCCAGGCCATACCACCAACACATACAAAGCACTTACTATGTGTAAGACAAAGGAAAAAATGAAACAGACCCTGCCCTGAAGAAGCTTGTATTCTACTCTGTATGTGGGGAGGAAAATAGTACTGAGAACTAGGGGGATCTGAGGGAGAAGGCTTGTGGGAGGGGCCACCTGAGCTAGGAATCGGAAGTAGAGATTAGAAGACACCACGTTTTAGGAACAGGGCCTGTGAAAGGCCCGGAGGTGGGAAAGTGCCTATCTTGTGCAGACACCGGCCAGTAAGGCAGCTTGTGGAGAACTGAGCACGCATGAAGAAAAGCAACAGGAAATATGTCTGGGAACATCGGCTAGGGCCAGATTTAGGAGAAGTGGGGGGTGCAGAATTTTCAGACTGAGAAGTCTGGATTTTCTCTCTGCAGCAATAGTGAGCCACTGAAGATATGTGAGGCAGGAAGGGGTCATAACCAGCTCTGCTTCAGCGATCTGAACTTGGTGCCTGTGTGCATGGAGCCGCTCCAGTTCAAACCCTCCCAACGACACCTGACCCACCTGCACGTCCACGGCATCCCCAGGTCCACCCCCGAGTCGCTGGCTGGGGTTTCGCTTCAAAAACTAGGAAAGGGAGAGAAAGGGAGAGAAAGGGGTGTGGGCTGGGGGTGAGGCACCAGGCAGCCCCTGGGAGAACCAGAGGTCATCAGAGGTCATCAGAGTTGGGATGAACAGGTCTCCCTCTACCATCTCCCTGACAAGGCCGGCCAGCCTCCCAGCAAAGGTTAATCCTTGGGAAACGCACAGGCAAGAACACCCCACCCTCTGGGGCTTCCAGGCTGGCTCTCAGGGTCTGCCCCTTCCCAGCTGGGGAAAAGCTGACATTTCCAGGTTTGCAAAGCATTTCGTTTACATAGCTTTTCATTTAAGTCCCAACATCCTTTATGGGGGTGATGCCACAGCCATGATTGTGCCCATTTTACACATGTAGAAACTGAGGCTCTGAGAGGTCCAGGGTCGCTTGCCTCAGAGGTGAGAGCCGTCCCAGGCTTTCACCAGACCTCCAGAGGACTTCCCCAGTCTTTGGTCCACAGCCCTTTCTTAGTCGTAGACCTCAGGACTCTATGTTCCCTTTCTGAAAGTGGATAGGGTCTTGGGAATCTAAAGTCCTGGGTTCAAATCCAGCCTCAGACCCTTACTTAGATGTGTGACTCAACTGTTAATTGAGATGGCAGGGCTCAGTGACCCTCTCCTTTTTGGTATCTTTCAGCTACAACTATGATTGTAGGAAGGGCCCAGGCGGTCCCTCACTCCTACCCTGGTGACTCTGTGGGCCCCCTTCCCGGGCTGGAGGCTGGAGGTCACAGACAGACAGACACAGACACACACAGAGACACAGACACACACACAGAGACACAGACACACAGAGACACACACACACAAACACATACACAGAGACACACACACAGAGACACAGACACACACACAGAGACACACACACACAGACACGGACACATACACAGAGACACACACAGACACACACACAGACAGATACACACAGAGACAGAGACACAGACACACAGACACACACAGACACAGATACACACACACACACAGATACAGACACACAGACACACACACACACACAGAGATACAGACACACAGAGACACAGACACATACACAGAGACCCAGAGACACAGACACACAGACACACACACACACACACACACACGGAGACACAGACACATACACACAGAGACCCAGAGACACAGACACACACACACACACAGACACACACACACACAGACACACACACACACAGACACACACACACACAGACACAGATACACAGACACACACACACACACAGAGACACACACACACACGGAGACACAGACACATACACACAGAGACCCAGAGACACAGACACACACACAGACACACACACACACACACACAGACACACAGAGACACAGATACACAGACACACACACACAGACACACACACACAGAGACACAGACACACACACAGACACACACACACAGAGACACACACACACAAACACATACACAGAGACACACACACAGAGACACACACACAGACACGGACACATACACAGAGACACACACAGACAGACACACACACAGACAGATACACACAGAGACAGAGACACAGATACACAGACACACACACACACCACACACACACACACACACACACACACAGAGGCCCCTGATCTGGAGCTGCAGGGGCCAGGAGTCCACCAGGGGGAGGAAGCATCCAAGATCACCCAGGCTCTAAGCAAGAGAGCAGATTTCCCACCAGGTGGGGCTCTGCCCCAGGAGGAGGGCGCAGCACGGGGAAGAGCCTGAGGGCAGCCCCCAGCCCCACCTTCTTGAGGAGGTCCCGAGCATCTGGAGTGAGGTAGGGTGGCAGCGCCAGTTTCGCCCTGAGGATCTTGTCAATTGTCTTCTTCCGATTCTCTGCAGTGAAGGGTGGCTGGAGAAGGCAAACAGTGAACAGAGAACTTGCTGCTACCCTCCCGGGCCCTGCTCTGCCCTCCGTGCCCGCCCACCCTCCTGAGAAGACGGGGAACTTGCCGTTCCAGTGAGCATGTCATACATCAGGGCTCCCAGGCTCCACCAGTCCACTGCCCGGTTGTGGCCACTACGGGTGAGGATCTCAGGGGCCCTGGAGCAAGAAAGCCAGACATCAGGCTCCCACCTGCCGCGCCTTCACCCTGTCCTCCCCTCCCTCGGGCCCTCGGGCCCTCGCTCCTCACATGTACTCAATGGTGCCGCAGAATGTGTGAGTGACTGAGCCCTCATGGATAGACTCCTTACACAGGCCGAAGTCTGTCAGCTTGATGTGGCCTGGGGAAGAGAGGGCAGGCACAGTCAGTCAACAGGCATTTATTAATTGGATTAATTTGTTAATTTATTATTAATCAATTTGTTTATTTATAATTTCTCATTGGAGTCTGCTGCTGGTATTAGGGCTCCCTCTCCCAGGAGAAGCTTGGGCTCACCCTTTCCCGGGCTGTCCCACCCTTACCACCCACACCTACATACATACATACATACACAAACGCCCCAACAAACACGCCCCGCCCCCCCACTCCCACACACACACCTTGGCTGCTCAACATGATATTTTCGGGCTTAAGGTCCCGGTAGATGATGCCTTGGGAGTGGAGGTGGCCCAGGGCCAGTGTGATCTCCCCCAGGTAGAAACTGCAGAGACGAGAGAGGTCACAGGTGAGTGGGGGAAGGGGAGCCCAAGGCTGGCTCCCCACCCCCCCATCTGCCAAGCTATGCATAACAGAGACATCCAGGCACCCACCAGGCCGTGTCCTCCATGAAGATGCCCTCACGCTCCAGCTGCATGAAGAGCTCTCCTCCTGGAACACAAACACACCTTGCTGTGTGACCCCGAACCAGTCACTCCCCTCTCTGAGCATCAGTTTACTCACACAAAAAGAGCACCGTCACCCCTACTGGCCCTGCTTTTTTCAGGGCTGTTGGGAAGTAGAAGCAAACACAAAGCCTGTGCTCTGAGGTATGCGCCATTCCCTCCCAATGGCCTGTTCATGACTGCCAAAGTAAGGGGACGGTGGGGATGGGGATAGGCAGGCACCACTCTGGTGGCCACACTTTGAGGGCACTACAGGATGAGCTAGAGCCCTGCCACTGGGGCATCCTAGGATGAGCTAGAGCCCTGCCACTGGGGCATCCTAGGATGAGACAGAGCCCTGCCACTGGGGCATCCTAGGATGAGACAGAGCCCTGCCACTGGGGCATCCTAGGATGAGACAGAGCCCTGCCACTGGGGCATCCTAGGATGAGACAGAGCCCTGCCACTGGGGCATCCTAGGATGAGACAGAGCCCTGCCACTGGGGCATCCTAGGATGAGACAGAGCCCTGCCACTGGGGCACTCCAGAATGAGACAGAGCCCTGCCACTGGGGCATCCTAGGATGAGACAGAGCCCTGCCACTGGGGCACTCCAGAATGAGACAGAGCCCTGCCACTGGGGCATCCTAGGATGAGACAGAGCCCTGCCACTGGGGCATCCTAGGATGAGACAGAGCCCTGCCACTGGGGCATCCTAGGATGAGACAGAGCCCTGCACTGGGGCATCCTAGGATGAGACAGAGCCCTGCCACTGGGGCATCCTAGGATGAGCAGAGCCCTGCCACTGGGGCATCCTAGGATGAGCTAGAGCCCTGCCACTGGGGCATCCTAGGATGAGCTAGAGCCCTGCCACTGGGGCATCCTAGGATGAGACAGAGCCCTGACACTGGGGCATCCTAGGATGAGCTAGAGCCCTACCACTGAGGCACTCCAGAATGAGATAGAGCTTGCCGCCAGTCTGGAAGGCATACACCAGCTCCACAATGAAGGGGTGCCTCACGGCCTCCAGGATGCTTCGTTCGGCCCGCGTGTGGGCTGTGTCCTTAGCGTTGCGCATGATTTTTGCCTGAGAGGGCAGGGGAGAGGGGAAGGAGAGATGGAGAGTCAGACCCCGTTGGGAGCAGCCTCCTCCACTGGACTGGAGGCCTGAGCTTCCACCCCTCCCAGCTGGGCCAGGCTAACTGGGGTCCTGGCTCGGAGCCCCCGACCCAATCCCACAGGCTCTCATGAGGCCTCGGCTCTTCCTAGCTGTAGGACCTTAGACAAGTCCCTTCACTTTCTTCAAGCTCAGCTTCCAGTTCTGTAAAATAGGAATTATCCTTTCCTTAAGGGAAGGGCTTCAGCTGCCATAACCCTGGGCAGCTGACTTGGTTTCTCTCAGTCTCAGTTTCCCCCCTCTATGAAAGGAGGAGGTTGGCTCACAGATGTAGGCCTGGAAGGGACTGTGTAGGCCAACTAGTGCCACCCCCTAATTTTACAGATGAAGAAACTGAGCCCACAGGTGGTAAAGTGGCATTAGAGCTGGGAAGGTGACCTCTCTGGAGGCCCCGCTCCCAAAGGCCCGCCCCAGCTAGGCAATTGCCTCCACTCTCATGGATGGCACTCACTTTTCTCAACACTTTCATGGCGTATATTTTCCCTGCGTTGGTGCCTTGTACCTTCCGGACCTGGAATACCTGGAAGAGCAGGGTAGGGTGTGGGCTTGGAGCTTCCTGGAACTTCGGGAAAGGGCTGTGCCCACGGGAAAAGACACAGGTAGCCAGCCCCCTAAGGCAAGGGTGCTGTCACAAGGGCCCTACCCTCCAGGGAGATACCACTTTCCAGGGGCTACTCCATACCTTTCCATAGCCCCCTTTGCCCAGGACTCGGAGGAGCTCAAAAGAGTGGGGGCCAATGCGTTCGGGTCCAGGGTTCACGCAGGTCTCTGACAATTCCACCTCTTCATAGTGTCCCACAGGCCTGTGAGCATACTGTCACAGAAACGAAACCTCCAGGCTGCCCACTTTCCCATCAGTAACCCAGGAAAGCCCAAATCACACCCCCCACACCTCCTTCCGGGGCCCAGTCTCAGTCTCTGCCCTACTCACTCCACACCAGCGGTCCTCAATTCCACATCAACGTCCTAGGAGAGAAATTCAAGATCAGTGTCCTGGTTCTGCCAGCTCCGTCATCCCTGACTATGCGATGGCACCCAGGCCATATCCCTGTCCTGTCTCTTCCTAGAAAACAGGTCTTGGAGCAAGGTGACAGGAAGCAGGTTGGCATCACGGGCAGCCTGCCAGATTGGGCCACTCAAATTGAACCTCAGACACTAGGTATGTGACCCTGGGCCTCAGTTTCCTCATTAGTAAACGACATGACTAGACTCAAGGGCTTCTTCCTTTCAGCTCTACATCAGAATCCCACAATCTCATAAGGTTCAGAGGGACCCAAATCCCACAGAGGACTGCAGTAAGAGGTATGAGGTACTAGGCAAGGGAGGGAGGGAGAGGCAGAAAGGTGAGAATGAAAAAAGGCCAAGTCAAGGAGGGGAAGCCGGCAGAGGCACAGACTCCAATCAGGCAGGGCCAGGGTTAAGCTGCAGGGTGAAGCCTGGGGAGGCGAGATAACTCAAGGAAGAGAGGGCTATCCACAGGGCCAGAGAAGCAGGAGGGATGGTCTCTGGGAAACAGGAAGGGAACCCTAGAATCCTGGGGTAGGGGATGAAGGAGGCCTCCTGTATGAATATACAGGAGGCTAGGAAAGATGCTAGAGAGGAAGGAGGGCGCTGAAGGGAACCAAGCTCTAATGGGCCTGGAGAGAGATGGAGGAAGGGAGGGGGGAGCCTCATTTGTGCAGCCAGGGCAAAAAGACACCATCAGAAGGGACCCAGAACCGCAGAACACTGGGGCTGAAGAACTCAGAACAGATAAATCAGTCAGACGGAGCGACCTTCAACTTCTGAATGCCGGCCGTCTGAGCAGACCCCTCAAAATGCTGAGGGTCAGAGCAGGACCTCAGAATTTAGAATATTCACGTCAGAGCAAAGATCCTGTCCCCCAAGAATGATGAGTGTCAGAGAGAGGGATCCCATTATTTAAAACGCAAAGTATCAAGGGAGGGGAGGGACCTTGGAATTTAGAACGATGAGTGTCAGAGAGAGTGGACCTCAGATATTAGAACGATGAGTATCAGAGTGGGAGGAACCTCAGAACTCAGGAATGTCAGAACAGAGAGCTTTCAGATCGGGGAGGAACTTGAACGTAGTGTCAGAGAGGAGAGACCTCAGGACGTGCAGTAGCCAAGAAGGGAGGGACCTTGGAATGTTGAGTGTCAGAGGAGAGGGGCCCTCAGAAAGTTAAGTATCAAAGGAGGGGGACCTCAGATATTAGAACGATGGGTATCGGAGTAGGAGGAACCTCAGAACTTGGGAATGTAGGAACAGAGAGCTTTCAGATCAGGGAGGAACTTGAGAACGTAGAGTGTCAGAGCAGAGAGACCTCAGGACCGGCGTAGTTCCAGAAAGGAAGGACCTCGGGACGCAGAACTCAGAGGGTCAGCGCTGGGGGACCTGAGAACGTGGACTGTCAGCGCAGACTCCGCCCCCTCCCCCCCAGGACTGCGGACGCAGAGGGTCAGTCCGGCGGGCAGGGAGCAGGGAGCATCTGAGTGCGGCACCCTCACTTCACAGACGGGTAAACTGAGGCCCAGAGAGGGGCGGGCGGGCACCTTACCGCGGGGCTGAGCTCCGGCTCGCCGTCGCCCTCGCTGCCCTCTTCGGTCTCCAAGTCGATATCGAACACGGCCGCCATGGCAGCCCCGGCTCGGGCGCCGGGGCCCCGCGTCTCGCGTCCCGCGTCCCCCCGCCCGCCGGGTCCGGCTGAGCGCGTGCGTCTGTGCGTAAGGGCGTCACGGTCCCTCGGAGCCGGGCCGACTCCGCCACCTCCCACCGCCTACACGGCCCGGAAGGGAGGTGGCGTCCTTCCCGGGGGCTTGTGGGAGTTAGAGTTCTGCCGGCCCCGTGGGCTGGGCGGGGGTCACCCTTCCTCCGCTCCAAACCGATCGCTGCTCAGATCGCAGCAGTTCCGAGGAATTCAGTTCTTGTCTGCTCAGTTCAGTTTGCTCCAGTCCAGTTGGATTCACTTCCGTTTGGTTCTGCTTAATTCGGTCCCGTTCAGCTCGCCGCCCTCGGACGGGGGCGGGCCAGGGAGATTCTTCCCGGGGTGAGTTCACTCGAACGAGCCTTTATTGGAAGCGTTGGAGGGCGTCTCCCCAGGTGTGGACCTGCTCAAGGCATCTTAGTCAGAGGACTAAAGACAGCTCGGGATGAAATCTCCGGGACCTCGGAGGGTCTAGGCTCGGAGGAGGGCAGACTCGGAGTCAATCAATCAATCAACGCGGATGTGATTAATTTGATCAACCATTGATTTGATTAATCATTGATCCCGACGTGAAGGGAGCCCGGTTTGCGCTGGCGCGCACAGTAAACCTGCTCGGCCCTTTCCGAAACTTGCTCTCATGCCTTTCTTTCAGAATCCGAGGAGGGGACAGGCTTGGGACAAGTGTCATTCTCATAACACTGACTTGCTCACATTACAACACTCGAATTGACAATTAACTTCTGAAATTTTGAAATTACGAAATGAGGGCGGGCACTCCAGGTTCTTTGGGTACTCTCTGGGGTACATGATGGCAGCGGCAGGTGGGGGTGCAACCACACAAGCAGTGAAAGGGGCACAGAAGCAGAAGAGAGGCAGCGGGACCAAGGAGGGGAGGGGCATGGGAAGGGGCAGGGAGTCACTCCGCCAAGCAGGGATTAGAACTGGGAACACTGAGCAGCCGGCACCCATGGAGATGGAGGAGGGCTCCGAGACACGAGGCCTTTTTCTGGGGTTTTTGGGGGAAAGGACTGACTCCTATTTCTGCCACCTTGGGTTAGTTCATCCACATAACCCAAATCACCGTTCTGCTGGTCTGTCTGGAATTCGTCTGGGATTCATATATCGGTGGACCAAGAGCCCTGAGGGCAGCGCCCCGATGGCTCCTGGTGGTTCAGCATACATCACAGGACGCGAATGTTGGTTACAATATGACGCAATTTGTAATTATGCTCCTCTGGTCTTTGGGAAGGCCCCTTCCCAATCTTATTTCCTGCTATTGAGCCCTTCCGCGGGCTACTTCTAAACTTAATGTACTGACTAGAAGAGGAGGGACAATGGGGGAATCAGAACAAGATACAATGTTAATACACCATCATTGTACCGAAAGTACTTTGTAAACCTCAGGCACTACCTGTATCACGATCGTTAGTGCGGTCCAGTCGTGTCCGACTCTCCGGGACCCTGTTTGGGATTTTCTCCAAAAAGATATTGAAGCGGTGTGCTTCTCCAGCTCATTTTACAGATGAGGAAACTGAGGCAAACAGGGTTAGGAGACTTGTCCAGGGTCACACAGCTAGTAAGTGTCTGAAGCCACATTTGAATTCCGGTCTTCCTGACTTCGGCTGGCACTTTATCCCACTGTCCTGTGGGGATACAAAAGCAGAGACAATCAGGTAGCTTATAGTCTAGGGGGAGAGGAGACACATAAGGTCTTGGTGGTCCAGGGTACTTTGGTTTGAAAGTTACAGAGATGATGAGTCAGGGCCCCAGGGGAGCAAAACAACACATATTTCCCACAGAGAAGCTGCTAGAGAGGAAAGCAAAGCTTAGAGTCAGTTTGCAAATGGTGGACCACAGGAGGCATTATCTACCAAATCAGGAAAGCAAGCAGCCTGTGGAAATAGTCCAGTCCCCCTCCCCCATCCTCTCAACTAGGAACCTTGCCCTCCCCCCCCCACCATGGAGGCCACTAGTCATTAGCTCCCTCTTCTTATCTTGTTATCTCTCATCTAGGGTCATTCTTTCCTCCTTCACCCCTGTTTGGTATGATGAAGTAAGCCTCTGTCCTTGCCAGGGCTAACTCCTCTACCTGTTCAATGGATCCCATTCCATACCCTCTCCTCGGGTGTGAGACAGCGCTCTCTGTGTCATCCCCACTCTATCACTTCAGTCTCTCCCTGACCACTGGCTCCTTCCCTGTTGCCTACATGCATGCCCATGTTTCCCCCATCTTCAAAAAGCCATCATTTGATCTGCCCATCCCCTATAACTATTGTCTTTTATCTCTTCTGTCCTTTGGGGCTAGACTCTTGAAAAACCATCTACAGTAGGTGCCTCCACTTTTTCTCCTCTTATTTTTTTAGCCCCCTACATTCTGGCTTCAACCTGTCAATCCAGCAAAACTCCAAAGTCACAAATGTCTCTCATTTGCCAAACCCAATGACCTTTTTTTCAGTGCTCATTCTCTTTGACCTCTGCAAGCCTCTGACACCATTGCTCACCCTCTTCTCCTTGATCTTCTCTTCACTCTGGCTTTTCAGGACACCACCTTCTCCTGGTTTTCCTCCCACCAATCAGACCTGTCTCCTTTACTGGATCCTCCTCTATATCATGGACATCCCTCAGGGCTCTGACCTGGGCCCTCTTCTCCCTCTAAACTGTGTCACGTGGTGATCTCATCAGTTCCCATGGACTTAATCACCATCTCTATGCTGATGACTCTCAAATCTGCCTTTCCTACCCCAACCTCCCCGATGATCTCCAATGACCTTTCGGACATCTCCACCTAGATATCCAATAGACATCTTAAAGTTGACCTGTCCAAAACTGAACTTTGGATCTTTCCCCCTAAACCCTTCCCCTTCCTAACTCTCCCAATACGGTCAAGGGCACCACGTGCCCTCAGTCCCTCCAGGCCTGCAATGCTCGCTCTCTCCTCCTCTCCTCCCTAGTTTCCCTGGCTTCCTTCAAGTCCCGTATTCTCCAGGAAGTCTTTTCCAAGCTCTCTTAATTCTAGTGCCTTCTCTCTCCAGTTGTTGCCCACTTGCCTTGTATATAGCTTGTTTATACTTAGTTATTTTCTTGTTTGTCTCCCCTGTTAGACTGACCTTTTTGAGGGCAGGGTCTGTCTTTCACCTGGCAAACAGTGTGTGGCATGTAGTAGGTGCTTAATAAATGTGTATTGCCTATTGAGTAGAGTGGGAGGTCCAGAGCTGAAAGGGTTAAGTTCCCCTCTAAGGCTTAAGATACACTTGTGCCCCCAGCATAGAGACAGCTGCAGTACCACCCAGACAACATTGCTTGCTAACTCTTAGAGTGAGCCTTAAAGCACCTCCTTGGGCCACCAGATGGCACTCATCTTCCTATCCTAGCTGGCTTCCACTGAGCATGTGCAGGTGACCTCCAGCCCTCTCAAGATTTTGGGGCATGTAATCATTTCAATAATAACTCACAATCTTCTCTTGGCTCATGCCCCCGTCTACTTGGACCCCACTGTCCTTTAGCTCCCAAAGCATTCAAATCAGTCTAGAAGTCAAGAAGAGCTGGGTTCAAATCTTGTCATAAAATTACTAGCCTCAGTTTCCTCATTCTACAAAATAAGGGGCTGGTACTCCATGATCTTGTACAGTGTAACACTGTTAACATCCCAGCAGCAGGAGTAGCTCCAGCTGGTAAAGATCAACACCCCACCCTCTTCTGCATGTGACTTCTTGGGTCTTGTAGAGAATGGGCAGACAGACACATCCAAAGGCCTTTGCAGAGAACTGCTATCATGCCTTCTCGGTCTCAGAGTCAGAAGGGACTGTAACTGACAAGGTACCACAATGGCCTCATCCCATTCCCCTCTGCTCCCTGACTAGGGGCCGAGCAGAACCCACCAACCTGCTGTCCGATTCTTTAGCAGGGACCCTGGGGTCTCCTCCATGCTCCATGCCTCTGTCCAGTGTCCTGCAGCCAGAAAAACCAAACACCAAAAGACAAGGCCAGCAGGGTCAATATCACAAAGCTCTGTGCAATTAGATATTTATTAATATCTTTTGTTTCTGTATTGCCTAGATTTCTCCCCTTTTTGGTGAGGCGATTGGGGTTACGTGACTTGCCCAAGGTCACACAGCTAGTAATTGTTAAGTGTCTGAGGCTGGATTTGAACTCAGGTCCTCCTGACTCCAAGGCCAGAGCTCTATTCACTGGCCACCTAGCTGCCACCAAGCCATCTCTTATAACAATTTTTTTTAAAGAGAGGAAGACAAGAAAAAATATTTGGCAAAACCAATCAACATATAGAAAAAAAGAATATTATATGCAATATTCCACATGCAAGGAGCAAAGGAGTAGGGGGAAGTGTCTCTTCCTGACTCTTCTTTGAGGCAAAGCTTATTCTTCATTGTTGCCTAATATTGGTTTCAATTGTTTTGTGGTGGTTGCTTTTTCAGTTTCCATGTTATTAGAGTGTCTCTCTTTCCCAGCTCTGCTTACTTCTTTCTGATTCAGTTTATGTAAGTCTTCTCACGCTTCTCTGTATCCATTCACTGTTCATTGTTTCTTACAATACAGTCATATTCTATTACATTCATGTGCTAGAGTTTCTTAAGCTGTTTCCAAAGTAAATGGGTATTGACTTTGTTTTAAAGTCTGCCACCACAAAAAAAAAAAGTCCTGCTATAAATATTTTGGTGTCTATGGAGCCCTTCTTTCTGTTAATGACTTCCTCCTCGGGGTATATCATGCATCTTTTAAAAAGTCTCACCAGGGATGGCGATTGAGCATGACCCTGACAGGACCTGGAAGTTCATGGTTTTCTCTCCCTCACTTCCATCTTCCAAGATCTGTGAAAATGCTAGGCTATGGAAGGCAGAGACAGTGGCAAGCCCCATGTGTCACCTCTATATGCCACGGCCTAGGACTCCTGGCTCTGAGTCTGTACAGCCTGCTTCCATTGCAACTCTTTCTCAAAGATCACCCTCTCTGGCTCAGCCTGCTGTCTCTGTGGTTTCTCTGGGCATCTCAGAATATAGCTCCTGATTATCTAAGTCTCCACAGACACAGGTGGAAGAGCCCCATGTCCTGGTCAAGCACCCACCTCACAGTGGCATGTCACCCCCCAAAAAATGCTGAATATTCCAAAAGGTACACAGTGGCCCATAACCAATCCATAAAAATTCTCCTCTCCTCTTTGGTGACTCCCATCTTCCCCTGAGGATCTACAGTCCTCCAGACTCATAAAACCATCCTGTGATCACACACACACACACACACACACACACACACACACACACACCCCTTGAGAGAAACAAACAAACAAAAAGAATATGCAACTGTTAAAGTCACCAGTGGTGACTCCCAGTCCACAATGGATAAACCATCAAAGAATATTAACAACTGGCAAAAGGAAAACACAGATGATGAATAACCACTTTAAAATGGTCAGCCATATTAAAAATCAGAAATGAAAATCCATCTAACTTTGAAGTACCTCTTTACACCCATCAAAGTGGCCAGAATAATAACTCAGTACTGATAAGGTTATGGAGCAATAGTTAACTTATTTGTTATGTATAATATACACACACACACACACACACACACACACACATAGCAAATAGAAAAGGGGGAGGGGAGAAAACAGTGAATTGTCCATAAGGCCCCCTGCTGTCTGCATATTGACTTAGTTTCAAAATGTATTTTATTGTATTTTTCTCATATTGTTAAATATTTCCCAATTGCATTTTAATCAGTAACTCTGGAGTGTTGTGAGCCAAACACGGCATGCTGCCTGTTTGACCCCTCGATGTAAGAGCAAGGGACTTCACCTATATGGCAGCTGGGAGGTGAAATGGATAGAGCATCAAGCCTGGAGTCAGGTAGTCTCACCTTCCTGAGTTTAAATCTGGCCTCAGACACTAGCTGCAGGACCCTGGGCAAGTTACTTCACCCCGTTTGCCTCAGTTTCCTCTTCTGTAAAAGAGCTGGAGAAGGAAATGGCAAACCACTCCAGTATCTCTGCCGAGAAAACCCCAAATCGGGTGTGGAAGAAAGACTGAAGAAGGGAGAGGCCTGAAGCAGAAAGGCGGATTAGGCTAGAGTCCAGACAAGTGGTGAGAGTTTAAACTAAACTCTGGGTGTGACTGTAAGAAGATAAACCTCCCTGATTGAGCTAGCCACCTCTTGCCTACTACTCCTTGTGATCCTATCTGGGGTTGGGATTAAGATTACGTTTAGCTCTACCTAGTTTCAAGGGAACGAGATGCCTCCGCGCAGGGTAGCTCCTGGTCTCCCCCCCACACACACACACACGTCTTTCCTTCCTCCTTTTGTGTGTCTCCCCCCCCCCGGCCCCCCACTATATTGTAAGATCCTTAAAGGCTGGGACTTTCTTTTGATTAATTGGGAGTCACCAAAGAGGAGAGGAGAATTTTATGGATTGGTTATAGGCCACTGCGCACCCTTTGGAATATTCAGCATTTTTTGGGGGGGTGACATGCCCCTGTGAGGTGGGTGCTTGCCCAGGACATGGGGCCCTTCCACCTGTGTCTGTGGAGACTTAGGTAATCAGGAGCTATATTCTGTGATACCCAGAGAAACCATCGAGAGGGAAGGGGCACACAGTAGGCGCTTAATGTTTGTCGGGTTGGATCACTGGATTGACTCTACTGCACCACCGCTACCCAGCTACTCAGATCACCAGTCTCAGCTCCCTCGCCCCCTCCCAAAACCAGAGATGGAATGTCATCCCTCCCCACCCACTCCCCGCCCCGGAAGAAGGAAGTGGGCTAGTGCAGTAGAGAGTGCTTTTTGAGACGCTGAGAATCAGTGCCAGACTCCAGAGACCTTCACAGCGACTTTATTTACCAGGTGCTCTTCTCCGAGTGTTACAGCAAGAGAATTAAAAAAAAAAAAAAGCAAAAACAAATACGTTGGCGCAGGCGCAGTGGTCCGCCCGGTCCCCGGCCGGCTTGTGGGCTCGCTGGGTGACTTCTCTGCTGGGAACGTTGCCAAGGAAAGGGTGACGTCATGGAGACTTTAAGTCTAGAGGAGACGATTGCTTAAAGGGCACCTCCGAGTTTTCTGCGAACCTAGGACTAGAGGGCCAGGCGGCAAGCAGAGCCCTCCTGTGTGGTAGGGTCACTCCAGGGAAGGGGAGAGGGCAGAGCCCTGAGCTAGGAGACCCAGCTGTGTCCCTAGTTAGCTTTGCCCTGTCCCTCTCTGGACCTTAGTTTGCCCATCTGTAAAATGAGAATGTTGGATTAGACTCTCTGGTAAATCTATTCTGGCTGAGTCCTAGGAGCTACTCTGTGCCCAGCTTGAGACTCTGGGCTAGCACTTTCCCCCTCTGAGCCTCCTGGTCAAGCGAGACGATTGCTTGTGTCCTACTTCCAGTTCAGGACTTTGGGCTCCCTTTGAGTGACCCTTGGACTAGAAGCAGGTTGGTAGAAGCAGTAGGGCAGCCATACGCCGGTTTTTAGTGGGGAGGGGGTTCCACTGGGAACTGAGATGGTCCCAGTGAGCAGCCAAGTCATTAACATTGGGCTTGAAAATAAGACTTTTAATGAAGCTAGAAGGCCTGACCTAAGGGCAGAAAGACTAGGGGGAAGAGGCTTGGGGGGAGGGGGAGCCATGTTAAAGCTGTGGATTTCTAGGATGACTAAAGCAGGCAAGTCCCCCCAAGAGCACCTACTCCCAGACTTGTTAGCACAGGGGCTGAGCCCCAGCGAGGGGGAGAAGGAAGGAGCTCTGAGCTTCTGAGTTTAGTCACTGACACCTGTGGGGTTTCTTCTGAGCACAGCCCAGGACTTAGGGGCCATTGCCACTGTCCTCCCTGAGAGGTACATCTCTGTCAGGGGAAGGGTGATGTCGCAGGAGACTAACAATTTCTGTCCAGCATCCTTCCTAGGGCCCAGTGAGAACTGGAGATGTAGAAGACTGTCCCGGATCCTTGCTGTTTTAGAGAATGGGAGGTATAGGAGGAGGGGAGAAGAGTGACAGCTGATCTGGCCTTGGGATTGGGAGGGGGTGCAGCAGGGGGCATTCATTCCAGCCAGAGGGAGGAAAGAGGAAAAAGCAGCTCCAGGTTTGAGAGGCTTTCCCTGCCAGTGGAAGCATGGGGCGCCTCAGGCCCCAGGAAAGAGTCTGGGTCAGGGGGAGGAAAGGAAGGGCCTAAAGGACCTGAGAGGTGGAATAGGCTGAGGGTGCAGTGGGTGAGGGGGCCGGCCTGGCCGAGAGACTGCTGAGAGAGGGTTGATGTAGTAAGGTGGGCTGGGTTCAAGGCCTGACTCCTAGACCCCAGGGACTTTGGGCAGTCACTTATCCGCTGGTAGAGCCCTTGAGGGGGAAATAGGAGGGCTGGGGGATGGATCTGTAAGCTGCCTCCCAAACTTTTATCTAGAAGGCAAAAATAAAGTTCAGCTTGGCCACAGAGCAGTGTACTTATCCGCGCCAAGCTAAAGATGAGAAAGAGAAGAATTCTCTCCTTCTCCCCCACCCCTCCACCTTCCCCCCCCAACCCCGTTCTCCATCTCAGCCCCTCAGGGGGCTTTCCGAATCTCGATATCCTCTCTTGGAAGCGCTGCCCTCTTCCTCCCGGACATTTACTTTGGGGGCCCCACCCCTGCCTTCCCCAGTCAATGCTGGACTCTTTGGAGAGCCCTACCTCCTTCCCAGGACCCACCGATATCCTGGGGCCCCACCCCTTTCCTCTCCGGTCTGGGACAGCCTACCCTGGGACTCCACCCCCTCTTCCTTCCCAGCTAATGATGGCCTTGCCCTAGGGCCCCCTCCCCCTGCCCCCACTGCTATTTGAAATGAGACAAGAAATGGGCTACGGGATAGTTTGGGGAGTCGATGCCCAGGCCCTGGCAGAGCCCTAGCAGGCGCTGTCGGGCTTCGGTGGGGCTGCTGCCCGAGCAGGCTATACTGCAGTAAGGCTCCTCGTACTCTCCAGGTACCAGCTCCTCCTCTAGCAGGTTGAGGCGGATGAGGCCCCGCTCGTGCAGGGCCTGGAGAGCCTCCCGGCTGGCCGTAGAGCTGAGCGCCTGCAGGTGCTGGGATACCACACACATGACTCCCACCAGGTAGGCCCGGGCTCTGGGCTGGGCAGGCAGGGCGGGTGGGATGCCACAGGCCACCATGGCAGCCGCCAGCAACAGGTCGACCCCATACAACTCCTGGATCCAGTCCCGCAGGTAGAAGCCCCCCATGCGGGGGTTGATCTCAATCAGCCGAGGCCCCGCAGCGGTCAGCTTCATCTCCACATTGAAGACGCCGTCCAGCAGCCCACAGCCTAGGCAGCACTGGTAGGCAGCCTGGATCAGCTGGGCTTCCCGCTCCGGGGCCAGCCCCGTGGGCATGCAGGCTGCCGTCTCCGTGAAGCCCGGGAGGCGGGTGGGGCCGTTATCAGAGACGAAGGCCCCCAGCAGCTTCCCTGAGAATATCACTACGTCTATGTCATGCTCTGTGCCTGCAACGAACTCCATCAGCAACATGGCATTGCCCCAGCCCAGCCCGATGCCAGGGTGGTCAGCCTCCCCCTGCAGGTCCTGGGAGATCTTGGCGAAGTGGGCCCGGCATTGAGAGGCATCATGGACCAGCCGCACACCCACCGCGCCTGCTCCAAACTCCAGTTTCATGACCCCAGGAAGGGGCACCAGCCGGGCAGCGCGCTCCACATCCTCAGGGACCTCCAGCGGGCAGCAGGGCACCGCATAGAGGGATGGGGCAGGCCAGCGAGGGCTGCGGCAGCGCAGCAGATGAGATTGCGTCTGGCTCTTCTGCTTTGCCAGGCTCATGGCAGCTGGGGGGCAGCCCCGGAGGCCCAGCTCCTTGCAGAGCAAGGCTGTCAGCACCAGGCAGTCGTCCCAGTAAGAGAGGCAGCCATCCAGCTGCAGGCCCCGGGCCCGAACCAGCTCTGCCAGGTGCCGGGCATTCTCTTCATCGCGCCGGTGCTCTGTCACGTCAAAGTGGATAAAGGTCTGGACCAGTTGAGAGGCAAAATGGTTGGGATCTGACTCTACCAGGTGTAGCTGTGAGAACAGAAGACGGAGAGTGTGGCCTCCTCTGCCAGACCAGCCCTCTCTCCTCCCTTCCCTGCTCACCAGCCCACAGGGTAGGGGCCTCAGCCTGGAACTCTGTATCTCCCTGTGCAGTGCTTAGAGCCCTGGACCTGGGGTCAGGAAGACCTGAGCTCAAGTCCAGCCTCAGCTGTGTGCCCCTGGGCAAGACACTTAACTGCTGCTTGCCTCAGTTTTCTCATCGGTAAAATGGGGATAATAATAGCACCTACCTCCCTGGGTTGTGGTGAGGAGCAAATGAGACAATATTTGTAAAGCACTTAGCACAGTGCCTGGCACATAGTAGGCCCTTAATAAATGCTTGTTTCCTTTCTTCCTTCCTGGAAGCCATGACACACAAGGATTGTTTGGAGGAACTGGGCGTGTGGAGGACGAAGAAGAGAAGAGAAAGCTTGGGTGGGTGAGGAGGAAGGACTGCCAGCTTTGAGGATCTGAAGGATCAGCCACAGGTAAAGTGGCTGAGGTTCGCCCTTGGGGCCTCGGGAGAGCTGACCTGGGAGCTATCGGGAGGGGCAGCAGGGAGGAAGATTTGGGCTCAGAAATGCCTGAGTGCAGTGGACTGCTGCAGGAAGTCATGAGTTCCCCAGCACTGGAGGTCTGCCAGCAGACACTGGAGGTGTCCTCGGGAGATGTAGAGGAAAGTCCTGTTCAGCAGGGGTTAGACTCAGACGCCTCTGAGGTTATCTCTCACTCTGAAGCCCTGGGAGTCTAGGATTCTGTCTTTCTAGCATCAGCCTCCTCAAAGGCCCAGCTACAGCCCCTCTTCCACCCGTCTATGGACGCTTCTCCTTCAGAATGCCTTATCTGTCAGCGTGATAGCAAAGCTGTTTCCTGGGCAGATGACCTGAAGGAGGAGGCCTTCCTTCAGGCCTGCCTGCTGTGACTGCACCTCTGTAAAAGGACAGGGTTAGATGGGACTTCTCGGATTTGTCAGTAGATGAATAGGGGTGGGAGGGAAGGACTCGAATCGTCCTTGGGGCCACGCAAAACCAGGTGCCCTAGATGTCAAACTGTGGGACACCCTTTGGACAGTTACCTTTCTCTTGGTCCCGCCCACAACAGATCAGCCAACCCCAGCGCCCAGGGTTCTCCTCCCTCTATTGTTCCACGGCACAGACCCTGGCTTCTCCGCCCTCCTTCGGCTCACACTCCATGCGCACCCCACCTGTAGAGACCCTGCCCCTGACCACGCCCCCACGCTCAAGCCTTCCCTCCATTGGCTCGGCCCCTGCGTGGGCCCCGCCCCCTCACCTTGAGCCCGTAGTCCCGGGCCGCCTCCCACACGAACTTCTTGCTGTAACCGCCTGCGCCCACCACCAGCAGGTGCTTGCCCTCCATGAGGTGGCGCGCCGAGCGCCGCAGCATGGTCTCCACCAGGGGCCCCGCGGCTGCCCACTGAGAACGCTGGCCCCGCCGGGCCCACTGTCCCTCCAGGAGCCCGCAGGCTTCCAGGCATAGGCAGTTGTTGAGCTCCAGGAGCACAGGGCTCAAGGAGCCTCCGGGGCCCATGGGCGTCAGCGCCAAGTCCACACCTGCTGGGGCAAGAAGGAGCCAGAGTTCAGCGAGACGGGCCGCCCTGGATCGCCCCCAGCCCTGGAGGTCCTGGCCCTTGGCGGCTCCTGAAACAAGCAACTGTAGGGCGCAGAGGCCTGGGACACCTCCATCCTAGCCCTGAGGGCCAGAGACCTTCTGTGACTTCTGCGCCTAGACGTCACCTGAGGTCGTCTGGAGTCCAATGTGGGGTGCAGAGGACACTGACTCCTGGGGCTAGGACAAACACGGGAACCTGGGACGTACTGCCACCTGGGGCTGTCGGGAGTCCAACGCACCCTTCCCACCACTTTTACCTGGAGGCGCAAGTCGCAGGTGCCCATTTGGGGGCCTGCAGACCCCATTTTACCCCCTCCCCTATGCGCATGCCTAGGAGTGGAGGGTTCCGGACCTGAACACCTGGGACTGGAACCACCTGCACCTGCCATGGGCCCTCCCCAAAGTTGCTGCCTGGAAGCAGGCGTCCAGGGACTCAGTGGTTAGGGCAACAGAGGTGGGGCTGAAATTCCCATTTTGCCCAAACTCTGCGTCTGCGGCGACCCTGTTTCCAGGCCCCAGAGGCCGGGGACTCACCGAGAACGTCTGTTTGCGCCTGGCGGGGCCGCCCCGCTCCTCAGGGCTCAGCGAGGCCTCGAACTCCAGCACGGCTCCCAGGGCGGCTTCGGCAGCCTCCCGCACGACGCCGCAGGGCCTCCACGGTGGCCGGCTCGCTCAGCCCACACGCGGCCAGAGCAGTGTCCAGGCTCTGCGTCAGGGCTACTTGGTGTCGCAGGGGCTGCTCTGGACGGCCCACACTGCACACCATCTGGGGGCCAGGCAGGGTTGGTGCTCAGCCCTCTCTCCTCACTCCCCGCAATGGCCCCCATCAGCCTGGGAGCTGAAGCTCCAGAGTTCAGAGTGGGATGAGCGTCTGGGCTGTGGGTGCTCTCCCCTCATTCTTTCTCCATTCCTGCCCTCAGAAGCCTTCACTGGCTCCCGTTGCCCAGCGAGCCAATCCTTCACCCGGCATTCAAGGCCTGTCTGTCTGGTCCCAGCCTCCCTTCCTAACTTTCTCCTCGCTGGGTCCTTCCTTCTGTGAGCTCTGTGCCCACACCAGCCTCCATTCTGTCCCCAACACACGAGGCAGGGCACTTGACCCTACTCCTTTTTCCACTGGTAAAATGAGGAAGTTGGCCCAAATAATGTTTCTCTTCCAAATCTCACGCCCTCTGTCTGAAAGGCATTCCTTCGGCCCTCTCTGCTGTCCCCCTAGCTGGATTCTACCCATTCTTCTAGGCCCACCTCCTATCAGAAGCCCACCCTCAGACTCACAAATTTAGGGGCCAGTCAGCTAGGCCAATTCCTTGGTTACAGAGGGAGAAGCAAGCATAGAGGCCTCTTGGCATAAGAGTAGCAGGTAACAGAAAGGAAGCCAGGTCCTCTGGACAGAAAGCGTGGAAAGAGGCCTGCCTCTGGAGTCAGAGGATCCGGGTTCAAAGCTTGTCTTTGCCGCCCATCTCCAGAAGCTTCCCCCTGTCCCTCTCCCTCCTCCAGCTGCCCTGGCCTGAGTCTGCTTGGCCCTGGTGGGCGCTCCTTCTCTGGGCAGCAATGGGCAAGCAGCCCTAGGCTGATGCTCGGGTGCTCCAAAAGGCTGGAGGATCCTGGGGTCCCTTTGTAGCCCCATTGGGGGTCCCCTTTCTTACCTGACTCATCAAAGGCCGATCACCCTGGGTCCTGCACACTACAGCACAGGCCCGAATGGCCAACTCTGGCAGAAATGAGAATAAGGATCAGAAACTATACAGCTGCAAAGCCCTTCACAGGCTTCTTGTCCGAGGAGCCCTGTCATGCAACTCTTCTTCCCTATTTGGACCTGGGATTTTTGTTGTTGTTTTGTTTGGGTAAATGGAACTCCTGGTGTGGGTTCTCCTTCCTCCAAGGTGGACTGGCCACTCACTGGCAGCTTAGTCTTAGAGAGTCACTTGAGCCTCACAATGATTTGTCCAAGTTCCATGGCTGGTATGTGCCAGAGGAAGGCTCTGAACTGACTCCACTCACTACAGCAAGTGTTATCTCCACTTTGGAGATGAAGAAACTGAGACTCTTAGAGCTACAGTGATCCGTCTGTGACCATACCTGCTAGTTAAGTGTGTGAGTTGGGATTTGAACCTAGCACCCTTTCAACTACAGCACAGGTGTTCACAATCCTGGGGTTGAGGTAAATGAAGCCCAGGACCACAAAGCTAGAAAGTGGAGGTCTTCAGATTCCGTGGGAGGGCCTCTCCAGCTGTGTGGAAGCCAGCTTATAGGAGAGAAGGTGGGTGTGAAGCCCAGGGACTGTGGAGGACTGAGCCCTGCTGCGCCCAGGCCCAGCTCTCTCTGGAGGGGGCTCTCACCTGGCTGGGAAGTGAGGCTCCCAGGGGCATCAGGAGGCAGGATCCAGGCTGGAGGACACACAGCCTCCACAAGGATACTCTCCTCCTCCTCCAGCTTCTCCAACAGGGCCAGCACTGCGCGGACCACTGCCCCTGCTTCTGACCTTGGATGCAGGCTCATGGCCTGGGACCCACGCCAGCGCCAGCCTGAAGGCTTTACTGCCACCTAAAGAGGCAGGTGGGCATTCAGGAGGGGCCGAGACTGCTTGCCCTGCCCTCCCTGTCTCCCTTCATCTCTCCCTCGGAGTGGAGCCCTGGTATACCTCTCATGTCACCCCCATACCAAAAGAAAAACTCAACAGTACTAGTAACAACTGACCCAGTGTAGCCACAGCTGGACGGGACCTTCATAGCCATTTAGCCCAACCCCTTCATTTTTCTGGATAGGGAAACTGAGTCTCAGAGAAGTTAGGTGACTTGCCCAAGGTCCCACACATAAATGGCAGGGTCAGGATTTGAACCCAGATCTTGGGGCTCCTTTGCACCACAGCATTTTAGTTGTGTCAGCTTTCTTGAGCCTCACAATGACCATGGGAGACAGGTCCTGCAGGTGTCATTAGCCTCATTTTACCGAAGAGGAGATTGAGGCTCAGAAGTTGTGACCTGCCTAATGTCCTCCAGCCAACAAGTAGAGCTGGTAAAACTTGAATTCGGGTCTTGCTGGCTTCCATCCAGCATTCTCTGCACTGTGCTGTACTGCCTTCCCCATCTGGTTACCATAGCAGCTTCTGGGCACTAGTCTACAAACTGCCACCCTCCTAAGAACCCTGGGAGCCCCCTCTCTACATCCTCAAGGCCCTCAGCTCACTGGGACCGTTTAAATCTTTGGGAGCATTGGAGGTTCATAGTCTTTTCTGGAATCCTCACCACCATCCTCAGACACAGTAGGACAGGCCAGAGGCTTATCAGCTTAGGTCTGGGAAGGCCCTCTGAGGCCATGGAGACCTACCCCTCCAGTTTACAAGTGAGGCCCCCAGAGGTGGGGTGACTTTTCACTGGCTGCCTCCCCTGCTCACCTTCTGCAGAATCTTTGCTGGTCTTCCCCACCACCACCACGCCCCCTCACCATGCCCCCCACCCTTGGAGTTGACCTCTCATTTATTCTGTATACATCTTGTACACACACAGTTTTGTTCATGAAGTCTCCCCATTATTCTGGGAGCTTCTTGAGGGTGGAGACTATGTTTTCTCCTTTCTTGTTGTCCCCAGTGCCTGGAGCCCAGCAGGCACTTAATGCATATTTGTAGTTTGATTAGTTTGCCCAAGGTCACTCCTCTGGGGGACAAAGCCAGGTCTCCTGACTCTCGTCCCAAAGCTGTTTCTACCACCCATTCTCTCTACCACCATCCCCAAGGCTAGATCTCCCTCTTCACCCAATCCCCAGAGTCCTTAGTACCTGGTGGGCATCTCCCAGGGCTCCGAGGTGAAGAAAGGCCTCCACTTCCTCTTCCACCAGCCCCTCCTGCCCCTCCTTGTCACTGAGCTCCACCTGCCGCAGGCTCTGGGTCCAAGCCTGGACCCGCAGCTGCTGGGGGGGCTTGTACGTCAAGGCCAGAGTGGCGGGCATGGCCACCTTGTCCCCCTGGGCCAGAAGCTGCCTGGTAAGTAGCCGGTCCTCCAGAAGGCGGGCCAGCTCTGCCGAGCTCCCCATGGGGCAGCCCAGATCCCTGCTCAGCTCTGCCACCTCCCGGCCTCGGCCAGCCTTCGGTCCCAACTCCCCTAGGAAGTAGGTGACCCGTCGTGGAGGGGCAAACTCCTCCAGGAAAGTTAGGCCCCCTGGATGGAATGTCACAGCCTTCAAGACCAGCAGGGCTGACTCCCCTGGTTTTCCAGCCATGGGCACTTTGGTCAGCCAGGACGGAGACAGACACAAAAGCAGGTTTCCTGGGAGTGGAGGAGACGGAGAAATGATGGTGGGGAGGTGGAGGGGTGGGGGGAGGGGCCAGGATCAGAGATTCAGACAGAAAAGACTTTAGAGATCATCTGGGCCAGCTCCTTTGTTTTACAGATGGGAAAACTGAGACTCGTCCAAGATCAAAACGGCAGCGGCAGGAGTGAATGCTAGCCCCTTCTTTCTGTTAGCACCAAAATGTCCTGTCTGTATCTTGTCCTGGAGGGCAGGGACTGGTTTTTGCCTTTCTTTGTATCCCCAGCACTTGGCACAGGGCCTGTTATATGGTGAGTATTTAATAAATGCTTATTGACTGGCTGGCAGAGCTAGGATTTTTATCCAGACTCTCTGCCTCTGAACGCTGGCTTTGGGGAGGGAAAGGGCATGTCAGCTGGGGACCCCCCACAGCATAACAACAGTCCCCCTTCAGGAATGCCTCCCTGGTCTCCACCATCACCAGAATGACCCACCCCCAGAGAAGGAATCTCCAGCTGTCTGGGCAGAAATGGCTAGCAGCTGCCTGGCTCGGGTATTCTGGGACTCGGCAGGGCCTAGCTCTGCCTGCCCTTTCCATAGGTCAGCTCTGCCATGTGGGGAGTGGGGGGAGGGCCTAGGACAGAAAGGCTCCTCGAAGAGCTCCCTGACCTGAGCCAGCCTGTGGCCTCCACTCACCTGGGCTCTGGGCCCCACCCTCCAGCAGCACAGAGAAGAAGGAACTTGGGGAGCCCAGAATGCACATGGTCACCTCTGCCCCGGGGCAGCCTCGGGAGAAAAGAAGAGAATGCCACTGTCTGGTTACCCTCCCCCTGTCACCACCCCCCACACCAGCCTCTTTCACTGTGATATGCCCACCAGTCCCTTGTGTCTTCCCTCATTCTGAGAGAATGGTGGTACCTAAGCCACTGTAGGAAGTGGGCAAAGGAAGACTGAGGCTGCAGGAGGAAAAGGGGCAGCTCCAGTTGTGTGGGCACTACCCCTGCCACCTGGCTCCCTGCATCTAGCTGTCCCCCTGGTCCTGGCCATGTGTCTGTTCCTAGCTCTTCGTGTAGGACCATGGGCCTTGCTTTCTCAGAGACAGGGCCTGGGTTGATGGCAGCTCTCCCTGCCCCCTGGGCCTCTCTCGGTTTGGAGGCTCACCTGGGTGAGGCTCTAGGCTATGGTCCACAGTCTCAGGCAGACCCGCCTGCTGCAAACAGCTCTGTAACAAGTTGTAGTAGAAGGTGGTCCACGCCCGGGCAGTGCCCTCCTCAGGGGAGCTCTTACAAGTCAGGTTCACATCCCGGTGCCAGGACCCCAAGAGAGGCCCTGTCGGAGGCAGCTCTGGACTCCCATGCTGCTCCCCATCCCCTTCTTCCTCGGTGTCCTTGGAGGCCACAGAGTGGGCCAGCTCTGGCCGCAGCTGATCTAGGGAAAGCTTCATGGAGAAAGGTTCAGGTTGGGCGGGGGGGGTCCACTAACAGAGCAGACCTTGGGGGACCCCAGGGGACATTGATCAGGATGCCTGGAGAAGAGGAGGGGCGATCCTGGGGATCCAGAAGTGGGTACTAGATGGGGAGATTAAGCCTTCAAATATTTATTAGGCACCTACTGTGTGCAGGGCATGAGCTGGGGCTGAGGAGCACACAAAGGATCAGAACCAGGGCTGGAAGGGACCTTCAAGGCTTCTAAAGCCAACCTTATCGTTTTGTAGAGAAGGTAACTGGGGCCCAAAGAGAGGAAAGGTCTCACCCACACAGGTGGCAAGAGGGTGCAAGAGGAAGGTGTATGAGAAGGGTACAAGAAGAAAGGCCCCTTCATCTTTCCTCCTGAAAGGGCACATGACTTCCCAAGGGGAAAGGAAAGGTGAAAAGCAGGATGTCTAAGACCTCTGTTGGCTTCTACCAAAGGAAGACGGGCAGCTACAAAATACCTTGCAAAAAGGGGCTCCTACTAGCTTGTGTCCTTTAATAAATTTGGGAAATGTTTTACACCAAACTTAGAGAGGAAGCTTGGGTGGCTAGGGGCCTAGACTTAGAGCCATGGCTCAAATCCCACCACCAATATTTCCCTGCTGAAGGAGCTGAGACAGACACCTCACCAACATGAACCTCACGGCATCCCCTGGCCCAGTAAGTTCTAGGTGGTGAAGGCTGCTGAACTGGGAATCCTAGCCCCTACAGCTCTGCCGCTGTAGCTGTGTGACCTCAGACAAACCACTCCAAGTCTCTGTGCTTCCATTTCCTCCTCTATAAAATGAGGAGGTACTCAGTGACTTCTGCGGTTCCTCCAAGGTCTAGATCTAGGGTTCTGTGGTGACACTGCCACAGCAATTTAAAGTCTTCAAAGCACTTCATACCAAGTATCTCATGCAGCCTTGTGAGGTGCTGTTGCCCTCATTTTACAAATAAGGAAACCCAGGCTCAAGAGGGAAAGTGACTTGCCCAGGGTCATTCAGCTAGGACGTGTCAATGGCAAGATTTGACATTTGAAACCAGATCTTTCCATCACCAAGTCCAAACACTCTTTTCCTCTCCACTGGGCTCCCTGAATAAGACACAGTTCCTGCTCGCAGCCTAGGGTACAGAGAGCTCTGGTTCAGGAGTATTGTGCTTGGGCAGGAAGTGCTGTAAAGCAGTGGGTGTGACAGTCAAAGGCAAATTCAGAGGCAGGAAACTCTAGCAATGCAGGCCAGTCCAAAAGGATGGCTTCATCAGATAGTGAGCTCCCCATCCCTGGAAGTCTTGCAAGCAAAGGCCAGTGGCTACTGGCCCAAGGTGTTGTTGTGGGTTAGACTAGGAGGCCCCTTCTCCCAATCTGGAAATCTTGTGATTCTGTGACTCAGGAGACCAGCCCCTCCTTTCCCCCCAGCTCTCGCTCACAACTTATGTGATCAAATGCTCTCCAGGCTCTGGGCTCCCAGTGACAAATGGGAACATTATGCCCTGCCCTGTCCTCTAATAAGTGGCAAGAAGTTAATGGGAGAGAATGGACCAAATATTCTTCAGATAAGAGCCACCTTGGCCCCTTTCTGTTTCTATTGGGAGACATCATCTTGAGAATTTGGTAGAGAAAGAAACCCTGAAGCTGAGCCCCAGCTGTGGGAGGAGGGGGCCTTAGAGCCTGGGACCACATTCAGGGCCTTAGGTGCTGGGGGCCAGAGGGAAGGGGCAGGGGAGGAGGGAGGGGACAGAGTGAACTCACCATCTTGCAGATGAAGAGGCTGAGTGAGAGAGAAGAGGGTTAGGGAGAAGAGAATTTCAGTAAAGTGTGTGCAGCCCCTGGAACTCCCAAGGGCCAGGAAACAGCTTCTCCCCCATTCGCTTTGCCCAACTTTTCTCCTGCCCCTCCCTCCATTCCTCTCTCCCTGCCTCACTCCGGGGCTCTGAAGGGTCAAAGTATAGACCGGACCCCAGAGAGGAGAGGCTGGGGAGAGACGAGTGTACGTGGTTGAGAATGAGTGTTGTTCGCTGGTGAGGACACTGTGGCCTCTCCTGTCACTAGAGCTGAGCAGCCAGGGGCTGTGGAGGAGAGGGTGGATGTGACCTGGAAAGAGGGTCAGCATAGCCATGGGGAGCAGGTGCCAAAGGGATTGGGATGGCATTTCACAGCCCATCGCGGACCCAACCCAGACCACACCACCCAAAGACCCCCAAATACTGAAGCCTTGGCCCTCCTCTTTGCTCAGATGTCAAGCCTGGGGCCACAGAACTGGCACAAGGTTCTTGAAGCCCAGGACTGCTGCCCAGCTCTGGGGCCACCTCCTGGTAAAGCCTGAGGGGAATTTTTCAAAGCTGAACTAAGCCTAGGAAATACCTTTGCAAAAGGGGAGAGGTGCACTTAGCGACAAATGTGACCTCTGCATAACACAGGAGAAGGTGACTGGGCTGGGTTTTGGGACTTCTGGGTCCCCTGCTTGACAGTGTCATAGACCCGAACCCAGGCTGGCTCGGGTGCCTCAATTATTACTCTAAGTGGGGGAGCTGAAGGACCAGAGGGGCTAGGGCAGGGCTTCCGGATAGGGGCGAGGCTGCCTAATCCAAGGGACTCTAGCCTTGCTTTCTGGGCCCCAGGAAGGCGCTTTCCGCTGCCGAGACTCCCCCACCTCCAGCCCCTGGGCCTTGTCTCGCCCCAGCTGAACCCTCCCACCTCCACCGCTCCCACCCCTTCCCCTCCTCGCCAGCCCTTAGGGGCGCCCACTCCCCAGCCCCGCGCAAGCAGGGGGCGCCGGGGGTACCTGGGTGAGCAGGGGGCGGCTCGGCTCGCTGGCCTAGGCTGGCCTGGGCTGCCCTGGGCTTGATACCAACGTCCGGGGATTAAAGGCGGCCAGGCTTTATATAGCCCTGGCTTGGGACATGCCCAGTGCCAGGAAGGGCGGGGAGGGCTTAGGCCCCACGGGGCTAGAGAGCTGGCGGGCGGGGCGGGTGGGGGAGAGGCGCTCCCGAAGGACCCAGGTGCGAGCACGTGAGATGGGGCGAGAAGAGCCTAGCAAAGAGCACAGACACCCCTGTCGCGACCCCCACACACACCCCGCCCCACCCCCCTGCCCCCAGCTTCTCCTCCTGGCCCTCTTGTCGCCGAGGCAAAGGAACAGCCGGTGGGAGCCCTGAGAGAGAGAAAGCAGCGCACTGACAGACGCTCCGTGACTGCCGCCTTGGAGACAAACACCTGCCTTGGCTTTGATTGGGAGACAGAGGCTCTCACAGAGACTGAGAAAAAATGAGAGAAACACACAGGCAGGGGCAAAAAAAGAAAGGGAGAGACACAGAAAAACAAGAGAGACACGGGGACAGAAAGAAAGGGGAGACAGAGGTAAGGGGACAGAGAGAGGGAAAAAGACAGACACGAAGAGAGAGGAGGGAGAGGGGGGAGGACAGAGAGAGAGAGAGAGAGAGAGAGAGAGAGAGAGAGAGAGAGAGAGAGAGAGAGAGAGAGAGAGGGACAGAGGAGAGAGAGAGAGAGAGACAGGGACAGAGGGAGAGAGAAGAAAAGGAAGAGGAGAGGAGACAAGAGTCAGAAAGGGAGATGCAGAGACAGAGGGAAAATGCAGATATAAGTCGGAAAGAAAAAAAAGAAAGAAATACACAGAGAAAAATAGTGACAAGGAGCCAGGGACACACCCAAAGAGAGACTACAGGAGGGAAGAGGAGAGAAAGGGATAGGGAGGGAGGGAGAGATGAATCTGCCCCACACTGAATTGTGGAGGGACCAAAGGACTAAGGGAGGGCAAGAGACTGGTACAGATTCCTCCCCTCATCCTCCTTCACACACACACCCCAAAGAAGGCCTCACATGGACAAGGCCACAGAAACAGAGACACATTGTTCAGGACAAGCAGTCACACAGCCCCAGAGACGAGGCAGGCTCCCACTCCCCATGGGCACAGCTATGGAAACCAAGTTCTGGCCAGAGGCCCACAGAGGCAACTCGGGGAGCCTGGCACCAGCACGGTCACACAGCCAGGACAAGAGCCCACGCCTTCTGTATCCCAGGCCAGGGAGCTTGTCTCTTTCAGAAAGCTATGTATGTGGCCACAGCAGAAACAGGCCCCCCTCCCCCACCTCCCAACCTCCCCCCCTCCACACACATACATCAGCCCTCTGAAAGGTGTCCCACACTCACGGATTTCAACATAACCAGCTGCTAAAGCCTGAACAGGGAGGATCACCCACAGCCCTGGCAAAGTCAGCATGCAAGCATCAAGCTGGGTGATAAGGAGTGAGCACCCAGAGGCTGGTCCCAGGGCTCCCCAGAGAACTGCTTTTGTGTGTTTTCCAAAAGATGGGGCATGGAGCCCAAGGTCTGAAAGGTTCTCTCCCCACAGCCCCGCTTCCTCTCATCCCCCACCCTGCTGCTGGCTCTCCCACCCTCCCCTCCTCTAGGGCTCAATTTTTGGGTCCCCCTGGGTGCAGCCCAGGGTGCAGGGTGGGGTCTTCAGTTCTCTTTCATCCTGAGCATCTTCACAAAAATAAACACACCCAGGAAAGCTCCCCAACACTGATGGAGTGAGTGCCTACTTCATAGAGGGCCTCAAGCAGGAGGTGAGTCACCACCAGGCAGGGCTGATCTAGGGAATTGGGGTTGGATCAGGTAGGCCCCAAGATCCCTCCCAGTGCAGGCAGCTCAGTAAACCAGAGCAAGGCCAGGTCAATTGATTCTTCTAGCAAAGGAAAGGGGTGAGCCTGAAAACAGGCAGTTTGGCCCAGTGGGAGGCTCACTTTGGCCACTTTCATGCCTTTGTTTTCTCATCTGTAAAATGGGGGGGCTAGATGGGCTCTGGGGTCTCTTCCAGCTCTGTTGTCCTTTGCATGTAAATGCAGCTTGGGTCAATGGACCCTCTGGCCCTCTGGGACACTAGTGCCCTGGCCAGGGCTAGATTTAGAATTGAGACCCAGGTTCGAATCTTGATCCTGCTACTTGATACGCGTGTGACTTAACACATTTCTTCTTCTGGGTCTCAATTCCCTCATCTGTAAAGTGGGGAGTTACGTCAGATCATCTCTAAGCTTTATTTCCATTTCCTCATTCCCAGACCCACTAGTCCCTGTCTCTGGCATTCCAGAGAGCCCCCAGCTCCAGTCAGTCAAGAAGAATTCTTGACCACTGGCTCCCAGCCAAACACTTTGTGTCACTTCCGAGGTTGCCATGCCAAAGGCCAAGGGGGCCTTCTTAGGTGGCCCAGGCCCTGGCCATGGTGCTGCCCTCAGCTGACAGATACTGACAGAGAATTCCTTCTGTCTCAGAGCTGGGACCAGCCTCACCTCTAAGGGCAGCTAGACCAGCTTCCAGCCCAGGGGAGCAGAAATGCCTGGAAAGATGCCATCAGGACATGGAGAACCTACCTTCTGCCCAGGCAGCCCATTCCATTCTTGGGCACCTCTAATTGTCAAGAAGCTTTTCCTCACTTCAAGTCTCTGGTCAGGAAGACCTGTGTTCAAACTGGCTTCACCCTTGCTAGCTGTGTGACCCTGGGCAAGTTAATTCACCCTGCTTGCCTCAGTTTCCTCATCTGTAAAATGAGCTGGAGAAGGGAAATGGCCAACCACTCCAGTATCTCTGTTAAAAAAAACCCCAAATGGGGTCATGGAGAGTCGGACACAACTGAACAGCAAGCTCTCCAGTTGGAAGGGAGCACAGAGACCATCAAGTCCAATCTCCTCATTTTACAGATGATGAAACTGAGGCCCAGAGACTTTGAGTGACTCGCCCAGTGTCACACAGCTGGTAAGTGTCTGGGGCAGAATTCAAACCCACATCTTCCTGACTAAACTCAAAACTTTCAGGGCCAGTTAGGTGACACAGAGGATAGAGCCCAGAATTTGGAGTGAGGAAGACCTGGCTTCAAATCCTTCTTCAGATACTGGCTGTGTTAACCTGTGTGACTCTTCTCTGGGGCCAGTTTCCTTATCTGTACAAATAGGAAAAAGAATGGCACCTACCATACAGGGCTGTTGTGAAAATAGAATGCGATATTTGCTTTGCAAAACGGTGAAGCATAATGTAAATGCAACTTATTATGTTATATAATAATGTGTTCTAATTATATCATCTCTCATCATCATCATCATCGTTATCCACTATACCACATTGGCTTTCAGAGGTTAGTTTTTCCAACTCATACCTGATCAGGAGTCCCTGCTATGAGGATCCAAGTGGTCATCGAGCTGCCTCCTTTTAAAGACCTTCAGTGAAAGGGAAGGAGGTCAGCCCTTCCACTCTTGGATGCCTTGAATTGTCAAGAAGCTCTCCTTTAGACTGAGCAGAAGTCTGCCTTGAGAGCTGAGACCAGCATTCAACTGGCTGCCACCTCCTCTGAGAAGTCTGCCTTGATTCCTCCTAGGTGGTGGTGGCCTCCCCCCAACCTCTGGTGGCTCTCTGGCAGCACCTCTGGAATGGGATTGGCCATGATACTGTGCCTCTGGGTTGTTGGTGTCTATGTCTGTCTATGTCTATGTCTATGTCTGTGCCTACGTCTATGTCTATATCTATGTCTATGTCTATGCCTACATCTATGTCTATATCTGTCTATGTCTATGTCTGTGTCTGTCTATATCTGTCTATGTCTGTCTATATCTGTCTATGTCTATGTCTGTGTCTGTCTATATCTGTCTATGTCTATGTCTATGTCTATGTCTATGCCTATGTCTATGTCTATATCTATGTCTATGTCTATGTCTACGTCTGTGTCTATGTCTATATCTGTGTATACCTGTGTCTACGTCTGTGTCTGTCTATATCTGTCTATGTCTATATCTATGTCTATGTCTATGTCTATGCTTATGTCTACGTCTATGTCTATATCTGTCTATGCCTTTGCCTATGTCTATGCCTGGGAGACAAAACCTACCTCTGACACTTACAGGCTATGGGAATGAACATGGGAGAGTCACTTCTCTGGATCTCATCTGAAGATGAGGGGAATGGACTCAGTGCCCTCAGAGGGCATTTCAGTTCTGGACCTAGGACCTTACAAAGGGAGGGACTTGGTGCTATCTGGGGCAGCTGAGGCCAAAAGTTGGTTTGCTTCAAGGCACAAAGACACATGAGTAGTGTTTGTTGTGTTGCTTTCTGACTTTATTTGAAAGGAAAAACCCTGTCCAAGATGCCCCACTGCTGCTCAGGGTGCATTTTGAGGCTGTCCAGAATGCAGATGGCTTGGTGTGGGGTCCAGGAGTGCTTGATCACAGAATCCCAGTGTTCCACAGATAGAAGGGACCTTTGAGGATCTCAAGTCCCGCCAAGATTGGAAGAATCCCCAGAGCTGCTATGTCCGGGCGAGTGGGCCTAGAGTCACTGTCTGGAGCCTGGGGGAGGGCAGCTCAGACAGAGAGCAGGGGCTCCAGACATTCAGCTGAAATCAGAGCCCCTTTGCATCTTCCCTCCAGATCTGTCCCCTGGGGCCAAGCAGAACGAGTCAAATCTCTTTTCCATCCATGGACAAGAATGCCTTCTCTTGCTTCTTCTCCCACTTACACATCCCTGCCCAGGCCATGGTTGGAGCTTTACCATGCTGGTCTCCCTCTGACTTCTGACATCCTCCCTAGAATTCCACCCCTAGATCAAAGTACAATACTCCGGATGGGATCTGACCAAGATCAAAGGCAGCCTCCCGTCCCCTCATACCCCAGCCCTATCTCTCCAAGCAGCCTGCTAACTGCATTGGTTTTCCAGCTGCCATATCTCATTGCTGAGTCATGCTGAGCTTGCCATGTGCTGCCTAGAGTGGAACATAACACCCAAAAGGCCCAAGAAGCAACTGTTGTGTGTGAGGCAAATGTGCACAAGCTCACTTCAAGAGGGCAGCGGAGACCATGGGACCCTTCAAGGCCAGTGATGGGGATGGCTGCGCTATGTTCACCCATCACTTTGCTACTTAAAGACCGAAGGTGTTGTCACTGCCCCCTCTGAAT